AATTCCACAGTAGATTGAGCCACAACAGTCTGCAGCTTGGATGCCCAGGAGACAGCGCCCCCAGCAAACGTGAACAGGTAGCCTGAGGTGGATTTGGCGCTGGTCTTGATGCTTCCAGCATAGCTGGCATCACAGTAACCAACTAGCAGATCCGGAATCATCTCAAGGACCTCCTGGGGGGTCTTCCTGACATATTCGGGACCTCCAAATTTGATCCCAAGATCTTGAGAGTGCCACAAATAGCGAAATAGGCCCAGAGCGGCCTTATATTGGGCTGAGCCAGGGTTGTGAAGGTATCGCGAGAGAACACCCATAGAGTATGCAATATCTGGTCTCGTATACGACGCAGGGAAGTTCTCAGAACCGATCAGGGACTGGTATGTCTGAATAGGACGTGTATCGACCTCAAGGTCGTTGTCCAGGGACTCCATCTGTTCCACTGCTTGAGGAGATATCGGCACGTTCATCTTGCCAGTGTTCTGCTGGTAGAACGCCTCCACAGTCCTTCTCACATACGTCTGTTGAGAGAGATATAACGTTCTCTCAGCTCGGTTTCTGACAATGTGGACTCCTAGGAAGTGTTCAGCAGCTCCCATGTCTTTCATCTCAAATATAGAACCTAGTTCCTTCTTGAAGGCAGCAATCCCGTCACAATTAGACCCCAAAATGAGGAAATCGTCGACATAGCTGATCACTATAATGCCACGGCTGATGTTGACATAGACTGCATTGTCAGAGACCAGAGGGTCGAATCCGAGGTCCTTCAGAGCGCTGCGAATGCGCTTCTGCCACTGCCTGGGGCTCTGCTTGAGCCCATATAGCGGTTTCGCAAGCTTCATAATCATGCCAGGTCTCCAGTTGATGGTATTCTTATCTGGATACATCTCAAAGAAGTCAGAGAGACCATTATGCGTCTCCATGAAGATCTCTTCATCCAGTTCTCCCATTAGGAAGGCAGATACAGCATCCATCTGGTCAATTTCCCAGTCCAGAACGGCAGCAATGGCTAGAAGGAGCCTCCAGGTGGTAGTACGAGCGCCTGAGGCCTGGGTTTCGAAATAATCAAGGCCATGGCGTTGCATGAAGCCTCGTACAACCACCCTAGCCTTGTACCGAGAGGTGTTGCCGTCAGAGTCCCTCTTCCACCTATAGACATTGCGGCTAGAGAGAGTTTTACGCCCAGCAGGCAGATCAGACCTCCACAAAGGAATGAAGGTATTATTGCGCAGCAATGCCCGTATCTCTGTGTGAGTGCCATCCAGCCATTGAGTTGCCTCGGCAGACTCCATGGCTTCCTTGTAGCTAGAAGGCTCGTCATTATGGGGAAGTGCCTGATCAGGGTCAGAAGACGGCCAATTGGCATAAGATGCCTCGATCGTAACATATGGAGATATGCCAGGGGTGGAAGACTCGGCCACGTAGTGGTTATGAGTCCTCCGAGTGCGCCCTCCGGAGAGTACATTCTCTGGGTTGAGCCCTGATTGGATTCTTGACCTCGGAGCAGCCGTTAGGGCTACTTCTTGACGAGGTGGTTCAGATGATAGAAGAATCGAGTCAGCTAGAGCAGTACTAGGCTCAGGGTTGCTATATCCAGAGTCAGAATGATGACCATCATCATTATCAGAAGCGTCAGGGGACCCAAGAGGGGTCCCTAACGTGACAACTGGTTGGGGTGAATCATCTCTATCATCCCTTCTGTTATCTGACTCGATATATATATGCTGAGGATCGTGAGCGCCCTCTGGTGAAGACGGCGCTGGCAGATCTTCAGCATCAGGTCTGGTTGTCTCATAGTCATCGAGTGTACCACGGAAGTTTGGAAAGATGTGGATCAAATCCCTTGAAAGTACATACCCATCCAAAATCTCAAGATGGGCAGTAACTACAACCTTTCTCAGGTGTGTAAGATACACCTGGTACTGGTTGGAACCAAGGGAACGAAGAATACGACCCCTTAGGGCGGCGCTGCTGCGGCAAATGGACCACAGGGGCCTGCCCGATTGACAGTAAATTCGTCAAATCAGGCTTGTTATCCTTTCCAGGGTTCAGATCGTCAAAAAAAACTTCAAAGGGAGTCTTCTTAACGCCCTGGAAGAAAGATGTATGGCTCACATTGAGCCTATCACATACGGCAGGTCCAACAACCGGCCAAAGGGCTTCAGGTGGCCCAGAATCCTTCATAATACTGCGAATGAGAGCATGTATAACGCTAAAGGATCTCTCAGCCACTCCGTTCTGTTCAAGAGTATATGGAGCACTGACTTCAAACAGGATACCACGTTCAGTTCTCCATTGCTTGAATCTTGCGTATTCAGAAACACCATCCATACGGAATCACTTTGGGTAACGCCCGTATTGGGTGTGAGCACATTCACAGTAGCGAATGGCTTGGTCAGAAGCTTCCCCTTTCTTCCCATGAGGGCAGTACTCCCTCAAACAAGACTTGCCATCCATAAATACAGTGGCATAGAGACAACCATTATAGCCTTGGACAGAGTGCTTGGCTGTATCCATATGGACCAGGTCTAAAGCATGATCTGGATGTTCCTGCTCAACTCAAGAGACTAGGCGACGTAGATTGGACTCCAGACATTCTAAACAGGTGAATTCTTTTGCCAGCTCTTGTACATTTGGCAGCAATTCAATCCCTTTAGTAATACTGGCTGTCTTAATCAGGCCACCAATAGATCAGTGGCCAAGTCTTGTATGCCAGCGGTGGAGTAGTCTTAGTGCCACAGATTTAGCTTGAGAGGTCAGTTCCAGGGAAGAATCCTTGGATACCATATTGGTGAACACGTCCGGGGCTTGACTGATCCCATATGTGTCCTTCTGGACATTAGGGATCTCTGTCTGAACGTACATTCCCTGGTGGAATGATGCCACCCATGTCGCATGGGGGTCAAACAGATTGCGGATCATCAGATACCATCCCTGGCAATACATCTGGTCTCCTGAGAGGATATTGATTGGGAAGGAGGGCACAAACAGTGTTCCAGAGATTGTCCGAGTGACGGTATCACCATTAGAGGTAATGAACGGGATCTCCACATTGCCAATACCTTGAGGAGTAACAGGGCCTCCTCTAGTGTTAAAGTGAACCAGATCAGGGTCCATTCAAAGGCAAGTGAACCATTTCTTATTATTACAAATAAAAACAGTAGAGCCAGTGTCAAATAGCCATGAGTCTGTGCTTGTTGTAGCATGAACGGTGTCAATCAGATTGGTACTCGCTCCCTGGTTGGCGCTATGTGTTGGTCCTTGAGTGAGGACATATTGACTGGAGATGGCCTTATCGGCACAATTGCACCATTGAGCGGCGTCAGAAGCGCCAGTGTGACCACTCTGGTGAGTGGGAGCGCTGTTTGAAGACCTTCCAGCTTTCTTAGCCTTCTAAGAGGCCTGGATGATCTGGTTAAGGATGCATTTATTGCATTCAAGGTGGCCCTTCTTCTTGTTAAGCTCTCTGTACTCATAGCACCAGATAAGATCCGTAATATTGCTATTAAAAGAGCCCTGATTGATTCTAGGGGTTCTGGAGCTATTAAGAGATAAGCGGTTACTGCTTTTTCCCTTATTTTTCCACTTATTCTTGCCTTTATTAGGTATAGCAGGCTTGCCAAAATTAGTGGCAAAGGTCTCATCTTGAGCCTTGCGAATCTATATCTCTTCCTGGAGCTGGTATAATAGATTCTCGGTTGTAGGGAAGATTCCATGGTTATAATCTTTCGAGATTTTGTGGTAAAGGGTTGGAAAAGTTGTCCGAATAGCAGCCAGGAAATTGGCAATACGGATATTCGGAGGATATATGATATTCTGCCGCAGGACCTTGTCCATTAGTTTGTGGTAGTTGTACACGAACTTGTCTCCATAGCCAGGGAATCGAATGGCAACCAGTTCATCTATAACTGATGAAACTGCGTCAATTCTCGTGCCTGAATATGCCTGTCGCAAGGCTATCCAGATCTGACCAGGGTCAAACAAACCCGTGATACGAGAATCAGGGTCAGACTTGATGTTCTGGGTGATAGCGAGGTATAACTTTGACCTCTTGATGCTCAGATTAGCATTCAATTCAGGAGGCTTGGAAGAGGCTCCCGCAGAAGGCGTGACTGGGGCGTCGACAGCACCAGTTGTGGCCTTATATGGTTCCTTCTCATTTGCCTTGATAGCTTCAAAGATAAGAGACCAGAGCCCAAGGGTGGTGAGCAAATGCTCTATTATTTGGGCCCAGACCTCCCAGTTCTCCTCGCCGACGAGCTTCTGATGGTCTTAGAGACGAGGGATAGAGGTGGACATAAAGGCCAGAGCCGTCTCTGAGATGGATTCAGACATAATGTAAGAAGGATAATATGTCGTAAGACTAGCCTACAAATAAGGCAAAATATAAACTAAAAAGCGACCTCTTTTTGTATAAAAAGAACAGTTATAATAAAGAAATACTTAAAGGTTTGTGATAACAAGGGTAGCTAGTCCTGATAGCCCACAAGCGGAAAAAAGGTGATCAGAATGAATCAGACCAATAGAAAAAACTTAAAAGGTAAGGACTGCCGGAGGTCGTGATCGATCAGAGATTCTACCATGTGAGATTTCAAAGTGTTCTATTAAGGAGAGGAATTCCAGCTACTCTGGAGCGGCCAGACTGGCCCTTTATATATCCAAGATACTAAAGGAAAGGATACGTGGCCTTATATTAGCCACGTATGCGACAGAGTCACGAATGGGGATGGTGATCCTGAAGGATGACTATGGATGGGCTAACGTAGCCCAGAATCCAACACTAGGTACATAACCTGTGCCACAGAGTGGTCATCATGAGAATCTCAAACGTCTCCCTGCTTGGTCAAAACGGGGAGAATCGGACAGGAGACCCGAGACAGTAGATAGCATTGATCAGATCAGGGGACGTGGCTATCCAAAAAAGCCGTCGCGCATCAACTTAGGTAAGTTGATAATTCTCATAAACACCTGAATTAAGCCATCCCAAACTCCCGGTATCTTCCCTAGTATCCCATCGTTGTAGCCTGACTCTTCTGTCCCTCACTGACACCAACCCGCATCCCTGGCTTCTGCCCTATCCCCATCAGCTTCTCCTGTTCCGCCCTGACCTCAGCCATACGCTTCGCGCGCTCGATGCCGCGCTGTTGGTCCATGGTCGCGAGGCACACCTTGAGCCAGCCCTTGAGGTTGGCCGCATCCCGCACGCTGCTGGGCATGCGCACGACGGCCTCCTTGTACAGGCAGTCGTTTTCAAACTGCCAGCTGCAAAGCACGGCGCGGAGCATGCCGCCCTCGCGGCCACACAGCAGCGCCACCGTCGGCGGCCGCTCCGCGCTGAAGATGCTGACGCCCAGCGTGCCCGTGTCCACAAGCGTGAACAGCCGGTGGCCCTCGGGCAGCGGGCCGCAGTCCTCGGGGCGTTTGGCGGTGACCCAGTCGGGCTCGCGGCCGACGCGTAGGTTGGCATCCCGCCAGCTGGCGCAGATGGGCGTCGACGAGGGCTCGTAGTTGAGCCGGCCGTTGACGTTGCCAAAGACGAGGCGCTCGAGCTCGGCCAGCGGCACCACGCCCTCGAACCCGACCAGGTTGCTCGTGCTCTGCAACACCTGTCCGCCATATAGGCGGCGCACCGACAGCGGGCCGAAGACGCTGAGGAGGGCGGCGACAAAGAAGACGCCCGCGACCAGCCACGCGATGAAGGTTAACGTGCTGTCGCTGACGGTCAGCTCCGCCAAGAAGGGCGCGTAGTAAACGGCAAGCGTTATGCCTTGCAGGAACCACCACGTCCCCGCCGTCACGAACACGGTCGCTAGCAGGCGTCCGAGGCCGTAATCGCGCGCGACCACGATTCGAGGAAACCCTTTCCAGCGAATATGCATGACCCGGCACGAGTCCAACAGGATCGTGTTGTCCTCATGCGCGACACCCACGGCGTAGCACGTCGGCTGCACGTCCCACAGGTGCGTCGAGAACTGGTCAGGCTTTGCGAGCGTGTAGAACGGGTTGAAGGCGCTGTCGTCCCCATCGCCGCGGCCGTTGTTGACGGGGTACAGCGAGACCATACGTTCTATGATGCGATCGCTGTCATTGCCTAGCGAGAGCTGCGCCAGCGATTGGAACGCTGAGTCCTGGTCGTCGCGCTCGATGCGGTAGTGCAGAAGGCCCATTACTGCGAGCGTGACATCATTGGGTGTCCATATCTTGTAGTTGAACCGTGAGCGGTCGACGCACGCATCCACAGCCTTGGTGAAGAGCTCGAGCCGCGACAGCGTCAGCTCGTTGGAGAAGTGCTCGGCCAGCAGGCGCGTCGCGCCGCCCGCGGCCTCAGAGTCGGCTGGGTCGTCCCAGATCTCGCCCGTCATCTCGATGAGCGACAGGCGATTCGTAGTATAGCCATCATCCACCCGCGCGAAGAAGTGGATCTCGGTGCCGGGCGCCAGCAGGGCTTCGGGTAGCGTCCACATACGCGAGCCCCAGAACTTGCGCGTCTCGACACGGTCGTCGGGCAGAATGACGACGACGCGGCGGCTGGCGCGGATCACGTCGCACATGCCGTAGATGTCGACGTCCTTCTGCGCGCCGTCGACAACGTCGATGCAGTCGGTGTCGACCCAGCAGGCGGTGCAGCCTGCGTCCAGGGTCGCGGCCTTTGCCATGCTGCGGATCTGGTCTTGGCCCTTGCCGCCGTCAAGCCGGAATGACTTCGCGGCGTAACTGATGAAGACGTATCGCAGATTCCGCGGCGGGTTATCGACCACTTTCCACTGCTCATCTGGCTGGCGGACGTAGAGTTTGCGTGGCCGGACTAGTCGCTTACGACTAGATGGGAGGTCTTGTGAGACGGCGCGTCGTGTTGAGTCGGGTCTCTGGTCAAGAGGGTTGATTGCGTGCTTCGCCCATTGCCACGAATATCCGGGGTGATCGGTATACGTATCATTGACATCCTCGTTCTCCCAGGATGACGTGCCCGGGAAGGCCATCAACAGCTGCAGCGGTATGGACGCCGCCAACAGACGCGCCGAACCGTTGATCTTGTGCCACACGCCTGTCTTCTGGAATGGTCTTAGGGCCCACTCCGATATCTTGAGGACCTTCGGCACGTCGCCGTTCATCTTCCTCCGGCGCCAGTCGCCGCCCGCGAGCTTCTTCTCAAGAACGTAGTCAGCGGCCTGGACGACGAGGCGCTTGGGCCTGTAGTTGGTGGGCGACAAGTACGTCGCGACGTCGCTGAACTTCTTCTCTTTCTGGCCGAAGCTGTTTAGGTAGATGAACTTGCCGTCTTCGTCCTTGTTCACTGCACCCCCGTAGTTGTCGGGCCTGTCCAGGACTACGTGGCCTTGCTCTGTGTCGTGGCTCCTGTTTGGTCTGTTGTACAAATGGCCGTTGAAGCCACGCTTGCCGTCGAACTGGCTCGCCATGTTGGCGCGGACCTTCTCTTCGACGGTCTTCCCATATGGCCACCAACTGGACTTTTTGCCCTGGCGTTCATCATGCTTCTCTTGTGGGTATGGCGAAGGCATCGACGAGTCAGCAGAGGAGTGGCTCTGTTGCTGGTCCGTTATGATGCCGCGACTACCATCTTGGGATCCTGGCTGGTACCACTGCTGATCTACCGGGTAGACAGCGTCATGACTTGGGTCCGATGCATATACGTACTGCTGAGGGTACGTCAAGGCCGGCTGTATTTGCGTTCGGCTTTGATCGAAGTGATTGGCTGGGACGCCATATTGATCAAAGGCTGGTTGAGACTGGCCCGCGTACTGCTGGTATGGGATCGCTGAGGATTGATCCTCCTGAGACCGTGCCTCGAATGGGTGCATCTCGTAGGGTTGATGGAACTGATTGTTCGCCATTTTGGAGTATGTCGTGAGCAATTTGAGGGAGCCAAACACCAAGCACACGGCAATCAAGTCTTGCAAATGGGAAGAACCAGTTGCACGAAAGGGCGAGAACTCGAAATGCCTTTGACGTTGCAGCCCAAGCCCCCATTATAACCTACTGCCATCCCTGCTTCTGCTGTAGGAAGCTGATCGCTGGGCACCCCGGTCCCGGACTCCTTCCCTAAACGGGGTCATTCTTTACTATAAATGGAAGATCAAGAGTCTTTTGCTTTTCACCCGTGTCGTGGTGTCGTGGTCCTGCAGGGCCTGTTCAGCCCAATTTGGGGGCTGAAAATGCAGCACCCGCGCGGTGTAAGAAGCGCATTGCAACTTGAGCCTCAGGACTTCGTCGTCAGGCTTTACCAAGTAGGAGAAGAAGGTGGTCGCATTGTCTTGCCTCTTTTCAGGCTGCGCTGTAGTGGCGACATGGTTGCTGTAAGCATCATGCCTTCGAGGCTTCTGGTTGGATGGCGATACGACGCGTCGCCCTGCACCCATTTCCAAAAGACCCTTGCCGTGTGGGACGGATAAGGTTTTGGGGGCTATATGGAAGGCTTTCGCTGAACCAGATGACTCTTTATTACACACCAGGTCTGTTATACACTCGTCGACACCTGGTGGCGCACGCGACTCTCATGCATGTTCACTAAGTGATCAGTCGTCCGTCGCCTTCTCGTCAGCGCAGCCTCGTTTGACCTCGTTGTTTTGGTCACTCTTCTGCGAGCCGGGCACGCTGAGATGATGTGACTGGTTCAGGCGGCTTGGGAGTGCTATATTCAGATCGCGCGATATTGCCACTTCTGCTTGGCAACGTTGCAGCCCGCGCCCTTGAGGCCTTGGGGGCCGAAAATGAGTATATCACGTAGCTCCCGCTGTGCCAACGTCTCGAAAGGTTTTGATCACTCACGTCTCTCTGTCCATAGGGAGTCATTAAGTCTGACATCCACCTCCTCGAATACGCATCGTTCTTTTCCTATGAGCTCCTTCGTATGTCCCGCGACAATCCGGGACCATGTTGTTGTCGGGCTTCAGCTGCTGCTCATCATACTAAAATAGCTAACCGATCAAGTATTGTAAGCCTTGATTATGTCAAACAGTGCGTAGATGGTGCATATGGTCGATATTCGTGTATTTGGTGCTGATCCTGATCGTCTCTGTTGGTGCTACGGTAGGTGGCCCCAAAATGCCCTAATGGCCCGTGGTCAGTGCACTGCCACCTCCCTGACGCCACGGTGGCTGCAGTTTACCTATCCGTGCTTTGAATTCATCGCGACGCCCACGTGGTGTTCCTGATTGTATGCCACACTTGTTCGTTGAGTGATGTCGTTCATTGCGCATTCCGCCCATAGGACCTAGCCTTTGAGCAAGGTATCCATGTGTGGAGTTTATTGCCATTGGAAGTCTTAATACCGCTCCGATCCGAAGGTGGACCCCGGGATAAGAGGTGGAAGCGGGTTAACGACTCCGGTCTCGCGGCCTAGCAAATATCGCCACCCTTATCCCGATCCGCAGTAATTCACCGGTATTCCATATGTTCGGCTGGGGACAATATGCCGCTTGTTGCTAAAAATCCATGGACGCCGGATTTGGAGCCCTCGATTTCCTTCCTTTGTAACAGCGTCACGGAGTTTATAAAGGACTGGTACAATCCCCGATAGAAGTTGAAGAGGGAACAAAAGTCTATAAAGGTCGCATCTTCATTGGAAAGCTGGCTGGTTCATGTTGTGCCTCTCATCATCACCTTAAAGGCTTGGTAAGCACAACTGTCTACTGCCTGTCGAGTCAAAGCCATTCTCTTCAACCGCAAGATTCTCGCCTCCCTTTCTCAGCTTCGCACACCCCCATCTCACGATGCCTTCGAACACGGCTGCGTTTATCCCCGAGGCTGGCAAGCCTCGAGAGGTCAAGCCGGCCCCTTACCCAATTCCCGGCGAACACGAAATGATCGTGGAGAACCGCAGCATCGGCCTCAATATGGCCGACTGGGCCATGGGGCAGACGTTCGCCACGTCCCTCTTTCCCGACCTCAAGTTCCCCTTGATTGGCGGCGAAGACGTTTCCGGCGACGTCGTAGCCGTCGGTTTGAGCGTCACCGGCTTCAAAGTTGGAGACCGTATCACTGGGAGCTCCCAATCGGCTTTCCAGAAGTATCCTCTGGTGGCCGGCCACCTAGCTTTCGTCATCCCCGACTCGCTCAGCTACGAGCAAGCCAGCGTCTTGCCCTTGTTCCTTTGCACGGCACTAGTTCCCCTCTTCCACAAGGAATATCTTGGCCTACAGCTACCCTCCCTCACGCCGAACCCGACTGGCAAGACGCTGCTTATCTGGGGTGGCTCGACCGGTGTGGGTAGCAGTGCCATTCAGCTAGCAGTCGCTGCCGGGTACGAAGTCATCACGACGGCCTCGCCGAGGAACTTCGACAACGTCAAGCAGCTGGGGGCTTCGCAGGTCTTCGACTACAACAGCGGCACAATCAACGAAGATTTGGTCGCTGCCTTCAAGGGCAAGACCCTGGCTGGCAGCATTGCCATCGCCGGGTTCGCAACCGGAACTTACGGGCCTATTTTGGACGCCTGTGCTGCTGTCGCAACCAGCACCGAGGGAAGTAACTTCGTCGCTCTCACGATGCGCCCGCCGAAGAATATCCCTGCAAGCATCGAGACCAAGTTCGTCAATGCTTACATGCTGTTGGACGACAAGGAGATTGGATACGCCATCTTCCGGGACTATCTGCCCAAAGCTCTGGCTGCGGGCAGTTTCACGGCAGCTCCGAAGGCTGAGGTGGTGGGCAATGGCCTTGAGTCGATTCATGCAGGGCTCGAAACGCTCGCAAAGGGGGTATCGGCCAAGAGGCTTGCCATCACTTTGTAATATGCAGGATGAGTTTCACTTAGACGACATATCTAGACTTCTTCTATGCTGATATAGATATTTGGTCTTGTTATTGGGCTGGATGAAGAAGATATGTAGGGTTCAATGGAGTTGGTTACCATCTTCTCATCTGATGTCTCTTTAGTAGCACGACTGAGTCCGTAGCTATATCTTCGTGTCAACCGGCTAGACTGTAGTGAGGATAAACCAATGTCTGGGGAAACCACGGGGACTTTCTTGTCATAGCTACTTCTTGATGAGCTGTATACATGGCGTACTACATGGGTGTTGACCTGGTTGTCACCAACAGGGATGTGCGTCGAGTGCATATGCTGTTGGTCGCCCTGTGCTGCGCCCCAGATGCTCCGATTGGTGTTCCAAGGGACTCATGTAAGGGGTAACGCAATGTGGGAATTTCTTGGGTTTAGGCGTCAAGTGCCTAGGTAGGCAGACCGTGTTGGATCAGAACGTATTGTCCTTTCACTTCAAGCATGCTTTTGCTTCTCCCCTCCTATCCCTCATAATTGGCAAGGAACCCTTTTCATCGATCGCATCGCTCTCATTCACCACTCACAATTCCCAGTACTTGTCTGCACTCAACCAATCTTTTTGATATTCCAACCTTGTCTAGCCATGGCCACATCAACCAAGCTCACGCTTCTCTTCGTCTGTGGCGGCTGGCTTGTTCCGGAAAGCTATAGCAAGCTGACAAATGCCCTCCGCGCTGTTGGGTTCGAAGTGCACATCCCTCGCCACCCGTCCATGAACCAGAGCCGGCCCCCAAACGCCGATCTGGCGACGGACGCGGACCTCATTCGTTCGTACGCGACGAGTCTGGTCGAAGCCGGCTGTACCGTCGCCGTGCTCATGCACAGCTACGGTGGCATGGTCGGCACCGATGCCCTGTACGGTCTCAGCAAGACCGCACGCTATGCCAAAGGGCTGGCTGGCGGCGTTTCGCACTTGATATACATGGCGGCGTCCGCGCTACCGAAGGGGAAGAGCATGGGAGACTTAGTGGAGGAGTTCGGCCATATGCGTAAAATGCCCGTCGCGTTCGGCTTCGATGACGACCAAAGCTGCGTGCCGAACTATCCCAAGGAGGGGCTCGTTGGGGAGGCCTATGCGGACCAGCTTGATGCAGAGGAGCTCAAAGGGTTTATCGCCACTCTCGGCCGCTGGAATGGGAAGTGCATGTACTTGCCCCTCCAGAACACCCCTGTTTGGCGCGACGAGGTCAAGGTCAGCTACTTGTATACCACCGCGGATCTCACAATACCTGTTGACTACCAGAAGAACATGGTACGCTACCATGGACAAGGAAGGAAAGACGGTCCAGACTGTCGAGTTGGATTCCGGCCACTGTCCTAACCTGACTGCGACGAAGGAGGTGGTCGAGGCAGTGGTCAAGTTCACTTCATCGGAGTGACGATGGCTGCTACCGGTACCACAGACATACGGACGCTCTCAGACACGGGCGGGAATAGTTGAGGCGCGCAACAAGGTGGCAGCAACGTAAATAGTCCTCAAGTCTTGATCATCGTTGCAACTTTGGTTTCGCATTTGAATAGCAAACTTACTTCATGTTCTCTAACTGATCATGTTTGCCGCCAATGTTACGAGAAGCCCAAACGAGTCGGCATAAGCGTACCACCTGTCGTGTTGACCTCCCGCCTCTTCCTTCAACTTGACCAGATCTCCGTTCTTGAGCATTCCGTGGACGGCATTCGCATGCAGGTATTCGGCATAGCCGGCTGCCCAGTCCATCTCGTTCTCTGCCTGCCACAGCTGCGTGGGGGAAGGTGCAGGCGAGGAGGAATACTCGGGCATGGTCGGAGGCGGATTCGTGATTTGTGTATGTAGAATGCCGTCTATTATGATAAATGCAGTTGCGGTTCTTTTGGAACATGTCAGATTGACTTCGCCTGATCTCGGATTACTCGTCTTGCACAGTTGAATTACTTACCGACGCCGCGATTCGGAAAACACCCAGTCCTTCCACGTCATCATTCGACCGGCCATTTCGTCAAAGCTGATGAGCTTGCCGAACGTCGTGGTGATGTGCCCACATACTGCCTTCATGTCTCTATTGGTGAGTAGCTGGCCTTTCAAGGGGATGTGGACCAAGCCTGCTCACATTGAGTGAAGCCAGAAGCTGGGTATCAAAGTTGGTATGGTCGTGGCGTCCCTCGATGATCCTCAGGAGAATATACACGACGAGCGATTGCAGAGCTTCCAGGACTTCCCACTTGCCAAAGCTGGAGTGCTGTTTTTAACGGCTTCAGTCAGCAATTGGGTCGTTCACTGATTATTCCCGGGGGATGGAAGATTTCCAGAAGTACCTCGTTGAGCAGTCGCTCCTGTTCGATCCGGATCAGTCCCCAGATCAGGCTCTTGTTCATGCGTCGGCCCTGCAGCAGCGTCTTCGCCAGTGTCAAGGCAGCATTGAGAGGACTCGGACGCCCGGTATCACCTTCCGATAAGCACTGATAGTGTGAGTGGATGAAAGGAGGCACTGAGCCTGGGCTGGCCATCATGTATGGGTAGGAGCGCAAGATGTGCAGAGCGAGTTCGCCAGTAAGCTCGAGCTCGGGCTCCGAAAACCTGCGGCGCTCAAACAACGAGGACGGGTCTCGATAACCCAGAGATACCGGCACCCCAAATGGTAGTTGGAACGGCTGCTCCGAGAAAGTCGTGTTATCCAGCGCAGACTGCGGCTCGCTGCCGGTGCTGGAGGCGTGAACTTGAGAATCGAGTGGATCGCCTCCGCCTAAGTCAAGTGCTAGGTCTGACATATATGACCAGTCAGGTGTGAATGCGTCATCTCCCCATGTAAAGGCTGTTAGAGGAAGGTTGCTGCTTGTGGTTGTCTCTTCGGTCTCGACAGGCGGATTGTCGGGGCCGGCTCTGAAGTCTTCCGCGGACTCGGACGGAGTGTTCAAAGCGGTCTCACCGGTGTGCTGCACGGAAGATGCTCGCATAGGGCTGCCCAGCCCCGCCCCAAATCCCGGTTCGACTGTGACATGGGTGTTTGGGGTGCCTTGGTAAGTACATGAGACGCCTTTTGAAGCGCATCGAGAGCAGCCTCCGATGCCTAAGCTGGAGCAGCGTGCCTTGGACCGCACACATTCATCACAGGCCTTCCTCCGGGGAAGAAGCCCTGATTGGTGTTTCTTGCGGCAATACCAGACATGCCTGCTCTTGGCTCGTGCTAAGTTACAAGGTGTCAGTTGACAGTGGTAGTCCAGAGGCTCAGCCTTCGTCGGTAGTCTCACAGTTGGTATCGTCGGTGTATAGCTTGTGGCAGACAGGACAGTGCAATGTGCTCCGGCGGCTTGCGGGCCGCTCCATCTGGACGGTATAGGGACTTCCGTCTATTTCAGTCCAGTGTCGGAGATGGACTCAGATGTCGGAATGTCGTATACCCAATCTCCCGGACTCAATATGGGTCTGAGAAGCGAGGCAATTGGTCCCGGCTAACTACGGAATTCCGATGGACACTGTAAGCACGTGCCACCCTGATTAATAATGAGGGATTATTAATCATCGTCACAATCTTTTGGTAGTTGGTCTTCCAGCTCGTCAGGCCATCAGGTGAGTAGCAAGAAGTAATCCTAGGTCGTGAGATTTTCGAGACCCAGGGGCCAGGTTTCCACACCGAGCGGGTGTAAAGTTCATTCTGATCGTCCGCCGGCGAATTTAACAATAGCTCGAAGGGAAAAAAGGAACCACTTAGGAACTTCGAAGAGTCGGAATGACGACGGGACTACTGTGAGGAATGTGCATCATGCCTTTGGGCTTTGCAGCGATTCTCTCCGGAGATGTCTCACGGAGCATCTTGACGAATGTGGCTTCCGGAAAAGACTAAGGGAGGAAAGTATTTAAAAGACAGCAGCGGTCAGTAAAAGACCTGTCAGATCTTACCACTCAGCAACATTCGTTCTATGCCAACCCCTTTCTACCACGCCCGCAAATATGGCCTCCCCATTCTTCCCATCTTTGACCAAGCGATGGCACAGCGAATCGTACGAAGCCATATCACCACTGCGTCCTGAGCTCTCAGTGAAAGGCAAGACTGTTGCCGTCTCCGGCGGTGGCACTGGCATCGGCGCCAGCATCGCAAGAGCCTTTGCAGCCGGCGGAAGCACCAACATTGCAATCATGAGCCGGACCCAGAAGAAACTCCTTGCGACCAAACATGCCATCGAAGGGGAATTCCCGGGCACCGAAGTTCTTGCCGTGACTGCCGATATCACCAACGCGAGCCAGATCAATGACGCCTTCGCCAAGATCAGCCAGGCCTTCGGCGAGATCCATGTGTTCATCTGCAACGCCGCATTCATGCCAAAGCCCCAGGCCGTTCTCGACCCAGATCTCGACATGCAGGAGTGGTCGACCGCTATCAACACCAACGTGCTAGGCGCGATGAACTCGGTCAGAGGGTTCGTCCCACATGCAGCCAAGGGAGCGCACGTCCTTCACATCTCGACCTGCATCGGCCATATCCCACCAATTGAAGTTGGCTCGGCTGCCTATGCCGCAACCAAGGCCGCCGCGACAAAGATGTTCGATTACGTCGCCTACGAAAATCCTGGCCTACACGTAGTCAACATTCAGCCCGGCCTCCACGAGACCGACATGAGCCGCAAGAACAACCACGGCGGCATGGATCACAGTCAGTCGCCTTGTTTCTTACTGTTTGCCACTCCATCTTTTCTCCCCGTCTCCTCTTTCCCTACCACTACATACAACTATTCAAGTCCTTTGGGCTGATCTAGAAGGCGAAACTGACAAGCAGCAGTTGATCTCCCGGGCCATTTCTGCGTATGGCTGGTCAGTCCCGAAGCCAAATTCCTCAAGAGCAAGTACGTGTGGGTGAATTGGGACGTTGATGAATTGAAGGCCAGAAAGGAGGAAATTCTGACCACCGATCTACTTGATACGAAGCTTGGTGGAGTTTCGTTCGTAGGGTGGAAAGGTTCTCATATGTTGAAAGACCTTTGAGCGTACTTGTACTTTTCTGGCGTGTCTGGTTACCGCTGTCGTTGATCTGAGTTGCCGGAAGACTGTTTGCTTTCATGCAGTTAATATGATGTTTGTGTTAGAAACCCACCAATTTATCTGCTACATGTCACATAAAGAATGCAAATAGAAATGTTCATTGGTATCCAACTGGGAGTTAGACACTGAACAGCTTGTTCAAATATATAGCCTAAAGGTTGGTCGCTATGAAAGTCCTATGCAGGTCGCTATACGTTATATTAACTGCTTGGCGTGATAGCTATCTACACAAATCTGTATTGGTGAGATGCGCCGAGGTGAGGCTACTGTTGGAATACTTCATATATGAAGAGTATATCTTACATCATGGTCGCCACGGACCACACACAACACGTCGATTTTGACAAGTAATTGACTGTCTTGTCTAAATAGGGAGAGGTGTGTGGATGTCCCCATTAGCCGGTTCCGATCTTTCGTTGCTGGGTAACACTATCTGCCGACTTGATGCCTTGGCGGACTTCCCTCCATTCCCAGGCATTAACGGGACGCACAGGTGCACAAAACAGCAGCCAAAAGAAAGTTCTTCCTCAGTTTCAGTATTCCGCACAACATCCTCACCCACTATATTGGTGCTTGCGGTTTCGTATCACCCAGCTCATACCGAGCTTACTACAGCCACTGCATCTCCGATTCCGTTCTCATACCATCATATTCCCGGCTAGTCCAGGACGTAACTATGCGGCAACTGATTCGATTTTGCTTGCTTACTTTTCCTCGGGTTTCTTTCTTGCTTTATAACCGCACCTCCAACCGTCTCAACTTCCGCCCAGTATTAAGGTAAGCCATATTTCCTCTACACGGGGTTCACTGAGCTGATTTGGGCATCATCAGATGGCAGACCCCCGTGCCATACGCGCACGAGCCGTGGTGCAGAAGTACGAGTTGCTTCGAAGTATTGTTGGCGAGCACGAAAATACCATCTAAAAGCGATGGATTAAGAAGTCGAAGAACAAACGCCGCGGCGCTCTGCTGGAGGCTCAGCCGTCCATGCCGAAGCATCACGGACCGGACTTGACGGCGTTCCAAGGAGGCGAAAAGTCTGCCGCATACAAAGAAGCCTACCTTGTACCTATGATCAATCTCGAGGATCTACAAACAAAAGAGGCACTTCTCGCGATGATCAGCCCGAGAGCCCGCGGTCTTCCTGGAGAATTCTGCCATGTCGATTTCAATATGAGCAGATTAGGTATAGCAGCCAGCGCTATATGTCTCAAAGACGCTCCGGGATCTCTCATGCTCTTCGACCCTTCATCGAAGAAGGACTATGGTGATCTCTTGCAGAAAGAGAACCATACTTTAGCAATTCGGAGTGAACGGGATGAATGGGGTGAAGCAAGTCTCTTTCCAACGCAATGAGTTACGCGATTGATACTCCATGCTTTATCCAGCAACTAATACCCAAGACCAGTATTCGTCTCTATGAAATCCGTAATACAAAACACGAGTCACCACATGGGGAAAATGAAGGTCTCTGACTAGGACGAGTAGTCATGCATCCAGTGAAAAGTCCAGAATGGTTGTAAAGTAACATTTCCGAGCTCTGAGTACCCCTTTAATGCTTCTCCCATCGTATTGCCCGTGTGGTTTTCTATAAAACTGCCAAAAACAACTCACCCCTTATTTAACCTGCACGCTCTCCATCATCCCTCCCACAGCAGCACCGACGAAACACACGGCGGACAATAATCCTCCCTCAACAACGCAAAAAGATGGCGAGTTTGATTTCCATTTGCTTGAATCTCTCAATCGCGGTGCAGGCCAGCTCGGCCGGCCTGCTCGTTCGAGATGACGGCGGGGGTTGCACCGGTGGATGCCTCGCCGGGGCGATGATAGGCGCCATGGTCGGGTTTTCACTTGTTCTTACTTGTATTTGGGCGTGGTGTAATCGACCTTTCTACTTGGGGGCGGGGAACGTTGTATGGACCACGGAAGTGCGCACATGAGCTGGATGGTATCATGTTTACATTGATGGTCCAAAGTTGCTCTTTTACGAAAACGTCACGGTAGCTCTTTAAATGCACATTCGCCGTGATATCTGTCAGGAAGTATGCAAAGGAAGAAAAGAATACATTCATATACATATACATTTCTCCTACGCCTGATTAATACTGTAGCCCGCTGCAGATCAACAAATCATCATTCTCCCCATATGGTTAGCCTTTTGACAACATCCCCCACCCCTTCCTACACCGTGCCGGTTGACATCATGCCACTTGTCACCCGAACCCCCATGCCGAATTGAGATCCAATACCATAGAATGCTGTATCTTCGGTTGCCAAAGGCTCAGACCTTGGGCTAATGGTCAGACCTGCTTCCTGGGTGGAAGGTTCGAGCTCGATGGATTCTGCTACAGGTGTAGGGGCGCGAGAATATAGCGAGATGGACCCTTCATCGTCGTGATTCTGATCCCTCACGTACCCGGAGTCGAATGGTCCGTTTGGAACACAGCCGAAGACTCGGTCCTCATCGCTGTAGAGGAAGGACTCCATAGGAGTCAAGCCGAAAATCGGCAGTGTGATGTCATTGTTGGGCATTGGGCAGTGGTAGTCTTGTGAAGATGTTTCCCACCCATATGCTGAGGATGGTGAGTTGGGAGGAGTCGACGGGAGATCATAATCCTCATCGAGAGTCACCGCCGCAAGATGAATGTAAGACTGCTGGACGATATCGCCAGACTGTGGTAGTGACGAAGAAGGACTTTGTCTTCTTTCCCGGGAGACTTCGGTGTCTCTCTGAGATGCCATTGGGAAATAGCGAGACTTGATGTCTATTTGACCCTAATAGGTCGAGTGAACATCAAGACGCGCTTGACTTGATGGTAGGAAGGAAAGGAATCCGATGCGAACCAGGTACAAAGATGATGGCAGTGTGTTGAACTGACGAGAGAACAGATATTCAACAAATTAAGATGAGATATATGTGATTCCTCGGACTCTTCGAGCATAAAGCTGGAAAAAAGCAACGGCCTTAGCTCTCAAGACCTGCTTGGGAAAATCGGGAGTGATGGATACAGAGAAGTGCCCTGGGAGGGATGGAAGTTGACTGCTTAAGTACTAGAGAGATATCGACTTTCACAGTGCCCAAATTTCCTATTGAGTACCACACCACTTCCTAGTGCCACCGACCAGGTAGCTGGATTCACAGCCAAGCATGGGTAAGGCAACCTTCGGCAGATCACAACACATTATGCTGCAAGGCGAGGGGTTGTGAGGAAAGCCCATGCTCGGGCTGGGCTGAGCTGTTCGTCCGGAATATACAAGCCTGCTTCCGCGCAGCGGCACAGACACGATGACCGTATCTCATTGGCTAAGCTCGTCGGGGGAAGCGGCTCAGTTCAAGATGATATGTGCCTGCAGAGCGCCCAAACTGACAGCCTCACGTCCTGTCGTGCATGCAACAGGCTCTTGCATGCATGGTGCATATGCAAGTTGTGCTGCAAGATTGGTTGATCATCCAACCGGAGCCCGAGATCAGTTGCACCAGGGGCAAAGTCAGAAGTGTGTTTTGCCCTGCAGACATCCCCACAACTGAGATCCTGGTCCTTGTAGAGGTATGCCTTCCACACCTCCAAATTCATCAGTTCGGACGTTATAAGTGTGTGGATCCCAGCCACTGGATCCAGCCACCAGTACCTTATCGGATCTCCTGTCATCCAGGGCGTCCTACGACAAGGTTACCTGGGATGGCTGCCCCAGGTGACAGGTACCAACCCACTGTAATTTAGGTATTTAGATACTTCTCGGATGGGATCCCTTCCCATCCGAACTTAACCAAGCACCAACCAGAATACAGATCATCCCAACCAAGACTTGTGATAGATCTCCGTTCTGGTTCCGCTACCACAAAGGCACAAGTGGATGGGCACTGCTGGAAATAACCACAAGATGCAGACCACTGTACGGGATCACAGTCGTCGGGCGACGGCCAAGGATTCGATATATTGCAGCCTACCTGGCAAGGATCTCGACGTGTTTCGTTCGGTGGACTTGCATCTGCGTCTAGCGGGATGGTGCAGGAAGTCCTGGAGCGCTCTCTCGTGTATCCGTAGGTAGACCATCCTGGCAAACAATAAGGTGTATGCCTGGTGGCATCTGACACTGCCGCAGAAGATGGTGGTAACACGTCGTACGATTCTGTCGACGCTGCGGTGCACGCGTGACACTGATGCTGCCGAACTTTTGAGATGGCCTGGTCTACAGCGTCTCGGTGAGAAGGGCATCCTTCAACAGCAAGCACCCGCAAGAAGATGGTCCAGGACTTCCAGCGCCCTGCACACTGGCCAGAGTCATGATGATCAGCAGCCTGACCATAACAGTTCACGGCATTGGGCAACGAGTTGCGGCCGATAACGGTCCCGAATGTCGACCAGAGCCGCACGGGACAGGGAGTCTTCCGGCCTGCTCTTTGAAGATGTCATCTTCTAATTCTTTGATTAAATACCAATGTTGCTCGTCTCAGAACATTTATGAAATACATCATCAAGAGTGCCAAAGCACTACACAGCACCCCGAATGAGGTGAGGACGGCAACAATCGCGAGTCCAGTGTACCTAGCCCCGGTATGACATTAGCAAAACACCTCTTTCCTCCTCGCCGCCACCTCATCGTGTTCAGCCCGTCATCATCATCATCATTTGCTATTCCCCCTTCGTTCAATCGAGGAATGGACCAGGGCCAAGAATTGGCTTGAGACTGGAGCCCAACCAAGGGGCTCCACCTTCGTTCGTGAGGATTTGGAAGAGTTGGCCTCCACTCTGGACGAAAGCACGGAGTTTGACGACGTCGTAGTCAGGACGGCCGCTCTCACGGGCGAATGATAGACATGTCGCCAGTGGCATGCTCCGGGGAAATTGGATGCGGCCGATCATATGCCACTCGTTCAGGCTAGATGGTGTCCGTACGAAGTAGAATATACCCCCTTCTGCCGAAGGCACAAGGACATCCAGCTGCCGCTTTGCGTTGCTGATGAGTTTAGGGTTGCCGGTCACCTCGCCTGGATGGTGGATTCTGGTGGAAGTCTTGACCTGCCATTTCGTTTTTCGGCTGGGGCCGTAGATATTTCCAGTTGATTCCTCCACGGAAGGTCCCTCGATGGTGTGCAGACGGCCGCTCGCAATCAAGACTGCCACGAAGGCTGTGTCCTTACCCCCGCGGTAGATGACCCTCTCGGTGTATGTCTCTATGACAGAGACTGCTGAGATAATGCCCAGATCGTTTGCAACATGCTCTACGGGGTCCCAGGCCTGATGTGGTACTCGATTAGTATGACCGTATGACGAAACTTGCGATGAACGGCTCTTTGTCCAGGTGTATAGCAGACCGCCAGATTGACATGGAACGATCAGACACCAGTGATCTGACTCGCGATGAGAGGTGTAGGCCTTCGCAACGGCCGGCGTGCCGCTAACCATGTGATTTTGCAGTGGTGGGGCGGGATCAACCGAAAAGGAGTGAGACGTATCATCCTGCTCTGGGCGATAGAAGGAGTGCAGTATACCGCGCGACACGCAGTATACGTTCACAAATTTGCCTTGTCTGTCAGAGAAGATCGCTAGGCCAGATACGGAGGAGTTGTCCAGTATCGCGGCTGGCGTACTGGGAAATGACTGGGGCTCGGTCTAAGGTTGGGAAGCATGATCTCGCACCCGCTTGAAGCAGATGAGACCGTCAGAGCTCGCTGCAACAATGCCTTTGTCTGCGGCTGCGAACTGGCCAATCACGGGGCATGGAGTTCTCCACGATGTGACACTCAGCGAGGTGACAGGCTGTGGGCCGAGAGAGGCGGGCACAGGCGCCAGCTGGTTGGTGTTGGAAGATATGCGTGAGGTGCCGGGTGTATAAATGAGGGTCGATGGCAGCGAGCTGTTTGTTGCTGATGATGTCGCCGAAGAAAGGGTGGCAGATGAGCCGGACCTGCGGTTGCGGCCCACGGTTGCGCTTAACCTTGGCGACATGGAGGTCGAGGGCGGTGGGGTGGGCACTGAGATTTCGCAGGTGTTTGTTTGCAGCCAGCGAACCGCCGCGAAAGGGGCAGACTTCTTCTTTATGGAAGTCAGCGAACCTGCCCACGAAGGAAAAAGGATGCGTCAGGTCAAGGTTGGGATGTAGAATGTGTGATGATCGCAAGTTTTTGTTGAATCCTGGGGGTCAAGCAGTCCAACAAATGACGGTGGGTGGGTTCCTAGTTGGAGTTTAACCATGTGCACAGACCATGTGAGCACATGTTTAGACGGAGGTCATAGTTGAAACATCAACTTACCGTCCAAAGAACCTCACCCAAAGCACGTGAATGGTGTTCAGAATTCTTCGCGCCCTTACCAATTGCTTGCGAATATGACCAGGCGATAGTATACAATTGATGTCGTCCTTTGGGTGAAAGCGCAGTCCCCGAGCAAAGGAGATCTAAACTTTATAGAAGCAGAATGCCACGTAAAAGTTGGCAACCTCCATCTCCTCAGGGGATACCAACAACGGCCCTCTGCCTCGCTCGCGAACACCCATGCGCTCGCTCAAGGGTCCCAGTATATGGTCGTCCTTCTCCGTCTCCCATATATCACGGAAGCTTTGATGATACTGCAGCTCTAGGTTGTAGTCTTCGGCAATAGCTCTGAATGCCTCCCAGGGAACCACATACTCGGGCACCTCCTCGACCGCCTCGTCGAGGAAGAAGCTGTACTTCCAGCCGAAAGGCGGTCTGAAGATGCCGTCTTCGGGTGTCTTGCCGGGGAATCTGACGCGGTACAGCTCGTTGCCCCACTCAGCTGTATCTTCGGCCTCTCCCTCTTCTTTCTCTTCGGTCGAGGGAGCGGCTTCCTCGGTGGACTCGCTCTTCTTCTTCTTCGCCGCAGCGCGCTCGTTGAACTTGGTTACCCGGTCACCGATAACGTCGGAGTTAGGGATGCACCCCAGGAAGCGTCCACCCTTCTTCAACGAGCTAGATACGTTTTGCAGCATCATACGAGCCTTCTCTTCGCTCTCAAACGCGTAGTGCATGCAAAACATCATGCTGACGATGTCGAAGCCGCTCCTTCCCATTGGCGTGGGGTCGAACCCAACCTGTTGTATAACATCGATATCGCCAATCGACTCGCCGAAGCAGTCCTTGGCGTAGAACCGCCCGTCGAACAGATGCTGCTGCTGTCGACCACCCCGGTGACCGCCCCGACCACCACGCCCGCCACCGCCATGGCTTCCCATGCTTCGGAACCGCTCCTTGGCCTGGTCGATGGACACGTCGGCGGGGTCCAGCCCGACGTACAGCTGCACGCGATGCGGCGCCTGCTGCCACTTCCCCAAGTCGCCGCCCTTGCCGCACCCAATGTCAAGCACGAGCAGCTCGTGGCCGCGTTCCCCAGCCATGTCGCGACCCCGCTCGTGCGCACCCGGCGTGTGGTCCTCGTCGGGCGAGAATTTCTGGATCAGCGTGCTCTTGACCCAATTGTTGAACACACGCAGGCCCTTGATGCGCGAACCCGTCTTGCGCCAGTCGCGACCCCGCTCCGGCACGGCATTGTAGTGCTCGCGCACGATCTCATTGATGCCTCTCAGTCCTCCCGGGCCCCCGCCCTGCGCCACGGCCGCCCCGATGCTGGCCGCCGCTTCACGCTCCCGCTGCTCCGCCCGTTGCCGTATGGATGCTGCCTCGGAGTTGGAGATACGCGCGCGCTGGCCGGGGCGCTTTTGCCTGCGTGGCGCGTCAGAGGGCGACGTTGAACGCTGTCGCTTCTTGGCTGGTTCGAGTTTCTTGGCGTCGAAAGGCTGAGGGTACTCGCCCTCGTCGTGTAAGCTTGGCTTCTTGCCGTTTCTGTTATGGCTGTCATCCCCGCGGGAGTTGCCTCTGTTGCTGCTGCTACCGCCGTTGGCGATGGGGGAGTCGGAGTGCTTGCGTCTCTTGGCTGAGTCGAGGCGCTTTGCGTCGAAAGGCTGGGGCTGCTCCTCGGTAGCGTCGCCTGCCATTGTGGGCAAGTGACAAAGGAAGCTGTGGCCTGGGAATTGCGATTTTTTTCAGTGGTTGCTAGTCATGTAATTACCCGTAGAATGGAATATAATCCTGAGGTTCGATTGGCGTGACGAGGTGTTATAATATGTTCGGGAGGATGGATTGGTGAGAGATGCTTTCAATGAATGTCAAGGTCGTAAAGGAAGGAGCTTGGGCATGTAAACCCCCCTGGGTAAAAGGGCAGGTACGTACCTGCGGCTCAAGCAGCTCCACAACTGATCGGAGGCGGGCTCTGATTGGTCCCGGATCACCGAGCAGTTACGTCCATCGCTGGTGGCCTGGCTGCAGCTGCTGCTTCCGATCCGCCTGGCAAACAAGAGCTCCAAGAACCTGGAGCTTGCTTCATCATCAACAACTACCCAGCCCATCTCGACAGCGACCCGACTTCACCACGTCCGATCTCCTCAAAACCATTGTCTCACGGAACTTCAACCACCAAAGGATCCTCTCGTTTCACGTATAGTGAAACCAACAACAACAGTGAAAATGGGCTCCGATCCGCAGTACGCGAAATGGCCGCTGCTACCTCTGTCGCAGCACGTCTTCACCCTCACGAACTCCTACGCCACACGACCCGCCCAGCAAGCCTCCGTCAAGAGCTTACAAGATGCCATCAGCGAGCACAAGATGGCCCCGCTGTACAAGTACCTCGCCCACCCCACCGAGGGCATTCTAAACTCAGCCGGCGAGACCACATCGTCAGCAGCAGCAGCAGCGTCCGCGCAGCAGAAGGGCATCGGCCGGAAACAGAGCGCCGCAGGCATGGTGGCCAAGGGCTCGACGTCGGGTGCGAGCCTGCCGTGGGATGAGGACGTCTACCAGAAGCTCAAGGCCGAGAACGATAAGGAGCTAGAGGATATCCAGAAAGAGGAGGACGAGGCCGTCGAGAAGGCCGGCGATACCGAGATCATGGGTGCGAAGGGGAAGCGCGCTGAGTTCTTCGCCAGGATCGGTGACAAGGTTCGTTGAGTCGATACTCTCTACATCTCAACTATGCACCAGCTGTGCGAGTTGGCAATCTTGCTTACACCTTCCACAGGACAAGGCGATAGCAGCCTACGAGGACGTCTTCGAGAAGACCGGCATCCTGGGCACCAAGATCGACCTTGTGCTGGCCATGATCCGCATGGGACTATTCTACGGCGAGAAGATTCTCGTCCAGAAGCAGGTGGCCCGCGCCAAGACGCTCGTCGACAGCGGCGGTGATTGGGACCGCCGCAACCGTCTCAAGGCCTACGAGGGCCTACACCTCCTGACCGTCCGTTCCTACAACCTCGCCGCGCCCCTGCTCCTCGACTCCCTCTCGACCTTCACCAGCTACGAGTTGTGCACCTACTCGAACCTAGTCGTCTACTCTGTGCTCGCCGGCTCCGTGTCGCTGAAGCGGGTAGACTTCAAGAGCAAGGTGGTAGACGCGCCAGAGATCAAGGCCATCCTAGGCGCCGATGGCGAGGACAAGCTGCTCGCGCTATCGGGGGCCATCTCCGCCGGGCCAGGTGCCGAAGACGCCGAGATGAAGGATGCTAAGGACACCGTCACTCCGAAGGCGCCGACCAAGGCCACCACGGCCGTCAACCTGACGACCCTGGGCACCGGCATTGAGCAACCCGATGCCGAGATGGCCGTCGACTTCTCGTCGCTGGCGCAGCTCGTCAACAGCCTTTACAACGGCAACTACAAGCTGTTTTTCGGGGCTCTGGCCCTCGTCGAGGAGCAGTTCCTGACGCAGGACCGCTACCTGTTCGAGCACCGCAGCTGGTTCATCCGCGAGATGCGCCTGCGCGCCTACCAGCAGCTGCTGCAGAGCTACCGTGTTGTGGGTCTCGAGAGCATGGCCAATGACTTTGGTGTCACGGTGGACTTCTTGGATCGGTACGTTTATCCCTTTCACGATAATTCGTGAGCTGCAACTAACGAGTTTGCTCTCTATAGTGACCTGGCCAAGTTCATCGCCGGTGGCCGCATCCCCTGCACCATCGACCGCGTGACGGGCAAGGGCGTCATCGAGACGAACCGGCCCGACGACAAGAACAAGCAGTACCAGGACGTCGTCAAGCAGGGCGACGGCCTGATCACCAAGCTGCAGAAATACGGCCAGGCCGTGCGTCTGCGAGGAAGCGAGAGGGCGTAGTGTACGGAACCCCGCTGCAACACGTCGGGTCCATGGTTTTAGCAAGGCGCGATTCCGTTACCGTCTCGAATCGTACGAGGTGATGGCAGACGGTTGTATGGGCGATTCTGTGATATAGAAAAGTGTAACAATAATACCAAAGGTTTACGATGACCATGAGTACGCCAGATTCCACTTCCGTCTCATGTCATACGCTGCCTAAATGATTTCGTAAGATGCAGATTGGAGACTTGTTTGTCAGATGTTTATCCGTCCATCCACCCATATCTACCTAATGCACCATCGCACGCCGATCTAGCACATGGGCTATCTACCCCAGCGCGCCCAAGCAATCTATATGCTGTCATCCAGCACATTGTAGAGCGAACATGAAATCTACGCTCTCTGAAAAGCACTTCCGTCATCTTCGCCATGGTTTCTATGCATCCACCTCAACTGCACGTCAAAATGATATCACCAGTCGATCATCTGTAGTTGTCCATGAATTCCTGGTGGAACTTCGTAATGGAGCCCACCCACTCGGTTCCCGGCGCCAGGAACGTGGTGCGGAAGTGCAGGCTGCCCTCCTTCTGGCCAAAGCCGCTGCCGGGCACGACGCAGACGCCGGTGGCCTCGAGCAGGCGCATGCAGTAGAACTCGTCCGGGGAGCGGCCCTCTTTCTGCGCGGCCTCGGCCGCCTTGGCCGGCACGTGGATGGTCGGGAACAGGTACATGGAGCCCTGTGGCTCGCCGCACTCGACGCCATCCATCTTCTTGAAGGCGTCATACAGCGCCGAGGCGCGCTTCTTGAGGCCCTCGAAGATGCCGCTGAACTCCTGCTCGTACAGCGGGAAGGACGGGTCGCCCTTCTTGGGTGGGTTGACCATCATCTCCACGAGGCACTGGCCGATGACGGGCGCGCACAGCGTAATCGAGACGAACTTGTAGATCTGCTCCTCGACCTCGGGCTTAAAGCCGATAAGGTCGAAGTAGCCGCCGCGGTGTCCGCACTCGCCGACCATGCCCTTGGAGATGGAGTGCAGCGAGGCGAGCTCGACCGAGTCGTACTTGCCCGGCTTCTCCTTCTGCTGTTCCAGCAGCACCTGTCGGAAGCTGGTGAATTCGCCGACGAAAACATTGGTCTGGTACACCTCGTCGGCCATGACGACGAGCTTCTCCTGGGCGGCGAAGTCCAGCACGGACTTGATGTCGGCGGCGGAGAGTGAGGCGCCCGTCGGGTTGCCCGGGTTGATGATGACGATGGCACGCACATCAGTGCCGGCGGACTTGGCGCTCTCGTAGGCCTCCTTGATGGTGGCGAGCGACGTGCCCCAGTTGGCGGCCTCGTCGAGGTAGTACGGCACGCAAGTGGCGTTCAGGACTGCGAGAGAGGCGGTGTATAGCGGGTATTGCGGGATGGGGACGAGTATGCCGGAGTTGGGAGCGGCGCAGAGGATGTGGAGGAGGGTGTTGACACCAGACGAGGCACCGGCCGAGAGGTAGATGTGCGCAGGGTCGGCCTTGAAACCATCTCTTCCTGTGGTAGGCAATTAGAATGGAAATTCTCTCTGTGGCGATTACGACTGGCACATACTCTCGAGGAACTTGGCTACGCTGCCCTTGATGGCAGGAACACCGGCGCTGGCACTGTAAGCTCCCACGCTGCCGACATTGCTTAACAACCATCTGGCGCGCTCCAGCACATCGACCTTGTAGTCCAGGGATTTCACCAAAACATCCTCGTGCGCCAACAGCTTCGGGTTCTCGAGCAGACTGAGCACCTGGCGGAAGAAGGTGATGGGCTTCTGGTCGAGCTGCTGGGGGTTGCCGATGTTGGCGCTGATGACCTCGGAGAAGGGCAGGTCTTTGCCCTCACCCTTCTTGAGCTTTGCGCGGTACTCCTCGGACTTGACGGCCAGCTCACCGCGCACGGCGTACTTGGCCTCGACGATGTGCTGGTTGATGTTTTCGATGTTGAGTCTCGCCATGGTGGACGTAGGGTGGTACAGTCGTCGCGAGATCTTAGGTACGAAGTTGTGCCCGTAAAAAAATACTGATCCTGGTGATGTTGATGGTGGGGTTCGGGTCCCTTTGAAATGATATCGTGTATATGGTGATGGCGGGGTAATGTCTGTGGCCACGAGGTGATGATTAACCCCACGATCTCAAGCAAGATGCACAAATGGCGAAAAGAGGAATTCGGATCTGGACAACAAGATCGAGAAGAACGAATAACAAGAAAGGCAATTCTAGCAGCATGCAAATTCCAATGCGCGGTAAGAAGAGGAGGAGGGGAGGGTAGGCACGAGGAGGACAGACCTCCAGTTCGTTCCTCCATTTTTGTCGAAGAAACACCGCACACGGCACTAGGAGGACCCTGGAGACCCAGCGGCGATCAACCGCTGCAAGTACTACTGTAAGGCAGCAAGGGTCATCTACTCCAACATGGAAAGTGCAACCTGCATTGGAACCCGCCCCTAATAATAACTCGCAAGGAAGCGTGGGATGGTGGGATGGTGGGATGGAGCGTGTGAAACCGGGAGTAGGTAGGTAGGAGTAGACTTCATGTTCCCAATCCAGCAGATGGAGAGAGATTGTATTGATATTAAACCCAATTCAGGCTTTGCCGCAACCTTGAGCAAGTTCACATTGTTTTTGGTGGCTCATGGCTGAACTCTGTTCATCCTCCCTGATCAACCTCAACGCCAATTCGGGAGTAGGTAGACGCCACCTGCCACATGACAGCTGCCCATCTTCATGTCTGCCTGTCTGCCTGTGCGGTCCACTCGGAGCGAGGCGGCTAGGTACTTGCTTGTGACTGATTTGTTGCTTTCCCGATCCATAGCAGCGCACCCGAGTAGAGCGGCTGCCTACCTTGGTCTGCACTGCTTCGGCCATCTCAGCCGAAACCGGGCGATGGTGACGCTGTACGGACAGGACATGTTCGTTCTCGGGCATTGTTGCTCACGAGAAGGGGACTCCCGGGGCACGTGGGTGTTCGAGGAAGGTGACACGGTTACGGAACAGTAAGAGATGAACGACATGAGATAGGAAAAATCATATCCACCTCTCCGTTGATGCAACCCACGTGGATGCTGCTGATGTTGGCGATGATGAGCGGACGATCTGCGGCTGAAGTATGCGGTATTTGAGGGAACGGCCACACCCAGAGCTCCAGCTCTCGCCCTAGCAGCTGGACCCAGTGACGAGAGGGTCGCCGTCGCCGCCATTCGGAGCCCAATTGGTTGCCGGTGATAACGGCAGCAGCTAGTACTCGGAATGGCCCAGGTGCGGGTTCAAGCTGGAATGATTCGTCGACGTTGATTGTTGGAGTGGGATAGCAGGCGAAGAACCTCACGACATTGAGACGAGATCAGGCCTCTTTCCTTATACCGCATTTTCCAGGCAACCTTTCTAGGTCGCACACGAACCATCTTGCAGTAGGGCGCACGCCACCGATGCTTCTTCTTGTCTCATTGGTTTTGAAGTCCCGGGAAGCAAGTCTTATACACGTTACCTTATTAAACGATAAGGATTTTGGTATAAAAACCTTGGCTTGGCGAACGGGTAGTCCGTATGCAACCTAGAAAGGTTGCTTAAAAAATGCGGTATCGGATTGTTAAAAGGTGTGAGAAGTCACACAAGGGTCAGGACAGGGGATGGATCAGGATCGGGTTGGTTCCTTTTGTTCGTGTCGGGTCAGTGGTCCAGAAGGGACGAATCGCTATCTAAATAGGTGGCCTGGAGCCCTGACAAACCGTCTCCCAGACAGGTGGCTGTTTGGTTGCCACACAACACCCGATTGCTGTCACACACCCCATGGTGACGCACGGACCACGTCAAACCACACACCAGAGCCACCACCACATCTGTTAGATACTAGCACGAATGATGTCACGTGTGACGGTGCACAGCTGTATCCACCTGGTTGAATGCTGAGTCATCAGGTCACGTGTAGATTAGATAAAAAGACCAGGACCATATGTGCTGCAGCCTCGGCTGTACGCACGCCTGTTCCTTTCTCTCAGCTGGTCAATTTCGTAATCAACATCCGTGTATTCAACACCATACGTTCCTTAAAGAGATTAAAATGACTGGTCATTATAACTATATCGTAAATATGTGGGAAGGTATACACGTGGAAGCTCATATTACTTTTTATATTAAGCAATGAGCAGTTTAAAAGAAAATTACATATAAAAGTAAGATTATGCTTAAATTACGTCTTTTGTAGGAACAGGCTTGAACGATCAATCATAATACTCGAGTATGGGGTCAAGGCCATGATGTTGCTGATGGTTGGATTGGGAAGTCTAGCTAGACCTACAGGTCTGGCTAAGTGACCTCATAATCCGGTATCCAATCTCTTATCTAATCATACATGTGTGATGGATCTGACATCCATCCATCCATTCACGGTGGTACGTGCGCTCATCAGGTGATCTGGTGGGGTGGACGCGTTGCCCCACTGCACTCACTATAGATAATTGTGGAGCGGGATTGAAGATCTAATCCCCCACCAGAATTGGCTGGTGGTTCTGATCCTTCTTCCCTCCTCACCAGTAGATTCTTATTCATCTGGAGTAATAGATGGGCATCTTCGTCCTGAGCTGCCAGCTGTTCCGTGACAACATGTGGGTTCTGTATGGATGGTTTGACTGTGGAATCACATAGATCCAACATCTTTACAGCTTAACTTAATAAGATGATAATTTAATGATTTAATAGAAAAAAATACTTAGTACGCATATAAGTGGTAATTTTTAGTTAATAAGACGAGGAACGATACCATCTTTTAATTTTAATCTTTCACCGCTTTATAAGTAAGAAGCATAGGTTGCTAATAATAGCAAGGTAAGGCTGTTTATTATAATTAAGTCATTGTCACGGGCTCCGGTACGGGCAGTATAGGCGATCGTATAACAGTCTATTCTCTACGGTTCTGGCAGGGTTACAGGTAACTCTATTGACAGGACGTAGCTCAAAGAGCTATAATTCAGGTTCGGGCGGGAACAGTGAAGATATCGTCAGTTCTCAGGTCCACATTGGTCCACCCGGGCCGCCGACAGCTGGCGCCCGGGGTCCCTCCACTTCCTGCCCATAGGCAGGGTCCAGCGCCGTGACAGTCATCTTGTAAATTTATACAAGTGTATTTCATAAAACTGCTTATATAATTTATAATATATTACTTTTTTAAGAAGTGGGGGGAAAAGAAGGCATATTACTATGCTTGTAGCTACGGTGTTTAAGATAACAAATTTTTACACGCAAATTAAATAAATGTATTATATTATAAAGGATGTAGTAAATAGGGGTTTTAATTAGCTAGCTTCGTAAGTTGAAGACTAATATTTAAGGGTTTCAAACAACTTAACGAATATTAAGTAGTTAATTAATTTAACGTTAACATCTACGTTATGTGATGGTTCCACCATCTGTCAGATGCAAGCGAGTTCAGATTATTCAGGTTGTCAAGTGTCTTCTGTTGTTCTTCTTGTTCTGCTCTGCTTCTTCAGCGTACAGAGATTGATCATCTGTCTTCTTGGTGGGTCAGATGCCCTGTGCGTCTCTGCCCCACTGGAGATCTTCCGGTGTCTATCTCCGGCTCTCATTCAACACTAACCAACCTCGTACTAACTCTACCAGAGCCCAGTTATTTAACAGTCAAGACGGCCCAGTCAGCTCTAAGACATCTCGTGATCAGTTGACTTGTTTACACTCGGAGTTCAAGACGCGAGCAACTCGTCCGGACATCGACACCCTCGCCGGCCCAGGTCTTCCGCGATCCTGGCGATGGTGTCGTTAAGATAGCCACGCGACTCGGCTTGCTACGTTGAGCACCATGGCGGCGTATCCAAGCCCCCAAAGGTGCAACTGTGCGACATGAACAGGAAAGCAGGTATGGCTTCACCAGGAATTCACGCGAAGTAGCACTATGTGAAGTTAATGGCACGTTGGTTGCTATTAGACTCTAACCGTCTACCTAGCACCTTGGTCCATGATTGACTGATTGTCTGGAAATATGCAATTTCGTAATGTACCGCCCTATGTGCTTACTATGAATCATGGCGAACGTGCAAAAAAGAGCGGGAATCTAGGTACGCCGAACGGGGAAAATGCCAAGCACAGGTATCAGGTATCTTACGGTGTTGCAATGAAGGCAATGCCACCGTGCTGCTCTCACTCCCTTATGTTCCGTTCCCTCTTCATCACCTCACATCACAACTCTGCGCCGGCATTCCTTCGCAAGTACCGTTTCTAGAGCAGAGCCCTCACCGGGTATCGCTTATTCCTTCAGCTTAACATAGTTGCTGGGGAAGATTCCATGTTTTGTGCCAATCATGCCCGTCCTAGGAAGAATCAGCATCCGAGTCAAGCCCACGTTGTCTTAGGATTAGAAGTTAGACTTACCACCAGTCATTGTCGCTATCGGTCTTCTTGAGTACGGTAATGATATCACCCTTCTTGAAGGCAAGATCACCGGGTTGGTCCGCATCGAAATTGAATAGAGCCACAGCCTCATTCTTCTTCATCATGGCTTGTTTGCTGGTGAAGTTGGGCTTCGGTGCTGCGGGTCTACCAGGGCCCGATCTCTTCTCGTCGGCAAAGCCACCTGCAGGAGGTGGAGGTCGGTCGCTATAGACGTAATCATCGTCGTGTCTCGATCCCATCGTATTTGACCTGCTGATACCACTAGCGGGGCGATCATAGACATCGTCCTGCCAGGTACTAGACCTCTTGGGTGCACCGAAGTCGGTTTGACCACCAGCAGGTGCCTCGCCATATGCACTTCCTCGTCCGCCATTCCACACTACATCATCATGGCGGTCCTCGTATACGGGAACGTCGTTGTACATGGTATCGTCGACATTGCCTTGCCGCACGCCGGCGAATATGCGAGAGTTCAGGACAGTCATCAGCGGCGCAGCTTGCGGGGGTGGTCTGATGGATCCAGTGAGGAGTTGTGCAGCTGTCAAGCGCTGGCCGTACAGCTTCTCGTTGGCGTCTCTCCGCTCCACTATAGCTGAGCCCTCCAGCGACACACCCGCAAATAGGCCCTTCGTCTTGCTGTAGCTGAAGATACCGGCCACGCTCTTGAGCGACGCAGCACCCGCCGCTTCGGCATTCCGACCGACGGGGCCTGCCGCTATGGAGACATTTCCGCCGAGTGTGATGGAGCCCTGCTGCGAGAAGGTCTTGACGGCATGTGAATCGTTCAGGATGAAGACAAAGTCAGTGAGTTCGAAGCCAATCTGACCACCGAAACCACCACCAGCCGTTATTATTGCCGAGGGTGCGGACCATGAGCCATCGGGAAGGCGAGCAACGACAAGACCAGAGCCGAAACGAGCGGAGCCGAGGAAGCCGGCCTTGATGACGGTGAGGATTGCGAGACCCTGAGGTCCGGATTAGCCACGGCTACTGTGTGGGGAGGCGCGCCCTCTCGTCCCAAAGGGATTTCCCAACTCGGCTCACCTTCGCGTTGGCCAGAATCTGTGGAGGAATGATCTTGTCGGGGCCGAAGGCCTGTCGCGGGTCGACGAACGAGGTCAAAATCTTGCCACACTTCTTGCACTCGGCTGGGAAGCATCAGGGTCAGCTTGCGATATCCGACAATGTGTGAGCGCGGGACTGGGGGACTGGGGGATTGGGGGAATGCGCCCGATGCGAATGGAAAGCTTACACGCCATAGACGACGGAAGAGGGTTGTTGATACCCATCTTGACGGGCTGTCGCTTGCTTCGCAGGAGGTGACGTGGAGGAAGCCGAGGTCTTTCGCGTTTCGCCGAGAGTGGTGATCGGGGTTGGTGGGAAGAACGGATGGCGGGTTTAGGATGTAGATATGACTGCGGGGTTAGAGCAGGCCGCCAACTCCAGGTGGATTTGGAATCGCAAAGACCAAAGTACAAAATCTGTGATCTGTGATGCGTGACTCGAAGCACTCGGGAGCTGGTGTGACCCTTCTTGGTGCTTGGGCAACAATAGCTCGTCACTGTTTTTATGTGCAGGTGAATGACAGGAAATGTTCAGGCAGCTCTGCCACAATCACTAACAGCTCCTGCAGCTGCAGCGATGAAGTCACTGTGAGTTCGGACGACAGCCCACGCTAAATTGAACAGGGCAACCAGCGTTTGAAGCCACATCGTGTGGCGCAGTGAACAGACGGTCGCCACGCTAATAGCTATTTGTGCACGTCGCCACGCTACTTGTGCACGTTCCCGTCCACGGGCCACCCCCAGTCTTGGCAGCTGGCCTGCTAACTTCCATATGCTCCGCCTCTTCCCATCGGAAATCCACCCGCTTCACTGACCTATGTTCCCTAAGAGAACACTCCCGTCTGGACCTAGGACTCAAGTCAAGGTTTGGATAACATGGCTTGGTGACTCGATTAAATGACATGGTGACTTGATCCAACTTGACAATCTGCCACGAGCTTGTGGTTTTCGCTTGCCGTCAGAGAGCTTCATCGAATCGATATACTACCGCTGAACTCAGGATACATCACCTTGTAGCCCATCTTATCCAGCTCCACAAACCACCTGTGGCAGCGAAGCAGTTTTCAACTCGCTAGGGAGGTAGCAGCACCAGGCTATATCCTGTCCATTCATGTGCCGCTGCCTACGTGTAGCAAAGGGGGACTTCCTAGATGTCCTTGGAGGTTGCTGTCAAATATAGATAAAGACGCCTCCCCATGGCCAGATAAGTAAGCCCTCTTCAGCAGACCAAAATTCATAGCTTTACCTGGCCAGTCGACCAAGAGACCTCTCCGACTGGCTCGGAATCTTGCTTGAGTCTTCATGCATGCTCTGCATAGCATGGAGAAGTCACTCTTTGCTGGGCTGGGCTGGTACTGGGAGAAGAAAGCTGTGACGAAAAGGAACGATGCTGCTAGTCTCCGGTAAGAAGTCAAATTACTCCGTCTATATGTCCATGTGTCTGAGGCTGTCGAGCTCTTTTTGACTTCGCTGCAAGCCGGGTGCCCACAGAGTCACCCCTCGAAAAATCGCCGTCAGCAGCTCCCGTTCCTGTTCGGAATGGCCTTGTGGCTGTCCGTGTCCGATGTCCTCTATCTCCTGCTTGGCTCTGCGGAGTAACAGCTCCCGCAAAATATCCGGCATTGTGGACTGAAGACTGGTTCATCGTCACCAGACAGTGTCGATCTGGGGCTATGTTGAAAGCAAGCTTTGCGTATTTCTCTTGCCAAGGTTGGGCTTGCTTCGTCGACCGTGGCATCCACCACGCAGTCTGCTCCGTTCTGGTACGGTCAAGGCGAATCTTCAAGGCCTTGTTGTCGTTCGACCAAGCTTCCCACACATCGGTGATGATTCAATAAGTCTGTCAAGGCGAATCCTTCTCCCTCCGGCAATAAGATATCCTTACTGTCCAGAACTGGGTGCGTCCGCGTGATCTAAACCCCTGGTTACGATATTTTTCGTTCACTGAGCTCCAAGCAAGGTGCCGTATCTGCATTCCTTATTCCCTTTCGTCGTGTTAAGGTGCGTTATGATGGTCCATCCGTTGATCAGTTCGAGGTCCGTTGCCTTATCCCCAATGAGCAAGCCCTCGGCGTATTCGTTTTAGATGTGTACATTTCCCTCCCGTATCGTCCACCAGCCAAGGGCCTCAATACTCGGAAGCCGTTATGACCGGATCCGATCCGGTCCATCGTGACGATGGACGTCGTGACGCCCACGCGGAATTGGTCGGTAGCCACACGAGCGAGAAGGTTCGCAGCTCCCTCTGGCGTCCAGAAGCGGACCCTGGCCGCCGCTCCTCGGTACTGTTCATTCGAAGCGCTGATATGATTGCTGAAGATCTTCCCCGTTCCATGCATTCCCGCAAGGCGCTCGTTGTAGGTACAGCTACCTGGTCCTCATTGTGCGTGAAGTGGTATGACGAGACAGGCCTATCTGGAAAACACAATAAGGACACCACCATTTCCTTCTCGGTCGGCATGAGTAAGCTCTCTCGTGGAGTACTTAAGTTAACTCTGGTTTTTAATGGGGCGAACTGAAGATGGTATTAACAGACGAAATAAAAACATAGCAAGATGTTAAGTGTGAAGATAACGTAGAGTGTAAAAGCTAGACTTTTAGGGGAGCTCAGAAACCAAAAAATGTGTGCAGTAGCTGTGGAGGGGAGGAAATCCGAGCAGACAGGGCTACTCCCTAATAGATACCCGGTTCTTTTCTGTTCTGGTTCTGTTTATACTGGCAGTCTGTACCAGGCGTACTATATCTGCCAGCCAACAGGACAACACACGTCTTGCTTGACGGCTGCCCATTTGGCCGAAAGCTAGTAGCAGCAACAGTGTCATGTTTTTGGCCCAAGATTCAATTCACATGACCATAGCATCGATGGCTTCAAAGAGACAAGAGTCTCGAGAGGTAAAACGTTCGTTTCATCATCCCCTATATGGCGCCGTGATCGACACCATTATCATAACACATATGAAAGAAATTGCTTCAGATTTGGTCACAGTCCCCATGCTTGTTACAATTTGTACATTCCGTGATGCCATTTGTAGAGCACTCATGTTTGCGCTGCGTCAATAAAACAGTCACGCTTAGTGTAGGGCTATCGCATGGAGGAAACACCCGTAAGTATGGGGATTCAAGCAGAGCGTCGGGGCCAAGGGATAGCTCAACTATTGTCTCCTATATCGATGCACTCTGCAAATGCCACCGTGCCTTCAATGCCCTATCTTCCGCAACTTCTTCCAAACTTCCTCTAACATCGCAAACCGGACCTCGTCCCACCATCTACCCGCGTGCCACCATGCCTTCCGGCTGCTACCCTCCTCTATAAATCCCATACTCCTATACAGGTGTACTGCACGTTCGTTGTACTCCATCACGTTGACCTCAACACGATGCATACCCGCCTTCTCAAATGCCCAGTCCAAGACCCAATCGATTGCTTCCCCGCCATATCCCTGGCCTTGCCACGCCTTGATGATTCCAATCCCGATCTCGGTGGATCGATGGTGCACATGATCCTCCTATCGGCACGGGCTTGGAGGAAGCATCTGGGGCATGGAGGCATATCACCACGCCCAACAAGGCGTTCTCGACTGCTTTGTGAAACAACTCGGCATCTTGCTTGGACGCGGGTCTCTCAGATTTCAACGTCCGGAAGAATGCATCGTCGTCGGGTTCCGCCAAGCGGTAGAGCAGACGTTTGGAGCGGAAGGGATCTGTATCGGCCATAGCTCGACGGAGTGTTCTCAAGTTTCTACTGTATGCTTCGGATACCGGGACAGTAAGACGATATGGAAGCGTGAAATGGGTGACTTGTACATCCCAACGTCGCGACGTGAGTGTGACGGTCGCATTGCATCCACTCACACCAGGTCATGCCACCTCATGCGGACTCAAGCCGGGTCATGCCCGCTCATATGGTCGCACACAAGACACTGACAGCGCTTGGAGGGCTCGGATGGGGCCAAGGTCAAGTTGTTCCGCAGTCATATTGTTCCGCGCTTGTTCCTAGAAGCTTTCTTGGGGCGTTTTAACACCACCGACCACAGCCCCAGATTCAGCGGCAAGCTTTGGTATGTATTTCCATTCACAATAATTCGGCCAGGCGCCAGCGTGTGGATCCCAGCCACTGGATCCAGCCACCAGTACCTTATCGGATCTCCTGTCATCCAGGGCGTCCTACGACAAGGTTACCTGGGATGGCTGCCCCAGGTGACAGGTACCAACCCACTGTAATTTAGGTATTTAGATACTTCTCGGATGGGATCCCTTCCCATCCGAACTTAACCAAGCACCAACCAGAATACAGATCATCCCAACCAAGACTTGTGATAGATCTCCGTTCTGGTTCCGCTACCACAAATGCACAAGCGTGACAGATGTCAGTGTTCGTAGTACATGTATCGTTATCATCGTCGTGATACCTCAGGCCCCAGTGCAAATCATCTAGCAGTCCCGTCTTCCAACCTCATCCGTGCAGCCGAACGGGCCGAACTGAAAGTCTTAAATCCGGGGAAGTGTGGCGAAGCCGGTCACTTGTACAATGTACCAGATCTAGCACCAGCCACACACCCTGCGTCATGCCTCGTCTCGCCTCCTTTTCGTGTGTCGCACTCACCCCCAACTGCTCCAGCATCGAACGTGGCACAAAGCAACCGCATTTGATACGGGACCATTCGGCTGGGACACACAAAGACGAACCAACCCACGCCAGCTCGACGGGCGCACACGATACTTTTCGACTCAGCAACCGAGAAAGCGAGGGAGTGAGATTGCTCTAGCACGACCCAATCCGTCAGCCTCGAAACTCGGCGTACCACCCACATCACCTCACTCACCCGCCGCCGACGCAACCACACCGCCGCCGACGCCGACTCCAAGCGCCCACCACAGTCCGCCCCAGATACCAGCCCACATCTCCGCAGGCCGCTCACTGCCAGTACCGCAGATAAAAGGGGGCAAGGCGACAGACAGAGAGAAGGAGAACAGAAATCCCAAAACCAACAAGATGTCGGAAGCCTACGAGCGCGAGCGCCAGAACAACGCGCGGCTGGAGGAGCTGTCGGCCAAGGTGTCGTCGCTGCGCGGCGTGACGGTGGACATATACGACAACGCGCGGGAGCAGGGGGTCCTCGACAACACGGTACGTACGCTCCAACACCACCACCATTATCCATACATAAACTCTCCACCTCAGTTGTCCTTCCCCCTTATCCCGCTCTTCCGTCCCTCTAACCCATCCTCATCCACTCAAACCCTCACCTCCATCTCTCCCCTTCTATGACCCGACCAACCAACCAAAACCAACCAAGCAAAACTAACAACCATCCCCCGCCTCAGACCGAGACCTTCTCCACCATGTCCTCACAACTCAAAGGCTCCGCCGGCCGCCTGGGCCGCATGGCCGCCTCGGGTAACAAGGTCGCCATCTTCAAGCTGTCGGGCATCGCCATCGGCACCTTCCTCGTGCTGTACTACCTCGCGAAGTGGTTCCTGTAGACCACACCTATCTTTAGACCCCCCATCGATCACCCCCATCGATAATTGTGCGATTCGACTGTGTGAACGAGAGACATATATATATACAGCCCCGATATTCCCTGTGTGGTGACAGGGAGAAAAGGAGAACAGGATGTGCGGCATTGCGGAATGATGGCATTTGGGGGCATCATCCTGATAAATGGAGCGACGGTCCGGCGTGTCCTGGTTGTCGCTTGGATACTAAACGAAGTCTGGCATAGGCACGCGGGCGAGACACGAAAGCGTGTGGCAACTTGACACAGAACCGGGGGAAGGAATGGGTTCGCGTACATAGCCTTGCAGTGGCCGCGCCCCTATGGTTGACTAGGTCTAGGTGACCGGCCGAGCTCTCTAGTGAGGGAATAACGTTGTAAATGACGGAGGAAGTCTGCTCTGGGTCCACGAGTACCCCGCACATAGCATAGCATGGGCGTTAGGGCTGTCAAGGGATTTGGTTTGGCTTGTATGGTATAATACACATGGATAGGTTCACTAATGTTCTGGTTTCATCCTATTCTGACGAGGTCAATTATCTGACGTGCTATTCTATCGGACAAGCTTATCGTGGCCAGCTTCTTATGCTGAAGGACCATTTGCCAAGCATCCCATGTTGAGGAGGGCTGCTCCGTAGGCTTCTGACTTTCCAAGTCATTCCCGCTCTAGTCTAAACCTCTACTCCCAGACATTGGAGAATAGATCATCATTGCCAAAACCACCTGACGGCTTCGCGGCTCTATTGCCCTTCGTGTTTTCGCCCGTGCTGCTCGTCCACCCACCAAATTCCTCATCAGCGGCTACCTTTGGCGTAGGGGCAAATCCGCCGGAAGCGCCTGGTACTATACTCTGGCTGGCGAAGGAGCCACCGCTACTACCCCACCCACCGCCAAAATCGTTGTTGCTGCTGCTAGCCATAGAAGGCTTCGATACAGCGGGAGCTGCGGGGGCAGCAGGCTCTGGGTTACCCCAAGCGTTGCCCCAAACATCCGAGTTGCTGAACTCAGGGGCGTTCATTGATGCCATCGGACTTGGCGCTGGCGCAGCCGAAGGAGCAGGCTTTGACTGGGGTGCGGAGAGGTTGAAGACAGAGTCAGTTGCTGGTGCTGGAGCTGGTTTGGGGGGTGCTGGGGCCACGGCAGCTCGTTGGGGAGCAGGGCTCGACCAGTCAAACAGGTCGCCCAACCCAGACGAGGATGATTGTACTGGTTTCGGCGATGTTGTGGACGAGGCGAATGCACTGAAACTGTCAGATGTGGTCATTGCAGGTTTCTGCTGAGGTTGAGGTGGCTGAGGTTGAGGTGGCGGTTGGGCAGGCTTGGGATCGAAGAAGCCACCACCACTCAAACTTGAGAAGGCAGAGGCGGCAGGCTGGGGCGTAGATCGGTTGCTGGACATGCTCGAGAGGCCTGCAAAAGCATCGTTTTGAGGGCTTTTTGGCGTTGCCGAATTGCCAAAGCTCAAACCTGCAAAGGCATCGTTGAACCCACTAGTAGAGTTCTTAGACTGGTGTCCCATGGTAGGGGACTGCATAGGAGGGGATTGCATTCCCCCGAAACCGCTAAAGGACCCTGTGGAAGCATGGCCCGACTGTTGAGGCTGCTGTTGAGGCCGGGGTGCAGAGGCGTAGAGAGATAGAATGGACTGCTTGAGATCAGGTCTTGACTGACCCCCCATACCACCGGCGGTACCAGTAGTGCTAGCAGGTCGCGGAGGGGCAGCAGCGGCTTCGCCGAGGAAATCCAATCCCAAGAGAGAGTCCTTGTTCACTGCTTTAGGTGGCGCTGGCGCAGACTTGGGAGGAGGCTGGGTGGAAGACGGACGGGCGGTGCTGGCTCTCGGTGGAATATCATCGCCGCCGATAAGATCCATCTGGGGTGGTGGAGCGACGGCACTCCTCGGGGTTGCACTCTGGCTACTAGGGTTTCTCCGAACTGACTCCTTCCTGTCGAGGTTCTGTTTCTCCTTGACGATGCTCAAGGGAATTTCGTCATCACCTTCGACGTCCAAGCTCGCGGGGTTCGGCATCGGTCCCTCCATTACCCAACGCTTCAGTTCGTACTTTGTTCTGATGAAGTTCTCGATCTTGGCCTCTGACGGCGCATGGCCGGCGGCCAGTTTGGATTCCCAGTACTTGTTCGCGCGCGCATTGCCCCAGTTCAGGACGCTCTGTAGCTGTTCGTCTGTCCATGAATCAAGATCGACCGACTTCACTTTCGATATGTGTGTGCCCATGCCTCGGTGAATGCCCGAGCAGCGAATGCAGATGAAGACGCCCAAGTTCCAGCTAGCCCATCGCGGATCTGCGCGGGGGTGTTAATACGTGATAATCAGGGGGGTCCGGAGAGACAGGCTACCCACGTTTGTTCCTCTTGCAGTCGGCGCATACTTTGTTCGACTCCAGTTTGACGAGACTCTTGAGTGTTTGCTGATTCTGGGCTGCTCTCTCGGCAGCAGGATTCGGCGGGCGTCGAGACATGATGGCGAGGCTGCAGGCTGCAGGATCGGAAACGTCGTATGCGGTGTGAGGGATCAAAGACAAGGAAGAGGTTTGTCTGGATGAGAGGTTTGGTAGGTGGTCGGGGTAAGAAAGGATTGCCTAGGCAAGCAGTCTGGTAGTTGAATGGGCAAGGTACTGTACTGTAGGCAGGCAGATATCCAAGACCAAGGGGATTGAATGTGTGTCGCACCAATGCATCCACTGCATGTATGGAATTCCAGGTTCCAATCGGAGATACCAGACCATTTGACCCCTTGGCTTGAACTCTGTCAAACTGTGGCTTAAAGTTTCAATCAATGGTAGCAGTGGTCCTAGCGTCTACTACAGTGGCGCTGATCGGTGAGGCAGTTGAGGGACGGACCCCGGCCCCTGTACAACTCGGGCTGTGAACATCACTTGGCTCTGTACGAAACACTCCGTATCAGTCCCGTATCAGTTACGGACTCACGTATCAATGCTCAGTCAGGCACCGTTTCCATTCCAATTGCGTCCAAGTGGGGCAGAGTCTCTGACGACATCAAGACGGTCCTTGTCAATTGTCAATTGTCAGGGTCCAACGCCACGCAGGTGGAGGTGGAACTCCCGTCAACCAACACCAGGCGCTACATTATAACTCACTCACATCGCTGCACAGCCCAGCCCAGCCGTGATTCCAAAGATTCCAAATCACTTAACTATCATTGTCACTATATACCCTGCCACAAGCAGACGATACTGCCACTATAAAGAGTACCTTAAGACACCCTTCTCGGTCCATCCTCTTACGTACGTACTCATGCGCTTCCCTCCGTTCTCGAGTTTGCTTCGGACTTTCTACGCATTCTCCAATCTCAGCCGAGTTCAAGCATCGGCCTCGACTCGTCAATCCCTGCATCGCAACCCATCAGCGCTGAAATCGATGCCCAGCATTCCCTTCCTCGGAAGTCTGTTTGGCTCCAGCGCCAACTCTGCCAGCAAGATGTCATACCCGGAGAAGAAGACGGACGATGAGTGGCGCGCCGTCCTGAGCAAAGGTAAGCAAGTCGATTTAAGCTACTTCGCCACCACCGTCCGGGGCTGATCGTTAGCCTAGACCAATTCCGCGTCCTCCGAGAAAAGGGCACCGAGGCACCGGGCTCTCACAAGTTCGATAAGTTCATTCCTGGGTCTGGTGTCTTCACATGTGCCGGCTGTGACGCGCCACTGTATAAGGCAAACCACAAGTTCAAGTCGGGCTGCGGGTGGCCAGCCTATTTCGACAGCATCCCCGGTGCCGTCACTCGCCATGAAGACCGAGCTTGGGGTATGGCGCGGACCGAGATCGTATGCTCCAACTGCGGCGGTCACCTTGGCCACGTCTTCAAGGGCGAAGGTTATGCGACCCCGACAGATGAGAGACACTGTGTCAACGGTATCAGCTTGAACTTCTCGCCTGAGGACACGCCGGTGCAGCCACCAAAGGACAGCAAGGCCTGATGAGAACGCCTTTGGTTTCAACACAGCATACTTACTCACTGGCTCGGTGCATTGGGGCCAAGGTGCATATGCTAGGACATATATGGGGTGGCGGAAGTCGAAGATTCGAACAAGTGCATTTCGGTTTTACTTTGACGGCATCTCAGATACCAATCAACATATATAAAACATCCAGAGACTTTCAACTATATCTGCGATTGGCAATCTTCATCTTCCAAGTGCGGTCACATGGCACGTCCCAACTGTCGCTTCAATATCGTCACTGCCTGATTATCCCACAATGTGATTATCCCACAACATACCTACTCTAGTCCTGAACATCTTCTCGGTCCTTGGAGTACTGTCAATACAGCCTTCACACAAAGTTCATCTGCATCATCTTTAGTGATGGCTACTCAACCATCCGAGACTCCCAGGACATCCCAGGGGAGGAAACGCCTTGCGTACTTGTATCAAACATTAATTGCTCACTCGTACCAACTACCTACTCTACATATATGTTTCTCATTGGTGGCAACCCACTTTTGCACCACAATGGTAGGTATGATATACTAGTCTCACCTTCATGGTCTACAACAAGGTCTGGAACTGTAGACTCAACATCCTTCACACTTGGGATCAGAGCCCTCGAGCTTCACATACAACAATTCGCTCACATACCACGGCTGTACAGGAGTCATAACCTCAGGTAGCCCAGCGATTTGTTTCATTATTAAGCTCTCCGGCCGCGAGGGAGGAGCCAAACCGAAATGCCCCAATACACAACAAATAGCATAGCCCCCGTGCTGTACGTAAAGTCTACCAGAATAAAACGCCACAAATCCCAACATTACGTACCTGATTCCCCGGCAAATGCGCCAGCACTCGACTTCTATATCCAACGCAATAGGACACGAAGAACATGGTCACGCCCACTGTGAATGGCAGACGGCAAATCCAAGTATAACCACCACCACAGCTTGTATCTGGCTCATTACTATGCTCTCCAGGGAAGTCATTCCTGATTCTTATTTCTTATAGCCAGGTTACACGGTTGCGAAGGGAAGCCAGCCCAGACCTGCCTGATGTCTTGATCCACAAAGCAGCAACGCTGCAACTGGTGCTTGAGGGTACTGCATGACTGACTCTCATAGACATGTGATACTGTTACTAAAGGCATCTCCGGCCGACGGCTTCTTGACACTGTCACAACTCACCACGCCAATTCTGTATACCTACGCATTGGCCTAGAAACTAGAATGTATATGAGCTCACCCAACAAGCCCTCATTGATTAGCTATGCTAGTTTGCACCCTCGAGCCAAAAGAAAAGCCAAAAAATCAGCAATAATATGCCAAACTTCAACCAAAACTAACCTCTTCCAGGAGCTCAGCAATAGTATACCAAACTTTAAACAGAACTCATGTCAGGAACTCTATCTTGCCACAGCACACCAAGGTACAAAAAGAACCAGTCTCCGAAACTCAGCTCGTCTGGGCCTTCCACTCTATTTAACCCGTCGTTCCTATCTTCTCCTAACCCGTCATTCCTCTCCTCTCCTGCACCTTCACCCGTACACATCAACCATCAGCAACGCTCCCAGCCTATCTGCAACAACGACCTCCACAACCCTGCGATGCAGAGGCTCTGGGAGGCGTGGTTTGCACTACTGAGGAGCGATCCCCCACGTTAAATACAATCAATCAATCATCAATCAATCTATCTGCAACAACGCATCGTCTGGTGCCGTTCTGTTACCATACTCATACTCATTATCCTGTTGCCAACACCACTCTGCAACACTCATTCCCCTGCTGTTCCTGTCGGGAACATCATCAACACACACAACCCCCGTCAGCATACTGAGCCTTCACGACCATCACCGTCACCATGCCGCTCTTCAAGGAGGAAGAAGACGACAAGCTGGACCTAGCATCCATCCCACAAATGCCGTCCGTCGTGAAGAACGAAGAAGAAGATGACCAGATCGAATTGAACTCCATTCCCCAGGCTGAGCAGGCCAACCAGGGTCAGAGTTCCCGCCAACACGCATACGGAACCCGCTCCGTAACTCGCCGGGAGGCACACCAGCGACGTCTCGCCGCCGAAGGACGCGAGCCCGCGTAAGTACATTTTCCAGTCTATCATTTCCCCATAGTTACGGCCACGTTCCGGGCGCGAATTTCCTCTTCTAGCCTGTGTCAAGAGCCCTTGCTCCCAAGACACGCATTATGACTCCTCCTGTTTCCTGGCAGAACATCCGAAAGGAGTTAATTGCTAACTCTAATTTGCTACCAGACCAGAGCCAGCACGCCAACCGCCGCGGGCCGGACACCATCATCGACGCCTCGCCCGCGCTCGTCGCCGCGAACGAGCTCGTCGCCTCGCCCAGCGAGATGAGGCACTCGCCAGAGTCGACGAGGCAATCGCTGGCGGAACGCACGACATGGAACAAGGGCAGCAGTTCCAGACAAACATCGACGCCGCAATTGCGCGAGGTACGTATAAAAACATCCCATCCCATCCTATCCCAAGGCCCTAGGCCTTGTTTTCGAGAACAAGCTTCTTGTTGTTCCCTTTACTTCTTCATTTAGAGATTGTCTCTGCACGGGGTTTAAATCACGATGCTAACGTAGACACAGCAACCCGAGATTTAGAACGCCTTAACATGGCACAAGCCCCGGCCGACATAGGAGGCCAACGCCGCATCCGCTTCCGCGTGCGAGGAGTCCCTGCTCCCCAACCCCCAGTCCAACCGAGCCGCATCGTCGAGATCTACCGACGGTCGGGTCTGCTGCTGGCAGGCTTCGACACTCACACCTCGCAGTTCATCTACCACATCGGACGTGATGCCGACTTTTTCATCACGGCGCAGAACAGGAGGTGCTTCACGATCCTGGACGCCTCGCACGACCCCGTCTTCATCCAGGGCGTGACGCACCCCGAGATCGAATATGAACAATAGATGGCAGCTTAGCCGCCTGATTTATGACAACGTCACCAACGCACTGCTCATTTCGCCTCTTTCGAACAGTTTAAATTTCTGCTGGCCACGGTGTCCTCAACTCGGTCTCCGATTCATTTGGTCAGACACCGGCGGCTTATACGACTATACGACTATACGACTATACGACTATACGACTATACGACTATACGACTATACGACTATACGACTATACGACTATACGACTATACGACTGCTTGTACACGACTACACGACTGTCTGTACGACTAACTTATTCGACAACCACGACACGATCATCGCAACTGTCATCGACTACGAATTTGATTTTTTTTACGAGCGCACGAATCGGCATACACCACCCACGATACCCATAGAATGTGCACAACACATAGGGAGCTGGGTTTCTGTAACGAACAAGGTCTAAGGGATGAACCCGAAGAGCTTGATATGTAGACCAATGTATATTGTAGCTGTTAAAGAAGGAAGAGGAAGGAAAACAAGTAGCTGGCGGTCCAGACCTGGTTATATACATTGTTTTGTTTGTTTGTTTGTTTGTTTGTTTGTTTGTTTGTTTGTTGTTTGTTTGTTTGTTGTTTGTTTGTTTGTTGTTTGTTTTGTATTTAACGGGGGGGTAGCTCCTCAGTAGTGCAAACCACGCCTCCCAGAGCCTCTGCATCGCAGGGTTGTGGAGGTCTCAAGATAATAAGTACAGTCAGTCCCGCTCACGGGCCCATCCCCGTTGTTGCGGCGGTATGACCTTGGGGTCATCCATCTGGTCCTTCAAGGAAGGCTATCTATCGGGGGCAGATTGTTGAAAAGAACTTGCTCTTCTCCACGAATTTTGCCCATTCTGTGCTCCTCTCCCCTAAGTATTGTAAACAAGCTGCCCTAGGCGAATGCCTAGGCAGTAGCCGATTTTTCCCCAGCCTCTTACAAAAGAAAATATGTTGTGGTGTTTTCTTTTCACCACAACTGCAATGGTCATTCGAGTCTGTGTGCCCAAAGCGTTCATGGTATCTGGCAAAGTCGCCATGTCCAGATCTGGCCGCTAGAAGTCTGTGTAAAGTACTCCTCTTAAAAGATATAAGGTCTCTTTCAGTTACTGCATGTGAGTATACTTCTTAATACCTAGATTCTGATTGGTCTTTCCACTATTGGTTGAACTCTTTCTTGCCCTGTCTTTTGAGATCTCTCTTGACCCAAGAGATTGTGGGAAGGTTTGTTGTGTCTGTTTCTAGCATGGCGCCCTCTTTTGCTAGTGTGTCAGCAGCCTCATTACCATCAATATCTCTGTGTCCAGGAATCCATTTGACGGTCACTCCAGGAGTGTGTGCTGTGGCAAGTTCTTGAAACCGTAGAAAAATGTTCTGTGATGTCTCGGGTGGAGTCCCATTGAGCCCATCTACCACTGATGTGTTGTCCAGGCAGACATATAGCTATTTTCCGTGTCCAATTGCCCTGGCTGCTACAAGACCTTGGAGAGCACCATGGACTTCAGCATCCACTACTTCTGTTTGTAGAAGTCTGTCCCTTCCCCGGTATACTTCTTGTGTAGTGCCGCCTTTTCTGATGGTATAGCCCCATCCAGTACGGGTTGTGCCTTGGTCGTCCAATTGTGATCCATCTGAATAGATGACAAGGTCAGTGTTTGTATTTCTTTCCTGTAGCCATTGCTTGAAGAGCTCTATTTCTTTGTCTTTGTCTTTACAGACTGGGGGCTTCTTCCATAATGGCTTGGTGAGTATTGGTCTCTGGAAGTCAGGGACTAGTTGGAAGCTCCTTTGTAGCCTTGTTGGTTCTTTGCGAGCTTGTATTTGGAGCCTGCCAACAAGAGGGTGTCTCTGGTCTACTTGTCTGAGTCGGAGGCCGTGACGTCTTCTTATTGACTCTGCAAGAATTCCTGTTAGAGAAATCTGTGATTCGAAGTGTAGGATATGTCCAGGGTGTGTTTTTCAGACTGGCAAGATAGCTCTGATTGCCATTTGTAGTACAGCATCTATCGTTCTAAGAAGCCCTTTAATGCGACATGCTGATGTCCCACCTAAGCTCCCAATTTTTTCTATTCCTGGGTACCAGGCCTCCAGGCCATGTGTAAGAATAGAAATAACACAAGTTTTCACAGCCCTCTTGGTTGACTTTACTGGAAGTCCTTTGACTGTGTTGCATAGTCCTCGAAGGTGGTTTGCTACCCTACTAGCTTTCTTGGCCCAGTAGGAAACATGATCTTTGAAGTTCAGTTTTCTATCCAGGAAGACACCCAGCCATCGCATGGAGTTCTTTGCTGTTCTGTTCATTGTCCCGTGGCGGACCGGAGGATTGTCTGAGTTCTTTTTCTGTGAGAAATGTATGATCTCGGTTTTGTCGGGATCAAATTCAATAGCGTTGTCGTGTCCCTATTGGTTGAGCAGGTAAAGATTTTCAGAAGCCTCTTTGGCTGTTTCTTTGAGGTCCTTTCCAATGCAGAGAGTTGCTAGGTCGTCTGCATATCCAAAGCGTCTTCTTTTCATCCCGAGTCGGGCACAGATTGGCTCTGTATATAGCATATAAAGAATTGGAGAAGCTGGTGAGCCTTGTGGTAGCCCATAAGTGAGGGCTTTTATATCGGTCACAATACCTTCAAACCGAACTCTTGCGGATCGTTCAGACATGAATGACTGGACCCATCTTATGAGAAAGCCTGGCCAGCCCTGTTCTCTCATGCGAACCACCAGCCGTCCCATTAGGGCAGCATCGAAGGCCCCTGTCACATCTGCTGTGATTACCGTTGCAACAAGGCCTTGGTCAAGGGCCTGCTCAATATCATGTATGAGTGCAGCTACCAAGTCAGTGGCAGAGCGCTTTGGTAGAGCTCCAAAATGTTGTGGAGCTAGAATTCCAAGTTTGATAACAAACCAGGCAATTCTTTTTGTAATGAGTCGTTCTAGGCCTTTGCCAAGACATGATAATAGCGATATTGGTCTGTAGGCCCTGGGGTTGGAGTAGTCTTTCTTGTCTGGCTTTGGGATCATCACCACCTCAGCTACTTTGAATGGTTTAGGGTGGTGTCCAATCTGTAGACAGGTCTGGAAAAGGGCTCTGATATGCTCCCCAATGACTGGCCAGCAAGCTTTCAGAATCCGTACTGTGAGGGTGTCTACTCCCGGGGAGTTGCTCTTGGTCCCTATAGTGCACCCTTCAGCCTCTTCTAGTCCGACATGGTATTCGAGGGGGATGTGTGGCTTGGCTTGTGTGATCTGAACAGACCAGGGGTCGGTGATATCGTTGTCTGGGGTGCTTCATTCAAGCGTGGCTAAGCGTAGTGCATTTGCTTTGCTCTCTTATGACTCATAGATTTGGTCCCCAGAAATGATTGGTGGGGAACGTAATCCTGCTGACAGCTTGTGCCAGGAAACAATTCTGTACAGGTCTTTTGGTTCAGTCGCTGAATCAATTAGAGTCTGCCAGTACTCTCTCTTAGCTTTTCGGACCACACAGCGAAATTCCTGTCGGGCTGAATTTCGCCCTTCTTGGCTTGTGGTCTGTTTAGAAAGGGCCCTGTATGTCTGAGCAGCTGCTTTGCAGTCATCATTCCACCAAGCAGTGGGCCTAGATTGACCGGGCTTCTTGCCCACTGTCCTTATACAGCCTTGAATCATGTTGATCAAGCTTTGTGTAAATCTATCCACCTGGCCAGGGATACACCTAGCTGGGGGAGTTCATAAATCCTGGTTTGGACATTGTCTGCCAGCTCTTGTAGTTTATCGTCCGGTACTATCCAATGATTGGCCTTGGGAACTCGGTCCCGATCTCTCTGAATTGGAATGACTATTCGTAATGTCTCGTGATCTGAGGTGCACTGAAGTGCATCATTGACTGAGGCTTCAGCCATGGGGACATCTGAGAACACCAGATCCAGTACATTTCCATCATTATGTGTTGGGACATCTGGTTCAGAAATCAGATCCAGTCCGTGGTCTGCCATAGTCTGTGCAAGTATGATACCACCGTGATATCCTGGATTGTTCGAGTCCCAGGATGTGTCGCCAGCATTAAAATCTCCAGCTATAACACAGCCAAAAGGTGGAGTCCATACTTCTAGAATGTCATCCACTTCCTGTGGGTTGTCACATGGTCGGTAGACACTGGCAAAAGTGATGCCTTGTACCTTGACCCAGGTGATGTCTCGTGTAGCATAGGGCCGAAATTGATCCGCTTAAAGGTGTTTTCTCACATAGATGAGAGATCTGGGCCGTGTACTGTCGCTGTCCCAGGAATCCACTGGGGAGTATATATTGTAATTGGGGTGTGTCTTTACTCCCATTCTTTTGCTTGGTGGTATGCCGACCCAGGGCTCTTGCATCAGAATGATGTCTGCTTGTTCTCCTTTATAGTCAGCCAGGTTGATGGCTAACTCTGTAGGGCCTGCACTCTTTTGTCCCCCTGCTGTATTCACAGAATGGATGACTAGATGCCCGTGTCGATGTGTTTCGTTTGATGTACCTAACATTGACTGACAACAATGGTATCGGCATCTCTGGGATGAGTTGTATCTGTTGTGTCGATTTGCATTGTGGTGTCTTTGTTATTATTGCTAGGTGTTGACCCAGCTTGGTTTCTGCCTGCTTCGTTGAAGGCCTTGGATCTGGCTCTTTCTCCGGCTAGCCTTATTTCCTGGATTTGCTCCCATGTGTGCTTATGGATGGTACCTTTCACAACCTTGGGGCGGGCAGGGCATTTGTCGAAGTCGGCAGCATGAGGCCCCTTGCAGTTCACGCATTTTGGGATTGATTTTTCGCAATCCCCCTGGTGTACTGTGCTGGCGCAACGTGCATATACTTGCTTTTCATACCGGTAGTTCCTACCATGGTATCTGAAGCAGCTCGTACACTGGTGAACCTTGGGTGTGTATTGAATATGCCTCTTGCAGCACATTCCTGAAACATTGTCATCCTGGCTTCATAAAGGTGCTTGTCTTTACTCAGTATCTTGGCAACTTGGTCCTGGCACTCTGAAGAGGAGGCTTTACTCCCTGCATCATATCCGATGGCTTGGTCTGTAGAGATTTTGTTTGATCAAGGTCCTTTCATATCAGTGGTGCTGCCGTTATTAATATTTCGGGATTTTCCTTTCAGAGGGGAAACAATGGTGAAGTCAGTCTCAGAGACCTGTGACGGGCTGCTGCTGATGTTGTCGAGCAGCGCCTGGCGGAGCCTGCTCGGAGTTGCCGGGCCGTATGTCTTTTTAGGGGCCAGGGATTTGAGCACGCTACCAGTAGTCGTCTTTGGGACGGCCACCGGCGTATTTGGGACGGCCACCGGCGTATTTGGGTGCCCGTCATGAAAGGGTGCTCTTGTAAGAAAAAAAATTGTTGCGCCTTGGCAAAGGTAGTCAGTTACTGAGACAAATGCCTGCTTTAGTGCAGATATGGAGGTTGCGCCCTAACAGCGGGGCGCCAAGAAAAATAGTTGTTTTTGTCCAAAGGATGATGCGCTGTGAGTGACTGTAATGTTATAAAGGTATGTGGTAAGTTACACCTTATGCTCATCTCACTCTCCGCATCAACCCTACCGGGACAGATTTTCTTGCATCTGACAATATCAACATGGCTACTAAAACCGTGCAACGCTGTGAGGCGAACGGCATTTCGGTCATTGTAGCCGGAGCCGGAGTGGGTGGCCTCACGACAGCCCTCGAATGCTGGCGCAAAGGCTGCGACGTCCGCATCTTTGAGCGGACGAGGGAGGCGCTGACTTCTGGTGAATTATATCCTTCCTTGTGTGGTGAACACGAAGGCGCAGTTCATTTAGGGAGGACTAACTCACGTGCGCCCAGGTGACTCTTTCACCATCGGCCCAACAGCTCTCGACGCCTTCAAGAACTGGCCATTTCTGCAACAGAGGACGCGAGAGATCTCGTACCATCACATGATCGCCTACCATCACATCACAGGAGAGCGTTTCGCCGGACCACTGGAGGTCACACAGCTAGTGTCTACGAGTGTCAACAACAGGCAGTTCCATCGCCATTCGAGGCCCAAGTTCCACGCCATGCTGTCGGAACAGCTTGCACAAGTTGGCATCCAGGTAGAGTACGGCAAGGCAGTCGTCGACTACGCCGAGGACGCCGAGAGCGGCAAAGGTAGCGTCGTGCTCGAGGACGGCTCGGGCCACCAAGCGGATCTGGTCGTCGCTGCGGATGGCGTCAAAGGTCGCTCGTGGGGACTCGTCGCTGGTCAACCGGTGCCGGCTAGGAGTAGTGGCAATGCCATCTACAGGGTTGCTTACCCGGTTGGCCTGGCGCTGGCAGATCCTGCTGTCGCCGAGCGGTTTCCGTTGCGCGAGGATGGGCGATCAGTCATCGAATTATGGATCGGGTGAGGTTGCATTCGCGTCGTGAGACACTATAACCGTGGGTTCCTTGAGCTGATGCTGTAGTAGCTCTGGCATGAACGCTTTCTTCTGGCGGAACCAGGATGAGATGCAGTGGCTAGTGCAGCACGAGGCAAGCTTTGGAAACGGATAACCCCTATCTTCGGCGCCTTCGCTGACTTGACTCTGCTGCAGGACAGTCAAGACCGTGACACCCCCAGCAGCGGGTCCGCCAAAGAGTCCTGGTCACACCGAGTAAGCCCGGAAGAGGTCATCAAGTATGTGGCAACCATACCCGGCTGGCCCGAGATCGGCACCCGAGTCATCAGAACCACGCCTCCAGACCAACTGGTCCATTGGAAGCTCATGTGGCGAGATCCCCAGCCGAAATGGACCTCCCCAGCCGGTCGCGTCGTCCAGCTCGGCGATGCCGCGCACACATTCCTGCCGAGCTCGGGCAACGGCGGTACGCAAGCCATGGAGGACGCCATATCGCTCGCAGCATGCCTAGCCATGGCCGGCAGCAAGGAGAACGTTCCGGACGCCATTCGCATGCATAACCTCCTCCGCTTCGAGCGTGTGTCGTGCTTGCAAGCCTTTGGGGTGCTGAATCGTCAGAAGAACACTTCGGAGCGCAAGCAGGACGGCAGCGATGCGAAGCAGAAGCAGGTCCACATCGGCAGGTGGATCCTGGAGCACGATCCTGAGCAGTATGTCGTGGACAACTATGAGAAAGCACTTGAGTGCTTGCGAGATGGAGGCGAATGGGAGAATACGAACATACCACCTGGGCTTGTGTACAGGCCGTGGACGATCGACGGGCTGCTGGAGGCACAGGCCAAAGGTGAGCCGACGGTGTTGGATGGTGACTGGGATTGAATGGCTGGGGGTAGATTTACAATAATAACCGTGGGCTCAAGGGAGAGTGGTTCCAAGATGATCACATAAACATAGCCTGGTAAGGTTGTAAGCCCTTGAAGCACAGAGACGTATCGAGTGACTCTTGAGCTGAGTTATGGCACGAGGTTTGAGTCTTAGAAAAATATGAATCACATCAACCAGAATCTTCTCTTTGCTCTTTTGGAGGTGTGGGTTCGAGTTGCGGTAAATTCAGAAGGGTTAGGTCGGGAGAGGCAGGTCCAGAAAGGAGGAGAAGGGAAAGGGGGCACTATCACCAAAGCGTCTTCTACCCTTATGCCGCAGGGCCCGAACCGGCTTAACATTTTCCCTCTACCCTGGGCGAGAGGGGGCTGCTGATCAACTACCAGCCAACATTATACTTCAAGTCGTCTCGAAATTTCAACGAACGAGCTCGTGCCATGGTGGAGGAGTAAGTCCAACCTTGGTTAAAGCACCTCAGACAGGTGAGGTCTCACGAATGACAGAGATTGTCTTCACAGCATGGTCTACATCGCCACAGCTTTGGGCTCCGGCGTCCCGGAGCCTCAGCACCTGGCCCTGCACATCTGCGGTGTATACAGGACGGGCGAGCAGACAGGCGAGCCAGTTGCCGAAATCAAGAAGAGCAGCGTTTTTTTATAGTGAGTGCTGCGTCTAGGGACTGAGAAAGATCGGTAGTCGGAGGATGTGGCATCATTTCCGTGGGAATGCGTCGAACCCGACGCTCACGGCGGCGTGCCACGCGCTCGCTAGTGTCAGGGAAATCGCCAGTGACCTGAGAGGCGAGATGATAAGCATTAACAAGTGAGGTGACGGGGAGGCTGAACAAGGGACGCACGACGTGACGCTGGTTGCTTCGAGTGTGGACCATAACGTTACTGCAATTCCTAACCAATAGTCTAGTGAGAGTATAAGGTTGCCGCCAGTATGAGACCCGTAGCCGACAAGTCGCAATGGTCTTTGTGAATAGAAGGTCCACTAGCATTCGTCGATGCTTTCTTTTATCCCAACAGTTGTCCATCATAGAAGAGAAGCAATAGCCATTCCACTGCAACAACATACACCACCGCGTAGACCCCGTAAGAAAAGAACAACGCCATACCAAAGAAGAAACACGCATATTATCCCTCTCCTGACTCCTGAGTCCTGCCTCAGCTAGTCGGTGATGATGTAGCTTCTCTACCTCGCTCCAGGTGCCGTAACCAAGACCTTCGTGCCTTACCAAGTTGTGAAGAACCAGGTTGCCCGTGTTCAGTGTCTCGGACATGAGCGTCTTGAACGGCTCGCATTTCGAGAGTGGACACATACTCATCCCGAAGTCGAGACCAGTCTCCACGAGCTGCGTAAATGTCATAGATGTCCTTCCAGCGTCTAATCCTCTCTTGCTCGCGAGATCGCTGCATTGCTTGGCTTTCTGGCTGTAGCCGCGATATGACTTTTTGGGCCTGGTATCTGCGTGCGTTTTCCTTCACTACCAGGTCGTAAGTGAAAGGGTGAGGTGATTTGACTGATTTCTAGTCGTCAGTAACATGTTTCACTATTGACACTATGAAAACAAGGAATGTCAGCGGAAGGGGAGGGGAATTACCTCCAGTTCACCAAGAACTCGTCCTCCAGACTCGCCAGGTTCCTCTTTGGTTCGTTCCATCGGGGATCTTGAAGTATGCCGTATATCTCGGAGTCCCATACGCAAGACGCGTCGTACACGAAAGCATGGTCATGCTTCTCGAAGACATTGTTGTGACAATCAGGCCTGCAGCTGCGCTGGTCAGGGCTGATGGGATGAAATATCTAGATTCAACGATATCTAAGGAAGAAGAGGCAGGGTCGGAAGAGAACGGGGAAGCTAGGGGTATATATGTACATAAATATGTGGAGGTATTATGTAATACCGTAACAATTGTGAGCCTTGATGAAGTCGACGCTTAGGATAGCGTCGACTTCAAGCTCCTCTATAACATGCCATTCATATTCACATTCGCGATCCCAATCGTTGCGATCTTGAGCGTGGTTGTCCCATTCATCATCGTCTGGGATCGAATTCGCCCGACCATCTGGACTATCATTGTGCCCTGAATTGTCTACGCAAGACCGAAGCTCGCTAACTCGATCTGGTGATAGGAATTGCCATGCTGCTGTGACGACACCTGATGTAGAAGCGAAAGAACCATCCGCAAAACTCACTCTGGTCCTTCGACTCGTAACAACCCAAAGGCCGAGCCTTTTGGCGTACGACGCCGATACAGCCATGATGCCAGAACCCGAGTCTGGGACGACCAGTGCCGATTTGCCGCCGATAAATCCTGTCATCCGCGCTCTTGAATCCTCAGGCGCCTCTAAGTCGTCAAGAAGTCGCAGAGCGCACCAGCCAGCGCCGGATACGATGAATTCCTTCAGCCTATGCTTGAAGCGAGAGATCAATGTCTGGGTTTGCCGTAAGAATCCATGGCCTAGGATGAGGCCGTGCTCAAGCTTTGGTACGATGAGGCATTGCAGAGGATATGCCGATTTCTCTCCAGTGAAGTTGAAGTCGACCTTGACCGTGCCTATTGTAGAGCAGGTCTTCCCAGATGGTAGTTTGATCTGCTTGGTAGGGCTTCCGGGCTCTGGTGATAACCCCCGTTTCGATGCTTCCATTTCGGATATGGCGTTTACGTTTGCACCGGTGTCGGCCAAGGCCTCAATCAGAGTCCCATTCATGTATCCTTCAATATGCCATTCAAATCCGGCAGAGCCCAGGACCGAAGTACCGACCGGCTGAAAAGAATCCGGCGCACTTCGGAGTCGGCGGACATGTTGCCTTGTCGAGACAGTCTGATCAGATTCGGTGTGTTCCCGTGGCGCGAGCGACTGGTTAGTTTCGACGGCATCCGGGCGGTTCTCATGTCGGCCATGAGTTCTTGAGGACCGCGAGGAAGGCTTAGCCCGAGGCGTGGAAGGCGAGGGACCATCGTCTGGGTTCCAAAGTTTCTCCTGCTGGGATGATCGTTTAAGAAAGTCGGGGTCGTTGACAGCCGATATAGGTCTGGCTCTTGACCGCTTAGGAGGACTGGCAGACCTTGGGCGGGCTTTTATCGAGGATGCAGGGGACTTGCGCCTCTTGTATGGAGTTAGACTTTCATCCCGAATAGCTGGGGAGTCCGTATGCGATTGTTCTGGTAATTGTCCGGAGAGTTGTTCTAGTGATTGTCCTCTCCGGACATATTGTATCAGAGTAACAGTATCCTGGCCCTTGATAAGATCCGCATGTCGGTCTTGTAGATGGTTGTGTATGCGCTCATCTATATCAGGGAATTCTCCATCGCAGTTTGGACAAGATATCTTATTACTTCTCCGAAGATAGTTAGTATAGCTAGCGGCTAGCGGCTAGCGTAGGTTCTTTCTTAGACATGATAGCTGTGTCCTATTGGCTGTCTATACAACACAGATACGGGATGTGTTCGGCTGGGAGCAATGTTGCCGTTTCGAGTCGAAGTGTCAATCGAAAGAAGAACGGGTCATTGGGGCCCAAAGGCCTGAAGTTAAGAGCTAAAGGCAGCGGACTACCATCAGGAGCCTCTTGAAGTAGAGGGATGATATGGCTCAATCTCGCCGATACACTTCAGCTGTGAAGGGAAGAAGACAGGTTGCAGAAGGGGGTTTGTACTATTTAGGTACAGTAACTTTGGCCAAATTTCGAATGTATGTTTGCGGTCTGAGGCGGGGAAGGCATGAATGACCTGGGAGCGTGGCTGAGCGAACTTGCCACCGTGCTACGTACCTGCCGATACAACAACGCAAGGCAGAACTGCAGGCAGTTCAGAGCTCTCGCCCACTCAGGGGTTGCCGTTACCATTGGGCAGATTTTGGTCAGAGGCTGAGTTCGTCAGCGAACGCCCACCGACGTTCCGGTCTCCCGTCCAGATCATCGACGGAATGTTGCCAAGGTCTAGTCGCGCGCATATTCAGTACCGACTCAGGCAAACCTACGTTTGCACAACTATCTATACTATCAAGTTCGGTGGCTGCCTGTCTTCACAGCAATGCTAGAACACATCGAATTAAACATTACGGGTGAGCCCCCTACGGAACCGCCAAAGCCAGCGGGTTATGCACAATGGGCATCATGGATGGCCGCAGACCCCGACAATGAGCCCTTTATCTTTCGAAAATTCGACGAACTAGCAGCCGTCGACCTGCTCTATCTACAGAGCGAGATGATAGATATCGAGGCAGAGCTCAAAGAGATGAACCAGGAAGCCACCCCGCGACCACCGGATGGCATCCGTCGAGGCCACGAGGATGTGGGAAACCCTGGTTAGCCAATGTAAGGGGTCGGATGCCCGCGAGGAGGCCAAGAGAAGAATGGAGCTGATACGGAGATTGAGAGCAATAATCAAGGAATACCGTGAGGACCCTTGTCCCTTCGCGCCACAGGTGATGCTGCAAGAGCTGATGTGGAAAAGACGAAGCTCTGCTGCTGCAGAGCGAAGTAGCAAAACTGCAAACGCCCAGCCGAAGAGCCTTGAGCGCCGTGAAGCAGGCGTTTAGACCGGATGGCTACCCGATCATCGAGGGGAAGACAAGCGGATATCTGTCTGGGGAAGACCTCGTAGCGTTGAAGAGCCCGACGAAAGATACCCTGTCCAACTACTAAGAACAGCGTTGGCAATTCCGGTAAGCCACCGTAACTTATCCCGTTTCAGGGAAGCCCCGACGGACGGCTCATGCAGACACAGAAAACTCCCTCGGCTGGCCAACAGCTGCGGATCAGACAGTTCGACGAGAGCAAGGTCACCAGATGGGTCAATATAGCGACGATAGTAGCAGCTGCTGTTTTTCTTATTGGTCCGATCTTGGCCTTATACCTCGTGGTTACACCATCAGTCAGATTGGCCTTGATCGTGATATTTACGGCTGGCTTCGCTGCCAGCGTTGCACTCATCACCGGTGCTCGACGGGCTGAGATATTCGTTGGTACAGCGACGTGAGTGCTTACATCCTGTTGCCGTCTAGGGTACCAACACTGACAAAATTCTGAGCAGATATGCCGCAGTCCTGGTGGTCTTCGTAAGTAACGGGAATCTATCAGCTGGTTGACTGGCAAAGAAGCGCTTATTAGAAAGAAGACGGAGACTTGGCGATTTGTCAGGAAGTGCTATGTCGAACAAAAACAGGCTGCCTGGTTTAGTCTTCCTTGCAGGAGAACACGTTAGCTTAGGGGCAGTCGACGACAGCCCATGGCGAGGACGACGACGTCGCTGCCGTTGCTCTAGACCTTGTGAGATTTCAAAGTGTTCTATTAAGGAGAGGAATTCCAGCTACTCTGGAGCGGCCAGAGTGGCCCTATATATATCCAAGATACTAAAGGAAAGAATACGTGGCCTTATATTGGCCACGTATGTGACAGAGTCACAAATGGGGATGGTGATCCTGAAGGATGACTATGGATGGGCTAACATAGCCCAGAATCCAACAGACCTTCGGGAAGAGAGTCATGCCGCAACCCCGAATTTGTATCCCGAATGCGCCGATATAACGTCCGTATACCGGCCGTCACGACTGCACGTGGCCCGGTAGTCCTAAAAGGAGTGGACACGGAGTCATAAGATTGCCAGCCCCTGAGGTATGAAAATGACTTCAGAATGTATAGTCTTTCAGTACTGCTAGAAGTATTATTCCAGGTAGCTAGTCACGTCCCAGTGCACCCCAGAGAGAGCAAGGGGCAATGGATGGAAGCCAGAAGGCTGTTGGAGGACTGCACCTTGCCGCTTGTTCAATAGAAACTATCAAGCAATCAACTTCATCACCCCTAACTCAAGGCTGGTCTTCTGAAACGAACACGCATCAGCCGGGTTAGTGTGACGAGCCGTCTAACCTATAAGGCTAAAGGGTTCTATAGGGGTTATGTTCTGAGGTAAGTCAACACGAAGGACGATAGAGGCTTCTATCAACTAGAAGACACTCAGATGCTGGGGCTTGGTCTGATCCAGGGGATCACTGAATAGTCGAGTCGTCAGGAGATTTCTCTCACCTTTAAGGTTGGCTAAGATGCTTAGATTGATCACTGAGATAGAGACTGTCTATCTGTCTAATTAAGAAATGTTTATCCTTATATATCCAATCTCTCTCTTATTGATGAGGTGTGCTCACCATTGCTCGCGTGAGCAGACGTGAGCAACTCTAGTCACGTGATCTTGACTTCCTGGATCACGTGCCTGGATGCCCTGCGCTGTCTGTATTGTGTCCCCGTTCTAATTGGGTTCCCTCATAGGTCATCCTTTTCCCTTCAGGCCTGCCAATGGGCCCGTGATATTGTTGGTCGTAACAGTTAGCCACAATATGCCCCCGAGGAGCTTCAGAGAGGCTTCTTCCACCTTAGCCATCGATGTAACGATATGAGCTCGAGAGAGCAGGCACAAATCGATGGACAGTATAGATCACAACTCCAATACGACACCAGCAAGCTTCATACAAGTAGCTGTACTAGGTCGGTCCTTGTTTCACAGCAGCAGTACTCTAAAAATACCACCCAGCAACTTCGCTTGAGAAGACCCAAATTCCATCTACAAGCCCGTACCTTCAAAGTCCTACCCAGGAGGAAATTGATACGTCCACCCTACGCATAATCCCTTTTGTCTACCGAAAATTCGCAGTCGCTGCCAACAGAATCACACGGCTAGGAAGCCTCTCGTCAGCTCGGCCAACTGGAAAATGACATCTACGAACACGCTCTGCCGCAAACCGTGGCCAACACCCCTGGAGTCAAGGTAGTAAACACTAAAATCTATCAAAAGGTTCGAGCACCTTAATAAGCCAGCAAGTCAGTGCTAACAGTGATGTTTGTAACTGGCAAACAACCACGGCGCGTGACTTTCAACGACGTATAACAACAAGCTCATCAGTACAAACACGACGATTCTCACCCCGCCAGTCTCCGTCATTCGTCGTGGGCGATACTCCACGTAGAGTCCCTAGCAGAGGATATAAGAAGCCGATGCGTCGCGTTTGCATCGCGGACCGGCATTACGGAATGGATGAAGTTTCCAAGTTAAATATTCGCAGCTGGGTAAAGACATATCCATCCATACGGGGCCAACCGGAGCCGTGAGCCTTCCCTAAAAGCACTACAATAAATGAGCCCTATTTAGTCCAGCTCACGTTCTCGGGTTGTAATTACTGAAGTCCACAACCGCAGTTGTATTAAACAAGATCGCAACTGTGAGGCATGAGCTTGAACCATCTTGGTCTGTTGATCTCGATGATTACTTGATTTGGTCAATCAACCCATGAACAGGCAGTTTCGTAGAATGCTGGTCTATTGACAAAGGCATACTCTATATAACGACCAACTCCACAATGTAACCTTCCATTTTGCAAGAAGTGCCGCCATCATCACCGCCATTTTTTTGGTTTCGGCAACGTGAATCCCAGATCCCGTGATCACAGATCACAGAATCTGGTAGTTGTAGTACTTCTGGTGGTTGTTCTGCTTGTTCACACCCCAGTCGTAGCGCTTTTGGGCCTGATGCTCCTGCTTACGGGCTCTCTGCTCTTCACGACGGATTTCCTTCTTCTTCTGGTCGGTTACGCCAACCATGCCAGTTCCTCCATTCGCTCTGGTGGCAACAGCTCCGTTCGGGCCAGGACCCGGTCGTCCAGCAATCTGGCGACCACGGCCTTCCTCGCCATCGACTTCCATAGCATCGGTGGATCCCTCGATGGCTTCTCGCTCAGCGCGCTCCTCGGCGGATGGATGATTGTGGAGGTTCTGGCGATAGTACTTGGCGAGAGATCGGTGACCCACTGCACGCCCCGACGGCAGATGTAATTCTGCATCGTCGTAGAAGATAGCCCGGTGTTTGTGGGCATGTGAATGCCAGCCATCCATCTGGTGGTGGTGTCGGGGGTCAACCGAGGAGTGATGCGGGTGCTTCTGAAGTCGCTCGTGTTGGCGATAGGAATGGTCCACGGGGATGGCCTGCAAATCTTTCGAATCACAAGACGAAGCAGAACTGTCTGTCTCCCATCCTTCATCCTCCATGACCTCATCTCCATCCTCACCAACCTTCTTGGCAGATCGCTTGGCATCCAGCTTTGCTCCCCCGTTCTGCTTGTCGCCATCAACGGATTCGTCGTCTGATTCCTCTCCATCCGAGTAGGTGCTTCTGAAGTCATAGTAGTCACCGATCTCGACTTGCTCATCCTCAGTGGAGTAGGGAATCCTACAATGACCCTTGTCACGCATGTGCGTCTGCGCTGCCTGTGCAGTGTTCTTCAGCTTGCCACAATACAGGCACTCGTGGTATTCTTGGATGCGCTGTTGCAATGCGGTAACCAGGCCTTCCAGATCGATGAGGTACTGCTTCTCCGGGATGAACATGCTGTGTATGCGCTCCATGTGAACAACGTTCAGAGGAACCGTGGGTGAATCATAATTGCAGAACAAGCATGTTTTGAGGGTGACTCCGGAGCTGGGAGTCGTGGTACCGGAGACATTCTTGCTAGAGTGTTCTGATAGCAGGTGCTCTCGCTGGTGTTGACCTTCGGCTGACGGATGAGGATGTGAAGGTCGCTTTACGGGAGAGGGACGCTGTGTCAAAGTAGTCTTCTGCAGACCCTCGACAACCTCATTGAATTCATCCTCGGCATCGGAGTCAACATGCTCAGACCCGGCTACTATGGGCTCGCCAAGAGAGAAGGTCGAGCTCACGACGGAACTGGCATCATCTGGGTTGGCCCCACGACGCTGCAGTGCTGCCTCCTTGGCCTTATGCTTTTGGCTTCCGATATGGTTTTGGTACGAGTTTTCGCTGTAGTAGGTCCGCTGGCAGACGTCGCAGACTTGTTGAAATCCAGCACGATCTGCCTCGGCAGAAGTCTCAGCACGAGCTTGGAGGACCTTCTCGGTGAAGACTTCGGAAGAGATGGGGGGCAACGATGCAACGCGGCGCTTGAGGTTGTATCGACTACAGGGAAGGTAACAAGTTAGAACAACCAGGCAACCAAACTACTGTAGTGGGTTTGTGGGTAGACTCACTGCCAATCGCTCTTCATGTGGCCCTTTTGGGTGTCGGCAAACCGAAAAGCAACCTGACACGTGTTGCAGGTGTACTGATGGGTAGAGGGCGCAGGATCCTGGGTGGGCGCAAGACTGGCACCTGAGGCCCGGTTCGCTGATACCGTCGCCATGCTGCCAGAGGTGAATGCGATACGGTGGACTGCGAGAGAATCTGTGGTGAAACAGGTGTCGCGGAGTATCTTTCCAAAGATGGCAGATGTGTCAAGTCAATGACGAGAGTGATGGTCAGGGAAGGCGCTTCTAATCGTCCCAACGTCTGGTGAGTAGACAGGAACGGCGAACGAACCTTGTTCCTTTTCTGAGTTCTGAGGGACTAAGAAGGGCTGGAGGGGGGTATGGTGAATGTGCGGTGTTATTGGGGAGCAACAGATTGACTGATAAGGTAGCCAGCTGCACCCAAGGCAGAGAGAGTTTTGGATTCTCTGAGAATGTGCGATGATGTCCACAGGGACCTCATGCAGAAGAAGGTGAGAATTCCTGTACGGCTGGGCAATTGGCTGTGCTAGAATGAGGGAGCAAGAGGTGCAATGATGGGGGGTGGTGAGTTATAAAAGATGAAAGTCACGAGTGTCACACACACCATCTGCAGAGCTGCAGAGACACCTTGAATCACCGGAATGATGAATGGTGGGTGGTGAATTGCAACTGGCGCATGTGGGTTGTGGTGGCGTTGGTGGGGTGTCCACTGTCAGGGTGCTCAATGTTCCCTCACTTATTGCCTTATTGCCTTATCGCCTTATCGCCTTATCCCCTTATCGTAGGCGAAAGCCCGATATCTTATTTTAGCGCAGTGAGCGGGAGAAAACTTTTGGGTCAACACCTTCCTCCTCTTTTATTACGTCAGTTTCTGAATCCGTCAGGGCTGAGTCTTGGCCGAGGTTTCCATTTCCACTGGTGCTTGTATGCATGTATGCATGTATCCGGACATAAGCCTGGAAACAATCGTGACCAGACTGCCAGATCATAGCTTGTTGGTATTTCAGGAGACTTTTGTTTTTTTCAATGGTGTATGCTTCACAGAGCCTACGCTAACTAAGATAATATCATGTTGAAGGCCGAGACACCCATTTGTTGATCAGGCAAAAGGCGGGTGTCTTTACTTCTATGGGCTGCTGTAATAAGTGACTCTCGTTGACTCAGTCAAAGGGGACTCATTACAGAATTCGGGTCCATGGATGCTTGTACCAAAGCCTATCAGGCTTGCCGGCTTGCCAGCTTGCCAGATGTTGCTGATTAATCATGTGTAGAGTCACCGGATCATGCGGCTCCCAGTCGGATTAGAGGAATATACCTGCAGTGATGCCCTGCCTGGAGTATGATTCCGAGGTGGCGACATTATCGTTTTTGCACTAGAGTCACTGGCAGTGGCCGGGCGTTTGGAGAATCGGCCTCGAGGCAACCAGATTGTGTGGAGGCGGACCTGCTCGGCATGGCAGGCAGGCGTGGGCAACGGCGCGGGAGTCGGCTTGGCATAAACGGGAAGCCGGGACTCTGGAGCTTGAAGGCTGCAGGGTGCTGTGGGGCAGCTGGCTCGACGAGTTACGAGTCACGAGTCACGAGTCACGACTCGACGTTGCGCCCCATCGCCCATCCCAAGTGGCAAGCGAGGCTCTGTGGCTGATACAGTGGGCTCTGCTAGCCAACGTCCATTGAACCTTCGGTTTTGAAAGGTGCCAAGCCAGTTGACCCATGCGCCGACCGGAGTGCCGTGATCCTGCGATACAGCCTACCTTACCTACCTCTTCCACTTCACAGCATACACTTCATGATACACGGCCACGCCAACCAACGGAATTATTCTACATTCGCGAAGAAACAGGTTCTTTATTTCTTGATGTACTCTTCTACTATACATATTTCAACTGTTTCCCATGTACCATAGACCGTTGCGCTCCTAACCAGGTCCCTCTCGTGCCATTATCGAGGCTGTCATCGGAGCGCCTGCCACGTCCATCACGACCATCACGACTATCTCGCCCGCCGCACTTTGAAGACAACAGCCGTCCTCGCTCGATTCCATCCATTCGACCCCTCGACCCCTCCCTCGACCCCTCGACCACCCGACTGCCATCGCCACCTGCATAGACAAGAAAGGATTCTCACAAAGACGCCTCGGCTTCGAAGTCGCTCTGATCTGCGCCCTATGTCATGACGATAGATACGCCTCGGCCGGCCAGTAACGGCAATGGCCGTAATACTCTCGAGGCTGACATCATAGCCGCACTCTGGGAGCAAGCACCCTTTCCACGCCTCCCCTCCGATGCACCCCCTGAGATCAAGGACCTTGTAATCGACATCGAGAACCCCAAGAAGGTCTACACTATCCACCGTGCGACCCGAAGGCATGGTATCCAGCTGCTAGTAGAGAAGTATGACGCATAACCTCCCGGTTGCGCTCCATGCACGGAAGGCTGACCTACCACAGGTTCATCGTCCAGTTACGCTATGGCTGTGGTTGCAAGGAATGCACGACATCCACGTGCTTCAGCTGTCGCAAGAGGTTAGCTGGCAATACCCCCATCCGACGGTATAACCCGACCAGCGCAAGGACCTTGGCTATCTATCTGGCAACACAAGACAATCCAGAGGGCCGACTATGCCCCCATCTCGATGCGCCGAGACGACGCAGCGACTCGCTCAAGCCGCTCCTATTCACCCGAAAAGGGGCCAGCCCCCGGGCCGACGCGACTAAGGTGCGCGAGTCTATGGTGAACAAGCACACCGCCGACCCTGATTGGAGGTCTAGACACGCTGGTTCACCGCCACCACCACCGCGAAGTGCAACTCGACAGACAAGGCAGAAACGGACTAGAAACCAAGAGGAAACCGAAGATGGCCAAACGAAGAAGGCCGAGCCACCTAGTCCCGTGCAGATACGTATCCGCGAAAAGGCAGTCAGCAAGGATTACCGCTCGTTTGCTGCCAACGTTTTCGGGACCGTTGCTTTCAAGATGTTGGAGTGGCTGACACCCAATAGCATTGATGCAATGTCCAGTACTGTCGACGCTGCTGGCGGTCGTCCTTCCACGCTCACACATGCATTTGGGGTGGACACGTCGTCTTCTGATGAGGATAGCGATGATCTTTTCGTGCCTTCTACAACACCGCGTCACAGCTCGAGCCATCAGGCTGGCGAATGCGACGTTGTTAATGGCACTGGCGAATATGTTTTCGAGGCAGTTTCCGCGACGAACGTGATTGGTGATGAATCTCCGAATGACCGAGAATCCCCAGTTGTGTCTGATGCGATTAATGGTCAAAGCCGCCCATCACACTCGAGGAGGAATTCGAATGCCAGGATTCGGACAGCATCCGGCCCAAGAGCACAGGCTCAACTGGTAGTCGACGCGTTGAGCGACCCCATTCTAGACGACACAGGGGTCGTATCACCCAGCGTTCCGACAAGTCAGTCAGAAAAGGTCTCGAAAGCCATAAGTCGGCCATCGTCGGTCCTGCGTACCACGTCCCAGTTGTCTATAAACAATTTCCTTGATACAATACCGGACGAACAACTTCCCAGTCCAGATTTCCGTGAGTCTCACGTCGACGGCCACTATCCGCAGATGGATGGCGTCAATGGGGAAGAACTCTCGAGCAGTGATGGGACTATGCAGCCAATATACACGCCTGATAAAGTCCCTGGTCCCGGTGCAGCTAGTGACTCACTAGATTCAACTTCCGAGTTCGATTGCTACCTTCCACAGTCGCTGTCGCGTCTCAGTCTCCAAGCAGTCAACTTCATCTGCGATGTTCTCCAAGAGGATGCCACCACCGAAAGGCACATGTTGGAGCCGCCGGTCGTTAGTGGGTCCATTAAACGGTCGTCGAGTCGGCTCAAATCGTGGAAAAGAAAACGGAAGACTCAGGCGCCTTATCCGGAGAACTTGAAGCTTCAATGGAAACTGTTCGCGGAACAGAGTATATTCAACGTCTTGAGCGATCCGCAAGCCGTGCTGGACTCGTTCACGAACCGCGATGGTGCCATCGACTCGCAAACTCTCTGGTACTGCATGCTGCGCCTGACAAGAGTAGCCCCGAGCCTCGTCTTCGACAGTCTGTGGATCGCCCTGGCCGGCGTCTATGCTCCACCAAGATCAATCCAGCCTTGGATATCGCCAGCCAAAATCCCTCAGAAGTCATTCTCCAACGCCGAGGCTGCGTCACTCATGTCTGTTTGCTTCCACGCGCTGATCGCTGCGGCTCCTTTGGTAACTGATCCGCGGCAACTTAATGACATGTCTCGCATCAGGTCCCATGGACTGTCACTGACTGGCGGTGGGACAATAGCGAAGCAGCCGACCTCCTTGTGCTTGCAGTACGAAGACGCCCTTACCGATGACATGGCCCTTCGGCTGGCAAGAAGACTCCTCACCGCCATTCCCACGCGGTGTGACTTTGACGAAATGGTTGACTTTGACCCCCTGCGTGAGGATATTGAGGTTGTTTTCGAGTTACCCGTTCTGAGAATACTTCTCTCTTCTATTGAGTCCTCGTCACAGTCAGTGTTGAACTTCTCCAAGGCCGAGCGCAGTATGCATGAGAAGCGAATTCCCATCCTGCTACTAGATTGGGCAAGAGCCGTAATGGTTCATGAGTGGGAGGGCAAGCCTGACGTTTCCGGGGATGGTCCGTTTGGTGGTGCCCTCTCACTCATAGAGGCCATGTGTTCGTTCGCCCGTCCCAACCATCTACATGTTAGAGCTAACCATGGTTATAGACCAAAAGCGCCAGGCACTCCTCCTAGGTGATGTGCACTTCCGATCCGAATATTTCGGTGACCGGCTTGACCCGATTGAGATGCCCGTCTCCTGGCTGTCTTTCACCGGGGATGACTACAAGTTCCATCTGCTTGATTATCCCTACATCTTCAATCCCGCGTCTTTGGTGTCATATTTCCGAGCCATCAATTTCTCACGGATGAACCGCGGTTATGAAGAATCCAGCTCACTCCAGAGTCGGATCAATGCCATCATTGCGCCTGAGAGCCTTGTGACGGAAGCCCACCAGAAGAACGTGTTACAGGATCTTCTCAAAACGCCATCGGCCAAGTACCTCATCTTGGATATCGGCCGCAAGACCGTGCTTTCGGATGCCTTCGACCAGCTTTGGAGACGGGAGGAACGTGAGCTCATGAGACCGCTGAAAGTCCATCTTGGTGAAGACACTGGAGAGGAAGGCTTCGACTCGGGCGGCGTGCAACAGGAATTCTTCCGTCTCGCCGTGGCCGACGCTCTCAACCCAGACTATGGCGCCTTCACTGTCGATGAAAGGACAAGGATGACTTGGTTCCAACCGGGTTCCCTTCAACCCGAATGGAAATATGAACTCATCGGTCTGCTCATGTCACTAGCTGTCTTCAACGGGCTCACGCTTCCTATAACGTTCCCGAAAGCCCTCTACCACAAGCTCCTAGGCGAGTCTATCACGGAACTCCATCACATTGCTGATGGATGGCCGGAGCTCGCCAGCGGCCTCACCAATCTCCTTGAATGGAATGAGAAGGATGGTGCTGTCGAGGACGTTTTCGTCCTCACGTACGAGTTTTCCACGTCCATGTTCGGCCAGCCCGTCTCTCGCCAGATGGGCCAGTCTCGCGAATACTCGTGGCCGCAATTTTCCCCTCGCGCCGACTCGACCCCCTTATCGGCGGACAACCCGGCAGACGCGCCGCTCGTCACGGGCGACAATCGCAACGCCTACGTCAGCGACTACATCCGTTACCTGACTGACGTATCGATTGGGCCGCAATACGATGCCTTCGCGCGAGGATTCCGCACCTGCCTGTCCCCCAAGTCACTGCAGCTGCTCACACCCTCACTCCTCCAGTCCATCGTCGAGGGCACGCAGGAGATCGACATAGCTGAGCTGCGGCGGGCGGCGCGCTACGTGGGCTGGGACTCGTCGCACCGTGCGGTGCGCGACTTCTGGGCCGTGGTGCGCAAGTACGACGACCGCATGCGCCGCCGCCTGCTCGAGTTCGTCACGGCTTCGGACCGCGTCCCCGTCGGCGGCGCGGCCAACATCCAGTTCGTCATCCAGAAGAACGGTGAGGAGGAGGGCGAGGGCGGCCACCTGCCCACCGCCTACACGTGCTACGGCACCCTGCTTCTGCCCGAGTACCGCGACCGCGACGTCCTCCGCGAGCGGCTCGCCATGGCGCTTGAGAACGCGCAGGGGTTTGGGTTTGCGTGATTTCGTTCAGTCTTTGAGGATGATCCAAGGGATTCATTTCTCGTCAACTTCTCGATCGGTAGTGACACAAGCCGGAGTATATGTGTGCATATGGCAGGCGAAGGGCTGGCCCACCGACTGGCTCATCATTATGATCCTTCTCTGCAGCTATGGAAAGGGGCAATCAAGGCGATGTGCCAGCGAACCAGCAGAGATTGGGAGTAGTTGATGCCTTTTTTGACATTGTTGCTCCCATGTCAAGCTCTAGTATATGTGGTCTTACTATAGCGTGTAACAATAAAAGTTTCAGAGCCTTGTTTAATCATCGTGTATTACCATCATGGAGGCCTTGCTTGTGTTCGTCGTGGTGACGGTATTTCGTCGCAGAGGACGTCACTATGAGAATCGGCAACATGTAATACAGCAGAAGAGAGGTAGTCTAGTTCAGGTCATTCCAGGTATCGTGACTTTTTACGCCTCGTACCTCCTTTACAGGTATCTGTCTATTTACGACGTCTTTGTTAGACCGTACATGACCCCGGTGTCATATACCTAGCTCGGCCCGCTACATCTTGTGGGTGACAGGTGGTCTGCAATAGAGCATCTAGAAGTCCATCTCGCCAGACCCGCTCACGATGACGTTGTTGATCTTCAAGACCATGCGGCACAGTTGCGTGGCCAGCATAAGCTGCTGCTTCTTGCCGATCAGGGGGTCGATGACAAAGGCCTCCTTCATGTCGTTGCTGCCCTTGTTCATGCAGTCGACACCGAGCTTGCCGCGGCCCTCGGGGCCGGCCTTGACCTGCTGCGACTTGACCTCGGCCAGGGTCGCGATGGGGTTCATGCCGCTGTTCTCGGCCAGCGCCATGGGCACGGCGTCGAGAGCCTCCGAGAAGGCACGCATCGCGTACTGCTCGAGACCGGGCGTCTTGACGGCTGCGTCTTCGACGGCCAGCGAGCAGGCGATTTCGGCGGCACCACCTCCGTAGACGACACGGTTGTCTCTGACGAGGTTCCGTACCACGCAGAGGGCGTCGTGTAGTGATCGTCGAGCTTCGTCGATGATCTGATCGTGTGTCAGTGTTGGTCTCTCCTAGAAGTCAATAAAGTTGACATACCATTTTGTTGCTGCCTCGAACAAAGACGGTGACAGCTCTGGTGTTTGCGCAATCCTCAATGACCAGCATCTTCTCCCGCGTAGTACCGAAGGACATTTCTCTTACAATTCCCGCAGAACCGAGCTTCTCCGCCTTCAAGTCCTCGAATCGAGGTACTATTCTGCCGTTGGTGGCAATAGCAATCAGCTCGATCTCCGGACCACCCACCCATCTTACGGCGGGCAGGCCATTCTGTAGCAACAAGTGGTTTGCCTCGTCGTCGAAACCCCATTGGCAGATGGCCAGGTTCGCGCCCGTATCCTTGATTTGTTGGATCATCTCAATGAACTTTTCGCGCTCGTAGCTCTGCAGCTTCTTGTACTCCTCGACTGATGAGATATCAAGCTTGTGCTTGGTCTTCGGCTTCGGCGGCTCGAAGGCGCATGTTAAAATGGCGATCTTGGCATCCCTGACTTCAGATGGCATTTGCGGATGCGAAAAGTCCTTGTCAACTATGACGCCCTTAACCAGGATTGTGTCCTCTAGTGCACCACCGACCTTGCCGTCCACCTTGATCAACTCGAAATCGACGTCCTTTCGCTCCAGGTCGGCAACAGACAGGACGGCATCCACGGCGATGTTGGCGAACTGGTCGTGCGCCTTGGAGACAATCTTGCTTCCCAAACTTGTCCGGGCCACCTTGACGAGGTTCTTGGTGTCTTGCTTGCCGAACTCGATGGTGTCTGATATCCGATCCAGCTCCGCTACTGCAATCTCACAAGCTTGGTCGTAGCCATCAGCTATCCGAATGGGGTGGATTCCCTTGTCTACGAGCTCGGCAGCCTGCTCCAACAGCGCGCCAGCAAGGACAACCACACCAGTTGTGCCGTCGCCAATCTCGTCGTCTTGTGATTTGGATAGCTCGACTAGCAACTTCGCGACGGGGTTTGAGATCTCCATCTGTTGTAGAATGGTGGCTCCGTCGTTCGTCACGGTGATGTCGCCATCGGGGGAAATAAGGATCTTGTCGAGGCCTCGCGGGCCCAGAGAGGTCTTGACAATGTTCGCGACGGTTCGGGCGGCTAGGATGTGTGACTTGACGGCTTCGTTGCCATATTGGCGCTTCTTCTTGCCTTGGCTATTTCGGATATGTTAGACAGCAGCGCTTGGGTGATCTGGACGGGTTTGACTGACTCTCTGACGATAATGAACGGCCGCCCTTGCTCGTCCTTCATGACAGAAGCTGCAGCAACATCCGTCAGTAAGTGCAGTCGCACAGCAATTGCCACTACATACCATTCGAGAGGTCCAGATCTAAATTCCCATGTGAGTAACGGAAAGACACGAAGGCGGGGCGGATGGGACATACTCATCGCCATATTGACCGGTGTCGCAGCTCTTTCGAGCTTTGTGTTTCTGAAGACGGTCGATCTGATTACCGTGTCGGACGAGTCTGGCAGATTTGGGAGGTGGTGCGGTGGTGCGGTGGTGCGGTGGTCTGAAGCTGTTTACTTTGCTGTGCAAGTGGTGGGTGGTCTGTCTGCCTTGTCCGCCCGCGACGCTGGAGCTGCTGCATTTCGAAATTCTGAATTCTTAACGGGTCGCGCCCCACTATTCCGTGGCCCGGAAAAACCAGCCACCGCCCCTTTCTACTGCAGCCCGGGTTGTTCTTGAGGTCCTCGAAACTCGGAAACTCCTCTCAGTCTACGTTCACCCGTGGATGTTCTTTGACCTTTGTCGATTCTACGATTCAGGGCATTATTACAGTGGCCAGATTCATAACGTCAAGCAAATCTCGAAAACCATTCCATGCCATCTTTCTTCGGAACTCGGTTGAGCGGTAGCCTGGTGAAGGGTGAACGTGGCTTGGGAGGCCAGTACGATAAAGACGGTATGATTGTCAATACACGAGCCTACGACGGGCCATTTCTCCTTGCTAAGAGGTAATGGGATGGTGGCATAGTTGGGTGATAGTGTCCTTACAGACACGTCTCCCGATACTCATTACGTCCAATCTGATAGCCAGTATCAGTCATGAAGCTCTGCATCCTCATCTCGGCGAGAGAAGTTGAGATATTGTGGCCAACATTCAGCGAAGCTGGACAATGAGCGCTTCGGGTTATATGCATAAGCTGAGGGGTTGCAACAGGCTGAACACATTCTGAATACATAGTGGTAGGCTTCGGCCTTGGTATAAACTGGTTGAAAGATTGACTCGGTGCCGGTGAATCCGTTGGGAATACTTGCAGGGAGGCCATCGTCCGTGACATGTAAGGCTGAGTAGGTACATTGAAGCGTCAGATATCAACCGAGAAGGTCTTGCAGATGTTTTCGTTTGCCAGTGTCTGTATCATGTTTGCCTGAGTTCGTCTCCCTTTCGTCGAATTTCATCGGCTACTCGTGTTCAGCCGAGGTGCATGTGGCAGCAACAGACGGTCACGACGGATACCGCCGGCTATGAGCCGTTATCTCGGCGCCGGGAAGGTTCAAGGCCCCCTGGCTTATCCCCGGGCCTCGCAGGCTCGTACCTACTTCAGCTGTCCAGCAGCTCCGCTGACGTCGCCAAGTGGCAGCAGATCCCCAGGCTATGCATCCCTGCACAACTTCCAATTATGCATGGATCGGATGCATGGATGCCTCCAGCTGTTCGCAGACCCCCGTCTACGGTCTCCCAGATTCGCGCATCTTGGAACTTTACGCATCCACAAACCACGACATCTTCCTTCCAAGCTTGCCTTATAAATCCGTCTTTTGAGTTCGGTCCCCGTTGGTGCCTTGCATCTCTCGACACCGTTTACTACCTAATCCTCTGTTCACCCGCCAGACTTCAAGCCCCCGAGCGCAAGCTCTAGCTGTAGTTCAAGGTTCAGAGTAGGCGGCAAACGACGTCATGGCCCTCGCCACCCAGTTCGAGGGCGTACTGCCCCTGCACATGGTCCAGAAGCCGCCTTTCATGGTCACAGCACCCGGCGCGTCAGAGGTCGAGGGTGAGACAAAACCGTACAGGCACGTCAAGGCGAAGGATGGCTTCGTCACTCGCCCAGCTCCGCACATTGCCACTGTCTACGACCTCTTCACCAACAGTGCCAAGGTCTACGGTGACAAGCCCGCCATAGGCGCTCGCAGGCTGATCAAGACGCACACCGACACCAAGAAGGTGCCCAAGGTCGTCGATGGAGTCAAGACAGAGGTCGAGAAGAAATGGAACTACTTCGAGCTGTCCCCGTACGAGTTCCTCACCTACAAGGAATACGAGACGCGAGCTTTGCGCGTCGGCGCCGGCCTGAGAAAGCTGGGCTTGGACCCAAGTGACAAGCTGCATCTCTTCGCATCCACAAGGTAAAGAGCTGCCAATCCAATGTTTGAACATGGCTAATATCTAACGTACGCAGCCCAAATTGGCTTTGCATGTCCCACGGATGCGCTTCCCAGTCCATCACCATCGCCACCGCCTACGACACCCTCGGCTCCGACGCCGTCGAGTACTCCCTAACTCAGACGAATGCGAAGGCCATGTATACAGATCCTCACTTGTTCAAGACAGCTAGTGGCCCGTTGAAGAACGCAAAGGATGTCAAATACCTCATCTACAATGACTCGACCAATATGCCCATATCGGATCAAGAGATGACCGAGTTCAAAGCTGACCACTCGCAATTGACCATACTCTCCTACTCGGACCTCGTTGCGCTCGGCGAAGCCAACCCCATACCACCCGTCCCTCCGAAGCCGAGCGATTTGTGCTGCATCATGTACACATCCGGTTCCTCTGGCACGCCGAAAGGTGTGCCCATCCTGCATGAGGCTCTGGTTGCTGCTGTTACTGGCCTGTACAGTATCATCGAGGAGACGGTCTCTCACAAGGACGTCATCCTGGCCTATCTGCCCCTTGCGCATATCTTGGAGATGGCTGTGGAGAATATTGTCGTCTTCATTGGTGGTAAGATGGGCTATGGATCACCGCGTACCTTGGCCGATTCGTCGACGAGAAATTGTCACGGCGATATGCACGAGCTCGCTCCCACTATTATGGTAGGGGTGCCACAAATATGGGAGACGATCAGAAAAGGCATTGAGAGTCGAGTCAACTCTGGTGGGGCCCTGACCAAGAACCTCTTTTGGGGCGCCTATAACCTAAAGTCCATGCTTGTGGCAAACGGCCTTCCCGGAAGCTTCCTGTTGGATGCTTTGGTCTTCAACAAGGTTCGAGCGATGACGGGTGGACGAGTCCGCTTCGTCTTCAATGGCGGCAGTGGCATATCCGAGGGCACGCTCCATTTCGTGAGCATGGTACTCGCGCCAATGGTAACAGGTTATGGGTTGACTGAGACGTGCGCCAATGGCTCTCTGGGCTGTCCCCTGCAGTGGACTCCTAACGCCATCGGCCCCGTGCCGCCCTCGATGGAAATGAAGCTCGTCAGCTTGCCTGATATCGGTTATGACGCATCTGCGACGCCTCCGCAAGGCGAGATCCTTCTTCGCGGCCTCCCCGTCGCGAGGGAATACTATAAGAACCCGGAAGAAACCGAGAAGGCCTACACGTCGGATGGCTGGTTCCGAACTGGTGACATTGGTGAAGTCGACCCTGTGGGCCACGTCAAAGTTATTGACCGCGTCAAGAACCTCGTCAAGATGGCGGGCGGTGAGTATGTTGCGCTTGAGAAACTGGAGGCCATTTACCGAGGCTGTGCATACGTCAACAACCTCATGGTTCATGGCGACAGCTCGGCGCCACGACCCATCGCCATAATATCCCCTAACGAAAAGCCGCTGGCCGACCTGGCCAAGAGCCTGGGCGTCGATAACGCCAATATGTACAATGACAAGAAAGTACGGGAAGCTGTTCACAAAGACCTCATATCGGTTGGAAAGAAGGCCGGGCTTAGTGGATTGGAAATGATCGCCGGTGTTGTGCTGGTCGATGATGAATGGACGCCTACCAACGTGAGTTCTTGCTGTCTCCTTTTCACCTACCTTGATTCAATGCTGAGCTCATGGCCCGAAACCCATGTTTGCCGGGAAACGAAATACTGACAACTCGATAGGGGCTCGTTACCGCGACGCAGAAAGTCAATCGAAGGGCGTTAAAGGACCACTACAAGTCCCAAATATCGGAGTGTCTGAAACAGTCCTGAGATACAAGTGCGGCAACATGGTATCGTTGGTAGCTCGGTGTCTGCGATGTCGGGTATAGTTTCATGCTGGGTTTAGTCTTCGTATAGTACTCCTGGCCGGCGTATGGTGTTTGGGCATGGCGATTTTGCAGGTCATGTCGCACATATTAGCGTGCAGCAATATAATCTCGAACTCCGATTTCCCAGACCTTGATGATGAAAGCCACGAAACGGTCGGTATGATAGAGCACGGTAGACCTAATCAATACAACAGTGCTCCTATGTCTGTGATGCAGTGCCCTATCTTCCAAGTGTTTATATTAACTCCATAGCCTATTCCCTCGAGCTCTCTCAAGCCCGAGTCACAAACCACGTTGGGCGTGGACCTTGGGCTCTGCCAATCCAGTCGGCAGAATGACCTCCCCGTAGAGCACTTACTGCATTTTCTCGGGACGGACTTGCGACGGGCCAGCGAGCATTGAATGTCATACTTGTATACACAGTCCTCCATTGCTACTGTAAAACTCACATCTGGGGATCAAAGTATGGCTCCTTTCTTGTCCCGGCGGACTTCCGTTGCCCCTTAGTCCCTGCCTCCCTCCCTCTCTGCTCCCTGCCTGTCTATATCCTATAGTATCCATACCGCGCCATCCCTGGAAGATCCAGCACTGGGGTCCTAGAAAAGGGGTTATAGGGATACATATCGGGTTCGCGATTACATACATACCTCATATACACGCGCAGTTGCATCGGTTAATCAAGGGGCTTAGAGAGAGGAGAGACGGAGTTTCGCCTCGTAGATGGATGGGGATACGTCACAGACTTACACGGAACCTACCCATATAATGTGATATAGTCAAGGTACGCCAACAATCAACAATTGCTCCGATTATCCTCCTATACACCCACCACATTGATAGGCAAAGACTCAGAAGTACTTCCGCGTCTAGTCTTAGTACCATAACACATTCCATCCCACCACCACAGCCGAGTGGCAATCACAAACACAGAGCTCACCAAGTTACTAAGAGGTAATTTACCACAACCAATTCAAAACAGCAGTTCTCCACAAGGCAGTCAGACGAGTTCCCAAGCCACATCAGCAGAAGGAGGAAATGGCAGGTCTCTATTCTTGTCTACCTGTACCATGGCTAGCTATATAGGTAGGTACCCAGGGAAAGGGATGTCAGGAATAGCAACCGCAAAAGGGTATATAGAAAAACAGGCCCGCGAGCAATCAACAGAAAGGCGGTGGTGGGTGGGCAAGACCGCAGGGCATTCATTTCCAGTGGTGACCGACCGAACCCGCCGCCCCCTTTCCCCATCCCGACCGCGTGAAGAAAAGCAGTACTGAACACCAGGAGCCCAAACGCCGTTATCCTAGTCTCAGCCGTTCCCGCAATAGGAGCTCGATGCTTGGGCCCCTGCCCCCCTCCCCTCCGCTCCCCTTATGCGCCGTAGAGATGCCGATCATGCATACCTCGCCCGCGCTGTGCCATCCGAGGCCCTGTAACGAGGCGCGCCTCAAAAAGCTCCGTGCAGGCATTTGAAGTGAACGGTCTACTTCTTCTTCACATCCCAAGACCAAGGTACGTCCTTCCGCTTGTAAAACATCATGGTCGGCGTGGGGGGCGTGGGGTTCTTATCGGTAGGCTCGCTAGGTAGGTAATTCTGCGTCAATCTTCGGTGTAGTTCCTTTTCGTCGATTCCAGTCGGGGTAATCCTTGCATCATCGCATTTCGTCCACTCCGAAGCACCCGTTCGAACATACGTCCAGTAGTGTCCTGTCGCCAGCCTCGCGCCCTGATGGACGATAACCGCATAGAGATCGTAGCTGGTGGTACCTGCGAATCCATCGCCATTGCTCCCCAGTGCTTTCTTGACTGCTTCTCTGTCTTTCTCCTCCATCGTGTATTCACGAAGGTCGAGGTCGTTAATGGGGAAGTCGTAATGAGTCACGAGTTTGTCGGGCGACCCGTAGTCATATCTGTAAAGGCAAACTCTGAGTAGCGGCGGTAGTCTCACAAATTGAGACTGCTTGTGGTGGTCCGCTGGCACGCCCTGGTACACGCCCTTCTTGTCTTTGTCGCCTAGGCCGCCACACAAACAGTTATACTCTACTTCATCGCCTTTTGTCAGTGCTTTCAGGTCCCCGAGCAAGCTAGCATCTTTACGTCCTTTAACCGCCGGGAACCCGCAGACTTCCTCCACGATAGGGGTATTGGTAACTTTACCACATGCTTTGCATGTGAGCACAGCCATTGAGACATCTGCCCAGTATCGAAGTACGATGTCGTCGCGTTGACGTATCGTGGTGTTCCAGAAGTGGACCAGACTATGCACACGATTGTTGGCAATATCAGGGCTGGGGTCTTCTAATGGTGCGTGCAGGTGGGCCATATTAGTTTCCCCCGCAAGTTGGTCGAATACGAATGTGATCAACTCCTCCGCGTCGTGTTGACTGCGGTCCCCGAATCTCATCCATTGACCATCACCAGATAGGTATCCCCGGTGGATGGCGCGTATATAATGCTTCACATTGTTAGCGCGAGACTAAAGTTGATGGTGGTGCGAGACGTACCATGAATGTCGTGGCCTGCATAGTGTCAAAATGCTTCTTACTCATCCATTGCATAAGGTTTCCGAGAACTTTGCACATCAGCTGAGCATGCCGGACGTGTGATGGCCCAGCCATTGAGCGATGGTTTGCAGGCCATCTCTCGTCCAACATTTCATCCACAAAGCCGTGCGACGCAAGGATTGCTTGTAGAGTCGCGTTTGAGTAGCACCAATTCGTGGGGTTTCGGAGTCCAGTCCGTTTTTGCGTGGTGGCTGCTTGTGAAGAATCAGCCATCATGGTGATGCCGCCCACTGGCGATGCATCGTCTTCTGACTCCAGCCCACTATACCTGGTCTTCGCAACGGACCGCTTTGGGAGTCTTGGAGGGTTGGGTGCAATGGTTTCTAGGAAATCTTCCTCTCTGGCTTCGGCCATTCGCTTGGCTTGGCGGGGCCTCGTAGAGGAACTCATGGATTCTGGTAAGCGTGAGACACTTGGAAATTTGGCATGGAAGTCTTTTTTTGACTTGATGTATTCCAGTGTTTGCTCCTTCTTGATCGTTGCCTCCCAGCGTTCACTCTCATCCTGCGGAAGCGTGATCGTGTTCCTCGATCGTCTGCGTCCGCCGTGGTGCCTGGCAGAACCCCAATTCGCGGGCTTTGCGCTGGTCGGTGTGCTCGAGGTTCCCAAAGACTGGGCACCAAGCTCGTCGACCCAAGCATCCAGACCACCGACCAATAGTTTTGGGGGGTTCTTCAGCGCTCTATCGTAGTTGTACTGAGAAAGAGCTTGCCAGATATTGTACAGTACTATCTCTTCGGTGTCGCCGCTCAGCCTCGTCGGCACACGTGTCGAGTCTTGATCGTAGACGACGACGAGGTCGACTTCATCCAGCTGTTTAATCGCAGATTCTTCCTGTGGAGGTGCCAAGACCATACTGTCCACGATCTGGCCCGCAGAAATGTTCCCGCGGGACAGAATCTCGGGTTCAATGCAGATAGTTCTTTGCGACATGATGTGCCCCTCGTTATATGAATCTCGGTCGCGAACATCAATGATGAGGATGCGGATCGTAGCTGAACCCTGACGCATGTAACCGATGAGGTCGTTGACAGTGATAGTGTTTCCCTCAGGAACGCGTATCCCAGTCGGTTGTGGTCGCGAGGATAGTCGAGGCGCCTCGTACGTGTGCGCTGTTACGAACTGTTCTTCGCTAAAAGACCTGATGGCATTCTCCATTGATGTCCGAGAAGAGGCACTGGGACCGGAGGCCATCGAGTTCGTGCGGCTAAACATGCCGCGGGGGGTGCTAGATGGGAGATTGGCAAGTTCGCTCGTGACGGTGCCTCTAGCGGGATTATAGATTGCATCGGGGAGCTTTGGCAAGACTGGAATCGACCTGTCGACTGGGCTTCGAGGACCATAATATTTAGTCATGTCTCCAAGACCAGCATGTTTCGTGGGGTCGGCTGCTGCTCCAACCTTGTGAGGACCGTGACATTCGCGAAGCTTTGCAAAACGAGCTGCGAGGTCCTGCGGCGCCATGTCTGATACATGCCCTACGGCTTTGCCATGCAAGGCTTGAGGCTTTGGGTGCACGGCGGGCTTGTTCTTGCGCGCCGGGCTGAACAAGCCGTCCCCCTCGCGGCTTGACCCATTTAGTCGGCTATCTCCAGCCGCTTGGTTCGAGTCTTGCATGAGATGGCCTGACGGAGGGCTGGGCAGATTCATGGACGATGGTTTTGAAGAATTGAGTGCTGATCGTGTGGAGCACACTCCGCTTCGGCGGTTGTCGTCCTGTATGTTAGATTTTATCTGCTCGAAAGTGGTCGTGCTGGCACTGATCTTGGACTTGAGCGCAGTGTACAGGCGGTTGAGGTCGCCTCGGTCGGCCTTTAGGGAAGGATATTCTTTGTGCTTGGGGACTCTATCGACGGCGATGATGAAAGCCTTGATGTATTCTTGCAGTGCTAGGTCGGGTCGGCGAAAGTCGTTGAATGTGGTGGCTTGCCGCATGTGTGCATCACCAATCTCAAGCATCTTCCTCAGAGGAGTATGAGGGTCGAGGTCGACACCGACAGAGGTCAGGTCATCTATGTGGCGAAAGGGCGCCTTGCCAGAGTCCGAATTAGCACCATCCGTCCCTCCTCCTCCGGGGTGGGTTGCGGCGCCGGCAGCCATTGCGCCACTATCAGGAAGCCCAGCAGTCCTTGAATATGCGACAAGGCTCATAATGTACCGGGGTGGCACACGTGTAGCATATCGGAGTGGCTCGAGTCGAGGGGCGGCGTCGCGACAGTCGGAAGGCCAGGTGGACTTGGAGACTTGGTCTCAGAGCAGAGTAACGCAGGTCAGGAACTTGAAGCGTCGGCGCCAACTCGAAAGCAATGTGTAGGTATGCTTGGGGGGGCAGGGGCAGAACTGGCCGCGAAGTAGACTCTTATGTATCGCTATTGTTCTGGGGACGGGGATTGGAATGTGGTGGCATTCTTGAGGAAACGCGGGCGTCTGTGAACAGCGCCTGGATATCGAGGTTGAAAGAGACGGAAGACCGCGAACGGAACGCTCAAAGAACACGACTACAACGGGCCAAAGGGACAGGTAGGGTAAGTAGAGAAGGTCTTGACACGCTGGTCGCGCCGTCGAACGCGTAAAGCAGCATCTGAGTCGAAAAGGTTGGTGGGTAAATAAGGTAGTCTAGGAGTCAGGGTATCAGAAGGTGGACGCGGAAACATGTGGTTGGCAGGTTGGCGCATCTCGCCACGGTCCACGGATGCGGGATGCGGGACGCGGCGGGGTTGGATTCGCATTAACCGGACTTGTATAGATAGGTAGGTACCTAGGTACGTAATCTGCTACCCGATAGTCTCGGGCTCCCAGTACAAGCACCCGGCCGGCCAGCCACCTGCAAGTATCTATCCACAATATCAACCTCACTGCTCTAATCGAGAGAGATTTTGTATGCTTCATAGCGCTGATGGGATAGGATATATGGAAACGCGGACGTGAAATACATAGAAAAAGTACATTGGGTATAGTATATACACGTTGGGTACACGTACATTGAACACTTGCACGTAGCTTTGATGCATCTAGTAGGTGTACCTCAAGGTGCTCACTGACATCTCATGTCCAGTGCATGTACTGGTTTTGGTACACCTAGCATGAATCAATGGCATTGGAGGTACACAGAAGATACATGCACGTGGCAGCTGGAATAAGGCGACAAGCCACATCAGAGGGGCTGTATGTACGTACCTATGTAGGCGGATTGACGTTGATGAGGCTGCGGGTTATGCCTAATGATGTCCGTTTGATTTACATCCTGTATTGACCTACCATAACCATACCATATCCAGACCGTAATCCAACGCAGCCAGCCCATCTTCCACAGTCTTTCTGCGTCGTATTCAGGCACCGATATCTTTTTTTCCCAACTCAAGGTCCGACAGATACCTACCGCGACAACTCATCCGCGACTCAACCTTCACCATGATGGGAGGCTGGTGGTCGTCCTCGGCCAACAGCGCCCTGGATGAGCAGATCGAGAAGGCGACGGGAAGCAGCTTGTACGCATTTGTGGCCACTCCAGGGCCTCCTTCGCCCGCTGACCTTTCGTGCGCAGGGAGGATATTCCCCTCAATCTCGAGATATCCGATGTCATCCGGTCCAAGACAGTACAACCCAAGGAGGCCATGCGCTCGCTGAAGCGACGCATTGGCAACAAGAACCCCAATACCCAGTTGAGCGCCCTCAACGTACCGTCGTCCCGAACAGCTTCGCCGGCGTGCTATGCTAACGCCCTGTAGCTGACCGACACCTGCGTCAAGAACGGCGGCTCGCACTTCCTTGTCGAGATCGCCTCTCGCGAGTTCATGGACAACCTCGTTTCCTTACTCCGTGCCGTCGGCCCGGCCGCCGTCAACCTCGAGGTCCGTGCCAAGATTCTCGAATTGATACAGTCGTGGGCCGCTGCGACGGAAGCACGCCGCGACCTGACATATATCGACGAGACCTACCGAACGCTGCAGAGAGAAGGCTACCAGTTTCCCCCCAAGGTGACCGTGGCAAGCAGCATGATAGACAGCAGTGCAGTACGTAGCACCCTTCACATACCGTTAGGACGAGAAGCTTACATCTACCTGGTAGCCTCCAGAATGGACCGACTCGGACGTATGTATGCGGTGTCGGACTCCATTCACCTTCACCAACCGGAAGCACCACTGTCGCAATTGTGGCAACACCTTTGATCAGCAATGTTCCACCAAGTCGCTGCCTTTGCCACACCTGGGCATCATGCAGCCTGTACGAGTCGACGACGGATGCTATGCGAGATTAACCGACAAGTCCAGCAAGGGCTTGATACCGCCAGAGCGGTCGCCGTCAAGCTCGTCATTTCCCCATAAGAATCACAGCACGTCTGCTTCCATGCAGCCACGCAGTGCGCGCGTCGACGATGCCTTCGACCAGGATCTCAAAAAGGCTCTGGCGATGAGCCTGGAGGAGGTCCAAAGTCATTCTCAGGGCTATGTCCCACCTGTCGACAACACGCCTGCAGCCACCCATGCCAACGTCGCCAGCGCTGTCAACGATGCCGTGTCGGCATCGGCTAATGCGCCCGACGAGGAGGATGAAGACCTCAAGGCCGCCATTGCAGCATCACTGGCAGATATGGAAGAGCAAAAACAGAGACATGCTGCTGCTCTAAAACAACATACAAATGCCGCCGAAAGTGTCCCGGCTGCTTCCTTTGGTCTACCGAAGAACGACTACGAACTCACGCCAGTCGAAGCCGAAAACATCAATCTTTTCTCGACGTTGGTTGACAGGTTGCAGACGCAGCCTCCGGGTACAATCTTGAGAGAACCGCAGATCCAGGAACTCTATGACTCCATTGGGACCTTACGGCCTAAGCTGGCCCGCACATATGGGGAGACAATGAGCAAACATGGTGAGGGGCGTGCCAAGCTGTATAAATCGCATTGTGCTGACCGATGTCGTAGATACGTTACTAGATCTGCACGCAAAGCTGTCTACCGTCGTACGATACTATGATAGGATGCTGGAAGAGCGCCTATCCAAGACTTATAGTCAGCACAACATGGGCGGCTACGATGTTGCCGCCCCAAGACAACCGACTGGCTCCTATCCCTTGATATCTACGGCAGGTGGCGGTTTAACATCCGCGGATAATTTCTATATGGCCGGGCATGAATCTCGTCCTGGCCCATCATCTGCAGGTCAAGATTACCCTCGGCATGCCCAGCGCACGCCACAACCGCAGTACGCCGGCTACGGGAAGCGGGCTTCAGTAGCGATGCCCATGAGCGGGCAGTATACCCAGCATGCAGTTCAGAGCAACGATAGTTGGCAGAAACAAGCACCATCGGCGCCGCCTCAATACCCCAGTCAGGCCAACTACGCTACCTCGGAACATGCTCCCGCGCCCACTCACATATCCCAGCCATCGCCACGAACGCCGCATAACAGAGCTCACGAGTCTGTCGGGGCGTCTTCAGCAGACCCAAGTGCAGCCTTTTATTACAGCAGTACATCGGCAGGCGACCGTCATACGCCCGGCGTGCCTGCTGAGGCTGCTCCATCTCCTTACCCAACGCTCCAGAGTGCGAGGTATGACGGGCAATCCGTTTCACACACTCCTGGTTCGGTTGCTGTGCAGTCTTCGCAGCCACCTCATATTCCGCAGCAGTATCAACCTTCCGGTCAGCCCACACCACAGACCTATTGGCGGCAGCAGCAGCCGCCGCAACAACAGCAACACACGGACTCACCCGCCCCGGCCTACCAGATGGGTGGACCAGCTTATCCGGGCTTTACGAAGGAGTCATTCCCATCCGCCCCCCAGCATGCACCCCAGCAACCTGTGGTGGAGGAAAGCTTGATCGATCTATGAAGTCGGCTGTGAGTGTTCCCAGGTTGGCTGTCAGCTGCTCGCAGACTTGATGGCATTGCCGGTTGGGTGCAGTGGCGTGGCACAATGTATGCCATGATTCGGGTTACGAACCGTAGCCGTTGGGGTCTAGGGTTGCGATGTTCCCTTCTTTCACTGTGTAGCATACTCGGCAGATGCTGCCTCCTTACGAGACCCATGTAGGATGACAGGAAAATACCTAAGATACCAGTCGAGTAAGACTATTGATCTGTGTCCCAAGAAGAGAATCGTTCGGTTGAGGTTGAGGGAGAGAGGTAGAGCCGTCTGTGCAATAACGGCGGATTGATGATAGATGGACAACAGCGGGTGCCTGTGCGTCCCTATCTTCACTACCTATTACTGTTGAGGTCTTGGTACTGTACTACTACATGTGGCTTTGGATATTAAAATATCGAGCGGTGAATGGGCTGACAATTCCATTATGTACCCAAGGTACCGAGGTACCTCTAGGTAGTAGGCTGCCAGCACAGGTGCCAGTCGGGCCTTCATTCATTGCGTCATCGGGCTACAGTACATGTAACATACCTTTGTCACTTGTGGCCGGTCCATGTCCACCACCACCATGATCCATGATTGACCCCTCATCAATACCTACCCCGCTAGAGCCGCCTCTTTCACAGCTACATGTAATACGACGGGATAATGTACTGCAATTGTTTCTGCACATCGTGTGTACCTACACGAAGGCCTTGACCAGTTGTTCAGTGTTGCGCATCAGCTTCGATTCTTGATACCTAGAGCACACTTGATTTAGCCGCAAGCCACCAGAGACGTGGTACGAACGGAGAAAGGTAAATCGACTCGTCCACCACATATTTAAGGAATCTATCTCCCGTCTTTGTCCCAGTCATCTCTCGTCAACTGCGTCAACTGCATCAACCCACCAGTGATACAGCCCGTTCCACGCGCCAAAACTCCTGCATATCTGGGAGCATATCTTGAGCGCACCGAGCCGACATGTCTCGCCACCAAGCCTACCGCAACTATGACTACGAGAACGACCTCGACGAATACGAGGGCGCTGAGTACTCTGACGGGGAAGAAGAACTGAGCGCCGAGGATCGAGGTGTGTCTCGCCTGCGGCATCTCATTGCTGACTGGCCCTCTTTAGACTTTGGTCTGCCATACTGACGAGCGTACCATAGCGCAAATGACCGCCGGGACCACCGAGATTCGAGCTACGTTGGGAGACAAAGTCACCACCAAGCAGATCGAGGAAGCATTATGGCACTACTTCTACGACGTCGACAAGTCCATCGCTTACCTGACGACCAAGTACATCGCATCGAATCCCACCAAGAAGAACAAAGCAGGAGGTACGTCCATAATTTCTCGGTCCGGTTCCCAGGGCGCGCAGTCGTCAAGTTGGGTTATGCACACGCGGCTACGGCAGACGGGGCAGCAAGGCTCCATGGGTTCAGGTGCGTAGCATGTGCTTGATGGTGTCATAGAAACTCAAAGGAATGTTGGGACTAATCGAAAACACCAAAGGTCTCAGCAAGCAAGGTGCTTCGCCGCAACTGTCTCTTGCTGGCTTTTTCCATGACATGCCATGGCTCAACGTCCCAAAACACCGAGAGACTACCTTCGTCGAGCCACTTCGTCCTCGAGGTGGCCTCTTGGGTGGATCCAGTGTACCCGGCAAGATGTCGAAACTTCAAGCTCTCGCCGCGGCGCGTAAGAGAAAAGCCGATGAGCAGAAGTCCGATAAGAGAGAAAGCCCAAATACCGGACAAGCAACAGGAAAGATGTCTCTGGCACCAAAATCATCCAACGACATAGAAGTTCAAAGCACCACTCGACGGTTGGGCAAGCTCTCCGTGTCCCCGAAGGTCACTGAAGCTGCCAAAGAGAACATTCAGCCACTGCGCTCCGGCAATGCCAGGCCTCATGTCTCGGAAGACCCAGAAGACCCGGAACCGCACGAACATGCACCCCAGCATCAAGGACATGAGGTCGATGACGACACTATGGCACCACCAGTGGTTACACGAGCCCCTGAAGCTGCCATCGCTGTGGATCCTGCTGCGCCGTCTGCTTTCGCCCAAGCCCTTCTTGGCCCTGCTACCCACTCTGCCAAACCAGCTCCCAGAAACCATTATCCATTTCCGTACATGAGCTTCACTTCTTCAGTCACTGATGCCTTCTCAGAGCCGAGTCCAGACGATGTGGTCTCCGCCGCACAGTCCAAAGGTTCGCATTTGGCGAAAAGGGTGAAAACATGAGGATACTAACTTTACGCCATCAGCAAGCAACAAGAAACTAGCAGCCAGCACGGCAAGGAAGAAGGCTGGATCCGAGGAGAAAGGGGGCGAGCTAGCAGACGGGGTGAGGGGTATGAAGGTTGACGACACACCACTACCCAAGAGCAAGAATCTCAATGTGCTGAGCGAGTTCGAGAAGAGCAAGAACAAGAAGAATGCAAGTTTTGTAGTCGTCGGTAAGTTCATTCGATGCCTCGCGGATCCTCATCCATAAGCTGACCTAACAAGGTCACGTGGACGCTGGAAAAAGCACGTTGATGGGCCGTCTACTGCTTGACCTCAATGTTGTCGACCAAAGGACGATTCATAAGTATCGAAAGGAAGCCGAGAGTATGGGAAAGTCTTCATTCGCCCTTGCCTGGGTGTTAGATCAACGCTCGGAGGAGCGGTCAAGGGGGGTAACTATCGACATCGCAACAAACAAGTTCGAAACCGACAGTACATCGTTCACCATCCTAGATGCTCCTGGGCATCGCGACTTCATCCCAAACATGATTGCGGGGGCCAGTCAGGCAGATTTTGCTATACTTGTGGTCGATGCGACGACCGGCGCGTTCGAAGCTGGACTTAAAGGGCAGACCAGAGAACATTCACTCCTCTTACGCAGTATGGGAGTATCACGCATCATTGTGGCCATCAACAAGCTCGACACAGTGGGTTGGTCGCAAGAACGATTCGACGAGATTTCTCAGCAGGTATCAGGTTTCTTATCCGCAACCGGCTTCCAGCTCAAGAACGTCAGCTTTGTCCCCGTGTCCGGTTTGCATGGGGACAACATGGTGAAGCGATCGTCGGATCAGGCCGCCCATTGGTATAGCGGGAACACGCTCATCGCCGAACTGGAGAATTCGGAGCCCATCACACGAGCCTTGGACAAGCCTTTGCGCATGACCATTTCGGAGGTTTTCCGCTCGGCACAGAGCTCGGTGACGATATCTGGACGAATCGATGCTGGGTCACTGCAAGCCGGCGATGCCCTGCTAATCCAGCCCAGTGGAGAAAAGGCCTATGTCAAATCCTTGGAGCTCGACCTAGAGCCGGTTGACTGGGCCGTGGCGGGACAGAACATCGTCATACACCTGAGCAATATTGAGGCGGTCCACGTGCGTGTCGGGGATATCCTGTGCGATCTGAAGCAGCCCATTACCTGCATTGATACATTCACGGTCAAGGTACTGGCGTTTGACATCCTCATGCCCATGCAGGTCGATGTTCACAGAGGACGCCTACATGCTGCGGGCCAAATCGCCGAGATACCGGCGCTTCTTGATAAGGTCAAGGGCACAGTTCTGAAGAAGAAGCCGAAAATCGTGAAGCCAGGCAGTGTTGCGAGAGTCGTGGTCAAGATGGGCAGCAAGGTGCCTTTGGAAGCTGGCCAGAGAGTCGTACTTAGGAGTGGTGGTGGGACTGTTGCTGCTGGATTACTGGAATGACCCAATCACGTCTCTGGTTTGCACGCAGAGAGCATATACTGTCGCAACACAAAGGGGGCAGCATTAGCGGGTCACGAGCATGGCGTTCGGCAAAGAGGGAGGTGATGATATAGCTGCCGCAGCGCCAAGGGGAGGTGCACCAACGGCATAGCGACGCCATTGTCATGAAGATGTAGGGCATGAGATCGTGACATACATGGAGAACGTAGAACACGACGATCATGTTATACCCATATCCACATGACTGGTTTGTACCAACCCAACTAGGTACTCTTGCATGCCGAGGACATGCGTCGTCGTACTTGTGACAACAGTTTTATGGGTGTATATATTTGCGGACTGGACTGGACAGATACAGACTATAATAAGTCCAGTATTGTTGCTATGTTTAGACGAACCAGAAGGACTATTTTCTGAGCAGTATTTGTCATTAGGGTGTCTCATCGCTGCCGGCACGGCATCTGAATACTGGTATCTGGGTTGCCTACCTGCCACGAGAGTAAATGTTGGGCCTGGCCTAGGTGGCTGCTTGGTTTGTAGGTGGATAGGGGAGTGAGGCAGGTAGGTGATGCATGTGTATATTGGTATGTGTATGTGTAGGTGTACTTATAGGGTGCTGACGGGCTGGGGACCAAAACGGAAGGAGGTTAGCGTCAGGCCTTAGCAAGTCGCTTCGTCGCGCAATGCCATCTCTTCGCCCTATATCCGCACCTAATCTCGCAATCACCATGCCAATGCGGCAATGGCAACATATAAGCCTCTCGGTGCTGACCGCAAGGAGATCCGGCTACTCACTGTACACCACGGGCGAGACGAAGTCGAGGTAACAGCCAGTCTAGAGACTTTCACGCTGGCAAAGGCATCACGAATCGGCTATGAAACCATCTCGTACGCCTGGGGCGACGGATCGCTCCGCGATGCGATCAAGATTAACGGACAAGAGGCATCCGTACCTGCTAGCGCGGTGGCAGCCATCAGATGCATTCGACTTCAACACACTAGCAAGCGGAGTTGGCAATCCGCCATCAAAGGCGTTCGGCATTCACGCGCCGGTAGGCGTAGATGGATAGACTCGGTCTGCATACACCAGCATGATATGCAGGAGAGAAGTCAGCAAGTAGGGATGATGGCCGCGATCTACCAGAAGTCTCAAGGCAACCTGATCTACCTTGGCCCAGACACGGGTCTGATGTCCTCAGCACGCAGCAGTATTAGGATGCTATGTGAGGAAGCGGAGTCGGAAAGTAGAGGCCAACCGCTGTACGAATTTATAATAAAAGAACGCAGCTCGATTTACGCCAATGGCCCTGTAAAGGCACCTATTGAGATTCAAGCGCTGGTCTCATTTTACGACTGCTCCTGGTTCGAGTATGAGGCGGTCTATCCGAAGACATTCGCTCAAGCTGACCAGCGCAGGAGGCTCTGGGTTCTACAAGAAGTCGTGCTGGCACCGAGGAACACGGTACATCGTGGTGATTTACAAATGAGCTTGAGGGATATCATTGTGGCTACAGCCTGGCTTCACCACAAACAACTGCACTTGCCCGGGGCACTCACCAGTGCAACCGGATATCGCACCGCACTCAACATGTGGAACTACCGTGAATCCCCTACCATGTACTTCGGCACGAACGTCCTATGGAGTATACTAGGATCAGCAGGCGGCCTGAAATGCTCCGACGTTCGCGACAAGGGCTTCGGCGTCGTTGGTCTCTATCAGAGACATAAAGCAAACAAACGGACCGCACTACCCTCCGCTCTGCAACCAGACTATCAGAAAGACGTAGCCGCGATCCTGCGCGATGCTACGCGACAAGCGATCATCGAGAGCAGATGTCTCTCCATCTCAGGGTACTCTACCAGGCGCTTGTGTGGTATTGATAGGCTTACTTCGTGGGTTACTGAGTGGTTTCGCAAGCCAGAAGATGATGATGATAGGCCCTTCGCAGAGTTCTTCGACGTTGGGAGACCACGTTGGTGGATATCAGCAGCATCCCAACTGGAAAGCGATTTGGGCCCTGATGTTTGGTTGCTTGATGGAGTCACCGTAGATACCGTCTCCTCTATCACCCCCAAGATGACTGGAGACTTGCTGCTCTCTGTCCACCGGCTTATTGCCCGCCTCCGTGAGATCTCAACACTCGCCGCAGAACTCGGAGTCCGTGGCGCCATTCTGGATTTCACCTTGATCCCGGGAACGACTTGTTATGGAAGACCAGCGCAACTAGAGTGACGGGCCAAGTTACGGGGCTATATAGACTACCTCGCGAAGAACCAACGCCGCCTTCCAACACTGCGGAAGAGTGGTAGCAGCTCTGTGGGTGACCAAATGGATTTGATTAACTTCCAGGAAGCATTCCGCTACGCCTGCCTGAATCGACGTCTATTTGCTACTGCAACAGGTAAACTTGGACTAGGTCCAGCCGAAACAAACATTGGCGATATCATCATGGTTGCGAGATGCGCGAGACACCCTTTCGTGCTACGCCGCCTGGAAGACGGTTGCTATACATATGTCGGTGCCGCATATGTGCACGGGATAATGTACGGTGAAGCTGAGATGGAGCATGTGAGCGCTGGCCAGGCATTCGAGAGGTTCAACGTAAGGTGATGCTCGTCCATCTACTACTCCCGGATTGATGGCACGGCTGCCAGGAAAGGCAAGTGATGAAAGATGTCGAGGACGCCGGTATATGCAAGATGTACACGCAAGATAGTAATTTCATACAGTGACGTGTCTGTTCAGACTGTCTGACTATCGTCTGTGTACGATGCCGCCAAGGCTACTGTTTACCGTAGCGACAATCGAAGTGATTCAGCCTTGCTAGTCCACGAGCATCCACCAGCAGTCCTGCGTGTAAGACGTTGGCCGCTTTCTGCATCTCACAATCCATCTAGCAGAAACCATATATCAGTCGTGACAAGGGGTGAGAACTCTTAATGTCACCTTGTGTATTACACGTGCGTGTACTATAGTCTCTACGATAGAGTGTGGCGCGGGACTGGGACGGTATTACATACATGCATCACGTACAGACCTACCTGGCAGCAACACCACATAGAGTATGCCAATCTATTATACACGTGAAACTCTCGAGTCTAAAATCAGGACCTCTCTCTTGCTCGCGTCATGAGGCTCAGGAAGCAGGGCGGTAGTCTGGTAGGGCCAGAGTGCCGAGGGCTTGAGAGTCACGGAGAGGATGGTTCCATCGAATCTGCAAGGACGATAAGTGTCTGATGCGTTGTTGCATCGAACTGGGAGTGCATTCGTATCATGGGATGCGTCTTGTAGGCAGGTTGGTCAGAAGGCACACCCTGATAAGGTCTCGTCAGAAGTCAGAAGTCAGGATACGTATCGGAGTTCTCGCGGTTCGCCCCCATAGCTCGCCCCCAATGGAGGGACAACCAGACGGACAGGGATCCCCCGCATCACGCGGAGCGGCCACGACCAACTCGACGGACCCCAAGTTGCGGCGATCTGGCTTCAACTGCCCGACCATAGGGGTGGATAGTGTACAGTAGGCTCATGATGATATGATCAGGTATAGGTAGGAAGGCGAGAAACCCGCGAAGGATCGTATGGGAGTTAGCCGTATGTAAGGTAGGTCCTGTTCGACGTCCACAATCATCCTCAACCCCATTGTGACACATTCATGGTGTTTAGATAGGTACTGACGTGAATAGACAGCTAGCCTACAATATGGACAGGTGTATACTTGTACTTGAGTGATGGGATGCAACCATGGCTGGTTCGGTGAATGGAGGATTGGGAGCTGTAGATGCTTGGCTGTGGCAGTGAATAAGAGACCAGATTACATGTCCCATGAATCCTTTGATGGTGAACTGCGACTGATCTGGCCTTGCAGAACGTTGGAGAACAATGGTGAAGAAGGAGTGGAAGTGCAACGAAGACTGAAAGCTGTCATTTACAGGGGGCGGCTCCACTGTTTAGGCTGGCCAGTATGGGTCACAGGAGCCCCGCCAGTCAGTGCCCGTGACCCTGGACAGTGGATCACGTGCCTGAATGGACCCGACTGGAGAGGCCACGTTCCTTCTGTCGCACTACCCACACATTCTTGGTGCAGCGGTGGACCATGGGTACTTCCATGTTGCAAGCTGTTCCGTTTGGTGAACTGAACACTGAATGGGTGTCAGTGTCGATTGTCCCACTTTTACTGAAGATGTGTCTTTTTGCAACTTGTCCACAAGTGCCTTCGGCCTCTACCTCAGCCATATAAGATTTCCCAGACTCGGCTTCTGCTTCTTCTTCTCCCTCCTCATTCCACTACATACCACCCCAGCTGAACACAACAGTTCGACGACACTCCGACTCTGGTGTCTCGTTTCTCTTCCTCTGACTCTATTCCACTTGATTTAATACCCCTTTAACACTGCACATCTGATTGCAGAAGCCGCCATCACCATGGCCGGACGCTCCCAGAGCTACTGGGCGATCGCCTTTGGCATGATCGCCTGGAGCCTTCTCCTCTTCAGCCCCCTCGCACTCGTCTCGAGCGTGAATGCGCAGGATACGGAGCAAGACTACGGAACTGTTATCGGTATTGTAAGTTGGATACCCTGACGCTGCACCTTGCCCCGTCCCTGCCCGCGGCGCTGCGGCCCCTTGCTGACCTCTGCCTCTTCTTCAACAGGATTTGGGAACCACATACTCTTGCGTCGGTGTGATGCAAAACGGCAAGGTCGAGATTCTCGTCAACGACCAAGGAAACCGAATTACCCCCTCATACGTCGCCTTCACCGAGGAAGAACGGTTAGTCGGAGACGCCGCCAAACAACAGGCGGCCGGCAACCCATACAACACCATCTACGACGTCAAGTAAGTTACACCACAGGAATCCACACCCAGCGATGCCAATTCTCCCTCCCCAGATAGTCGAGCTCGATGGGACAAATCCACTGACTACCCTTCTTACTACAGGCGATTCATTGGCCGCAAGTGGGAGGAGAAGACCCTCCAGAACGATCTCAAGCACTTCCCCTACAAGGTTATCCAGAAAGATGGCAAGCCCACCATTCAGGTCGACGTTCAGGGCTCCCCCAAGAAGTTCACTCCCGAAGAAATCTCTGCCGTCATTCTTGGCAAGATGAAGGAGGTTGCCGAGTCGTATCTGGGCAAGAAGGTTACCCACGCCGTCGTCACTGTTCCCGCCTACTTCAACGATAACCAGAGACAAGCCACCAAGGACGCTGGCGTCATTGCCGGTCTGAATGTGCTGCGTATCGTCAACGAGCCTACTGCCGCCGCTATTGCCTACGGTCTGGACAAGACCAACGGCGAGCGTCACATCATTGTTTACGACTTGGGTGGCGGTACCTTCGATGTCTCCCTTCTGTCCATCGACGACGGTGTCTTTGAGGTCCTGGCTACTGCTGGTGACACCCATCTTGGTGGTGAGGATTTCGATCAGCGAATCATCAACCACCTGGCCAAGTCGTACAACAAGAAGAACTCGGTCGACATCAGCAAGGATCTGAAGGCCATGGGTAAACTGAAGCGCGAGGCCGAAAAGGCCAAGCGAACCCTCTCTTCCCAGAAGACCACCCGCATTGAGATCGAGGCTTTCTTCGAGGGCAACGACTTCTCCGAGACCCTGACTCGCGCCAAGTTCGAGGAGCTGAACATGGATCTCTTCAAGCGAACTCTGAAGCCCGTCAAGCAGGTTCTCGAGGACGCCAAGATGAAGAAGGACGAGATCGACGACATCGTGCTGGTTGGTGGTTCCACCCGTATCCCCAAGGTTCAGGAGCTTCTCGAGGAGTTCTTCAATGGCAAGACGGCTAGCAAGGGTATCAACCCCGATGAGGCTGTCGCTTTCGGAGCTGCTGTTCAGGCTGGTATTCTCTCCGGTGAGGAGGGCACTGGAGACCTCGTGCTCATGGATGTCAACCCCTTGACCCTTGGTATCGAGACCACCGGTGGTGTCATGACCAAGTTGATTCCCCGCAACACTGCAATCCCCACTCGCAAGAGCCAGATCTTCTCCACCGCCGCCGACAACCAGCCCGTGGTCTTGATCCAGGTATTCGAAGGCGAACGTTCCATGACCAAGGACAACAACAACCTCGGAAAGTTCGAGCTGACCAACATTCCCCCTGCGCCTCGTGGTGTCCCTCAAATTGAGGTCTCTTTCGAGCTCGACGCCAACGGTATTCTCAAGGTTTCGGCCCACGACAAGGGCACTGGAAAGACCGAGTCCATCACCATTACCAACGACAAGGGTCGTCTTACCCCCGAAGAGATCGAGCGCATGGTCGCCGAGGCTGAGAAGTATGCCGAGGAAGACAAGGCTACCCGTGAGCGCATTGAGGCCCGAAACGGTCTTGAGAACTACGCTTTCAACCTGAAGAACCAAGTCAACGATGAGGATGGTCTTGGTGGCAAGATCGACGAGGATGAGAAGGACACTGTAAGTTTTGCCCATTGTAATGCTGAACATTGTCCGAGTGCTGACCCCCTTTCTAGCTTCTGGAGGCTGTCAAGGAGACCACCGACTGGCTTGAGGAGAACGCCGCTGAGGCTTCCGCCGAGGACTTCGAAGAGCAGAAGGAGAAGCTGTCCAACGTCGCGTACCCCATCACCTCCAAGATGTACAGCGGTGCTGGTGGCGAGGCTGAGGACGATGAGCCCCTGGACCACGATGAGTTGTAGTTTTTTTCATAGACCTGTTCTTATGGCATACCCACGGCGCACAAAATAAACCGAGTTCATGAATTTCCCTGTTTCACTGCTAGTAACGTGAGGATTTCTGTCTTGGCAATTCATCCTGGACAGCTGGTCCTGTTAGCGTGCATACATACACACAAGCAAGCGTTCCCGTCGGTGTGGCTTCTTCGTCGGTTTCAGGACGAAAGAACCGAGCCGTGCCGCTGACTGTTGACACCACCCCACTGTATCTGTGCGTGCTTGATTCGGTGCCATCTGTGGTGGCTAGACTGGGAGTTGCCCCGGGACGCTGGCCGCTTTTGGGTTGTGGTGGTGGTAATGAAGCTGAGTCAGGGGTGGTGCTGGGCTTTTGTATGTATGGCTTGTTGGAAAGGAAGAGGAGAGGGAGAGAAGGGAAGGCCGGAACAGTGGATAAAGTTAGGGAGGAATGGAATAGGGGGGAGAGAGGGGGACGGAAGGGCAGCTGATAGGAAGATAAGGCCGGTAGTCAGAGGGCTAATAGAGGGTAGGGGGGTTGGGAAGGGAGTAACGAAGGGGGCGTTCATTGTAGGACGAAGGAGCGGAGGTTTCGGTTGTTGGGCTGTCATCGGTTGCTGGTGTGCTGGGTGGATCGATTACTGGTGTGGTAGGTGGGTAACGTAAGGTAGATTGTATGGGATAAGGATCGGGGGTTGTGGGAGGTGGAGGTGAGAGAAAGGGGGCTGACTGCCCATGCGTGAGCGAGCGAGTCTTCGAGTTGAGTTGGAATAGAAGGTGGAGGTAAGTAAATGTATGTGTTTATCTGTCCCGCTCGGCAAGGTGAGAGGAGAGAGGAGAAAAAGGAACAGAGAAGACAGAGCCACGGTAGCGGATTTAGGGGCAAAGAGGATAGAGGATTTGGCGCGCAATGGAGGAGATTCGGTTGCAGAATGAAGGGTACGCGGTTGGGCGCAATGTGCATCATGCCATACTAAAAATTCGACTTGGGACCTTTGCAAGTATTGGAAGATTTGGATTATCTGGAGGATTGCAGGAATATTGATAGTGTTGTGAGAACGCAGCAGATGTTTGATACTACCACTCTCTCTGGGAGACGGATTCCGAGCCTGGTGTTTTGATAGTTGGTAGTCTCAACATGACACAACGTTACCCAGCCGAGCAGACCGAAACTGCGATTACAGCTGCAAGCCAACACGAGACCAGGCTGGCAGACGAAGGTAACGTTATGATCAAGGCTTACTTGTAGGACGATAATGTGCGGATGTTGGTCATTAAACCAGTCTGATCTGCGCGTGTAGTATTGTGACAGTTCGCCACTCTTATGGAATACCAGAACTGGCTCAGGATTGTGTCACCGTACCCAGAGCCACCATCACCGAAAGTTGACCAAGCTGTGCGTGTTAGCGAGTGCTCCCCTTGTCGATTGGGATATACACTGACGAAAGGGACAATAGTGGAAAGAGCTCCTCCAGTACGGCGACATCCGAGTGAGCGGTGAAGGGTTACCTGAAATCGATTCCCATGCCCGGAGAAGAGGATAGCTACTGGGTGGAGCTCAGTGTGATTCCTCAGCTCCATTGCATTGTGAACCGGCTCAAACCTCTGCATACACTCCATCGAATTACAGCGCGGGAAAGCTTATTACTTCCCCAATATTACCGACGAGGAGCGACGCCTAAATTTGGCTACACAATGGTGAGTTCATACTCCTGTCCGTTTCCCCTATAAATAAAGCAGTTACTGATGAGCCCCGTACGAACAGATCATCGTCTCGAGATCCTGCGGCAGTCTGTCATACGTCACGCCGACGTCTCCATGATTACTATGACCTGGGAGCCAACCTCAGTATTTCCCATCGCTGACTTCCAGAATGTGCAGGAATTCACCCATTGGAACAGGCTGTATGATTGGCAGAAGGAGCGGTCCCGGGATCTGATGGAGCTGGGTGTGCTGGTGGATCCGTATCTCGGTAAGTAGCCTGTAACCAACTTGCACAATGAAGGCTTCATGCTGATGTCGGTTCCAGGTGTGCCGTTCCGAGAGGGACGTTATCATGGAGTCGGGGCAGCCGACCAGGACCATGCTATTGGGTCGGAGGGCGCGGATGAGTTGATGGCGATGGGAGTCCTGCCAGCTCATGGATAGAACCTCGCCGTTAGACGAGCGTTGAAGCACATGAGCCCGTGTAGAGCGACGAACATCCCGATTCATTACGGTCCCAGTTGGGCTGCTTAACAAGCTAGATTGATCGTTAGACGGCAGTGTCAGCGCCGATGTTGGTGCTCTCAGCCAACTATCTGAGTCGCTGAAGCTTCTCTGCGCTCCCTTGTGTCGCACTTGGCCTGATTTCACAGGAAATCAAGGACTACTTGGAGGGGTCTTTGAAGCCACAGCCCAGGAGCTGATTAAAAGGGGGCGTAATGAGAAACTGCTGCCCAGTCATCAGCATCCGTACAGCATATTCCCAGGCTGACGTCCAGGTTGTGGCACCGAGATTGCCAATGGCAGATGAAGTGCCAGTGCCGGAAAGTTCCCGGCTCGTACTTGGAGCATCGCATGGGGAGAATTTCTCTTGGCCACTCGTCGCTATCGTTTCCTTGGAACGACGTACTGAAACTAGGCCGCGTTATGGTTCGAGCCTCTCGTAATATTCCTCTCCAAAGACGACAACGCCATTTAGTATCATACTAGACTGAAAGTGGTGTCGAGAGAAGCACTCGCCGTTGACATTATATCTCAGAGTACAAACAGAGGATCTAAAGTACCAAGTCCATTGATGTGGACGGCCGGATCAGAAGAAGGTGCGAAGTGAGGCAGACCAGGGCAAAGTAGGGTATAATCACACACCCGTTTGAAGATCAGCAGGAGCACATAAGGGAGAATATCACATAGCAGTCACATTACATGCGAGCCTAATATATCGCCTAGCTAATGGATGATGCGTCCGCGATATTGCTACCCCTTATTGATGGTTGCCTCAAGCTCAGATAGCTAGTGGTTTGACCGTCATGAAGGTGCCCATTGTCGACACAGGATCTCATTACTTTCGCATGCTGCTTACACTTAATATTCAGTTTCTCTGGAGAAAACGGTGCCATCGATTTGGGGCCCCACTCAGTGGTGCTCCCGGAGTGCTGTTGCTGCGGAACGTAGATCGACGACCTATGACCAAAGCAATCACTTGCAGCAACCCCCTGAGTATCGCTTCTTGTGTAACACTTTATACAAGTTCCCTTACCTGTAGACTGTGCACATCAACTCCCCCCATCTCTCGTAGCTCGCAGCTTGAACCGCTACCGAATGGGCTGTACCGCTGCCTGATATATCCACCGCGAATATTTTATTCCACGCCGCTTACCTTTCAATATCTTGTAGTATTCAATGTTTAAATAATCATGTCAGCCCTAGACACGGTGGATTGCGACCTGAAGCGTGAAGTAACGTCAATAAGTATGACCAATTGGCCACCATGGCCGCCATGGTATTGAGGAGACCTCGAGATACTTATTCAAGTGAATTGCTCGAATTTCGATGCGATGTTTACAGATGCGTACAGCTCATTCAAGTTAGGGCGCTATCGTCACCGAGTAGACAAGAAAGGGGGCCGGCCACCAGGGCCAGGTTCCGGGGGGCGCCTCACGCTGCTAATGAGGCTGGATGATGACTTGGTTGATCGCATCTACAAGGTATTCGTGTAAATAGAATCTTAAGGGCGTCATAGACTACAGCGCCTCTTTCCCGAACCATATGTACCTAGGCTGTCCACCAGATCTTCACGTAGCGTCAGATCTCCTGCGAACTCAGCGTGCCGACCTATGAAATCTGGGCGAAGATGAACGGCAACGTTGAGATTAGGGAGTACAACCAACTCGGGACTCTGGGCAACATATTAATGTGAGGGAGTAATGCGAGGCCGTGGGACTTCAGTACGTAATAGACGCGGAGAGGACTTGTCCATCCACCACCGAGGGAGGCACGAGAAGCACACTAATATCGCATCGAAGTAGTGACTAAGATATGTCACAAAACACCCGTACTAGAAACTGACCCTTAGGAAAGGGCCCGGCTGGCATTGGTCCGTAGGCGCAGGGATTGTGTCTATCTATGGGGCTGCGTTCGCCCTGGCGACCGCGGGCATCTATCTAGCTGGGAACCCCAATGCATCCTGCATGTAAAAACAGCCCGCTTAGACCTGCCGCGATCTACAGTCTGTCAGAGATGGCCGCATGGTAGCTATTGTGCAGTGGGCTGCATTTAATATGGCCATCATGCACGTGGCTTTGGTACCTCCTCGTGCTCTCAGGGGCTCCAGGAAGGCTGGACAGCTAGACACTCACCGCCCGACTCCGCATGCCAACGTGCCTTAAGCATGCTCACTGCAAGATCGACACGTGTGCATGGGATTACTACATTGGCATGTGGTCCTAGATACATGAGGTACTTGTACCGTTTGTACATGATGGTCTACCAGTCAGTCGGGTCGATGGGTTCGCCCGGGCTGACCACCTAGGACGCCCCTGAGACGTCACTCGCAACTGATCGGCGGTTTCCTAACTGCTTCCTATCGGTTTCGACAGGTAGAGGACCTTCGCGAGTGGCTGGACCCTAATGTCGAATATAGTATGTCTCCCGAACTCGGCATCTACCGCAAGCCCCGACTTCGATACGCGAGCGGTTCTGCAAGAGCCATCCGTGCATTGTTGGCGAGGACGATGTGTACGTTGGCGACCACGTGGGCGCTACTGCGATTTATATTAAACTGCTTCTAGACGATGCTATGCACTGGGTGTCGATAGACTACTGCAGCTTTTCAAGCCATCCTGCTGGGCATGTGGCTTTCTTCATGTATGCTGCAACGGGACGTTCATGCATTGTATATGCAAGGGCACAGGCCCTCTTCATGATAAGCGAGTGCATTGCATAGAAGCTTCATTACGCAGCCAAATTCACTACTGGATAGTCGTTTCACAGCAACAGAGCTCTCTAAGCATCACTAAGCGGGCCCTGTGACGTTATACAGTAGCAAGTGTCTTATCCTCAAGAATTCAGAAGATCGGGTCCTTTCAATGATACAGTTGCACACGGTAAGGAGAAAGTAGTTATTCTATTCTATATGCGGTACTATTATTTATGATCACATATGACAAGCTTCTCTAACGAGCGACCGACTCGGACTCAGAACCTCCAGTTTAGCTCATTCCCTCCCTCCCTCTTTGTCTCGTAGTTGCCTCCGCCACTTCATCCCGTTCCTGACAACGAGATACAACAGGGGGGATAAGAGAACGTAAAAGGTCGCTATGATAGAGTACGCCTTACCCGGCCCCGTGGCCTGGATGAGTGGGTTGATGGACGCCGACATGGCGGCACTGAGGAGGAACTTGACGATATTATTTCCCGCGGCCGCCGCGCCCGTCTTTCCAGGCCGGATATCCGCGATGAGCGCGTTGAAGACGCTCGTCACGCTGACGAGTCCCAGGCCGAGCAGGAACACCAGGACACAGATGATCCCGATCGAGACCTGGGTATCGAGCGCCCACCCCCAGGCCGTGATCACGACGAAACTAAGGATGAGCGGCGGGATGACAACCTCGATGCGCGCCTTCTCGATCGGAAAGTCGATGAGGTCCATCTGCCGGTCCTTGTCCACCTCCAGTCCGAGCCTCTTGGCGTGGCGCTGGAAGTTCCAGTTCAAGGCCTTCCCGGTCAGGACCACAGAAACTATGGAGCCGGCGGCCAGCGGCAGGTATATCAGGCCGATCTTGAGACCGTCGAAGCCGTAGATGTCGGCGAAGAGGCTGGGCACCGCCGTGGCCACGGCGTAGACACCGGCGAACAGGAGCCCGCCGTATAAGAACAGGAGACTGAGCTCTTTCTCGACGAGTAGGAGGAGGGACGTGCGGAAGCGCGTCCAGGCGGAAGCAGGTTTGGGTGCGGCGGCCTCGAGGCTCGCAGTTATCGTGATGGTGTTCTCCGGGTCGGAGCCGCTCTTCTTCTTGCGGTTCTGGAGCAGCTGTCGCACCGTCTGGTTCCGCTTTCGCGGGAGGATGGAACCGTCACCTACGACTGTGCGGCACGTCTCCGGGAAGAAGCAGAACAGGATCCCGAGGTTGATGACGGCGCATATTGTGAGGAACCAGAAGATATTCCGCCACCCCAGATACGTCGCTATGGCACCGCCAATGACGGGCCCGATGCTCGGTCCCAGCGTGACCGGGAGGGCTAGGAAAGCCGTGTACTGGCCTCGTTCCGAGCTCGTGGCAACGTCGGCAACGACGCCCTGACAGAGCGCTTGGGTTGCTGATATAGTGGCGGACTGGAGAATCCGGAATGCGAAGAGGCTGCCATAGCTGTCTGAAAGAGCGAGGGCTATGTTGACGGCGATATAGAGGATAAAACATGTGATGTAGACTGGTCGTCGTCCGGAGGTGTCTGCGTAGCCGGCAATGAAGATGGGCGATACCCCTTGGAAGATCATGTAACTAGTGACCGTGAGGTTGATCTTTTGAACCGACGTGTGCAGGTCATCGGCTGCTATCTTGAGCGCCGGCAGGTAGATCTGCGCCGTCCACGAGGCGAACAGAGCACTGAAGGCGGCGCTCGCAACGATCAGCCGCTTCGCGCCTTGCGTGTGGACCGTGTACGGGGTTGGAAGAACAACAACAGGTTCAGAGTCTGGCGAGTCCTTATGGGGAATGCTGTCGTCGAGAACAGCTACGATTGTGTCGCTGCTGGTATGACTCGGTCTTTGTGCTTTCTCGTTCTGAGGAGTGGTCAGATCATCCTCGCCAACGGTGATAGAGTCTCGGTCCATGGTTGGCCGCTCTGCAGCCGCAGGTGATAGGCCGGGCTGAGTGCGAAACCAAAGAATGCAGTGCGAGTTCTTGGGAGGTCGGTTCAGTGTCTTCGAACTCAAAACATGGCCCGCTTCTTGATATTAATGTGTCAAGGTCGGCGCATCCAAATGGCGGCGTTCAGTCTGCAAAGGTGAATAGATAGCCTGTGGCGACAGCTCATACAAAGCTTTCGATATCGACTTCACCTCGTAGTCGAGGGCTAGATCATTTCTCGCCCTTCATCCTTCAATCCCCCAGTATCAGTTATCAGCCACCGTTCGGGGCTGGAACAGGCATGGAATATGCAAGTCGGGACTCAGTAGCCATAAGGTGGTTTTCTAGGTAGGGATGCATGGGGGGAGAGACGGGACCGGCACCTGAACATAACTTTGTGCTGTCGAAGCAGAACCATGCTTACACATCCGGTGGCCTCACCCCGTCGATATCAACCACATCTATTTCTCCGAAGTTTGTGGATCATATTAACCTGTCTTAAGGACGGCAGCTAGTCACGTTCGTCCTGTCGGACGAACACGAACACATACTACCATGTGAGTATCCTGGGGAAGGGCCTAGTGCTGCCTTGTTTGATGATTCTAGTCACTCTCGCTACGGTGGCTTTCCTGTGGTCTGACACGGTCGTCCAGGACCATGAGCTCGATTCCAATATACTCGTAAAGCTTTGCCTCTACCAGGTCAGAAGCAGGAGCAATGTCCGAGAGCAATGCGTGAACGGGCTGTTGAATAGTTGTGCTTGAGCGGCTGGACTTTGTCGGAACCACTCAGACTGGTGATACATATGAGCAAGTCAAATACGGTAGCCGACTAGAAGGGGAAACTGGGTCGCCGTCACGCCAAGCTCAGCAGAATACATGGGTGAGAATTTGTGGAATGAAGGATTAAGGGAACGGGGGACCGTTGGAAGCGAGGATGAGGACCGGGTCAAAAGATGCAGGCAGATATGCAGGTTTGAAGTTGTCAGATGGGACACCCCGGAGCATCTTCTTCTGACCACTCATCAGCAGGCGTGACTTATGCATCATTTCAGCCAGACGACGGGGGGCCTGATTTACGAGTATATAAGCCGGGTCTTGGCACTGCGACGTTCGCAGATGCCTGTTCACCTTTCGCTCACTGCATAGGACCAACCAACCACCAAGCAAGAGGAGGGCGTCGATGTCGATGTCGATGTCGATGTCACCCTACCAAGCACCTAGCCGCAGCCCTCCAATGCATACAACCAAGGTACAAATTGCCCGTAGATAGGGTAAATGCAGATCGGCTCATCGCCCAGCATCCCCATGCCTCCAATGGCGTGGCGGGCTGCCTGATGTGCCAACCCTAGCCCTATGCCCGATTGATCCATGCGAGACCCAACCGTCAAACAATGACACCCTTGCGCTGGCGAGTCATCAGAAACGAACCCTACATAATACGGCGCACCATTCTGTCTGGCACATACTTTGACGCAGCCCGGATACATCGTTTTCCGTCTTCCTGTTGCATCCAGGACGAAACAGGTCATGATTGCGAAGTTGGAGGTCTAGTCGCTATAGGTCGCTCACATTTTCTCAGTTCTGCAGCGCTTGATGGACTATCGGGACAGTCCCTGTCTAGCTCTGGGCAAGTCGACCTCGACTGGGTTATATTCTACCCCACGACTGTCTGATTTAGTAGGTCAGGGGTACTCGACCAGCATGTTTCTTTGACAACTCCACCTATTTCCCCGGGGTATAAATCAATCTGGCTAGAGCCTAACCTCAGATGACGTCCCGACCCGGCTCGCTCGGATACCCGCGCAGCCGGGACTATAGCTCGTTGGACTCAGTGCTCAGGATGAGTAATGTAAAAGGGGGGGGGGGTGTAATCCGTCTGATAGTATGAATTGTTGCATTTAGAAGAACTAACCCTAAGTACTTACATACTTGTATGTCTCACGCCATCGAAATAGCGAAGACCCCCTTGTAAACAGCGAATACCCCCTTGTGAGATAGAAACAAGCGAATAAAAGATTACGGCATTAGGTGATCCCTCATCTACGTAGCATTCGAGCATCGCAGTGATGCACCTTGCCTTCGGTTTGACCGTTCGAGTTCAGCCTGCCTAGCCCTGCTCTAGTTCGCCATAGGCGGCACATACTTCTGTTGCGGTCGCCACAGCTTCACGGGTTGCACTGGCAGGCTGTCAGTAAATGAAGCTCACACAGGGGCGTGTACTCTGCCGCTGACTGCAGCAGCATGACGTTGGGTACTTACTCAAACTCTCGCGCCAGTGAGCCAGAGCCCCTGGTGCTCTCGATAAGATGGTGATGGCGATGATCATCTGCGGATCGAAGCCCCTGTGATTGGTCAGTATAATTAGCAAGCGAGCCGCCGGGACGTGTAACCGAGCCGGGAACTTACATGGCGGTGTAGAGGAAACAGCCTAATAGGTCCGCGTTGGCCTTCAGGCCGCGGTCGATGAAGTACTGGTCCTGGTTCGCGAACTTGTCGATCTCCATGGCCACGCGCAGGAGCGGGTTGGCGTCGACGGCGGCGCGGTGCTCCTCCAGCAGCTCCTCGATGAGGTTTATGCGCGGGTCGCGAGTCTTGTACACCCGGTGACCGTAGCCAAAGAGTCTGCCGTGCTTGGCCTTGATCAGCTCCATGAAGACCGGCACGCGCTCTGGTGTGCCGATCTGCTTGAAGCCCTCGTAGGCCAGGTCAATGGCGCCACCGTGCAGGGGCCCGTAGCCGCAGATGACGCCGGCAGTTGCGGCGGACAGGGGGTCGATCAGCGTCGAGCCGGCGTGCAGGACGGCAGCTGTCGAGTTGGTCATCTCGTGGTCGGCGTACAGGATCCAGAGCTTGTTCAGGCAGGCTTCGACCTTGGGGTTCGTGACGCCCATCATGCGAAGCAGATTGCCACATAGAGAGTGACTGGTCCCGATCTCAGGGGGTGTGAACTCCTTGTCGTTCTGATGGCAGTAGATAAGCGCGATAGTCGACGCCATGTATGCTATCGTTCGCAGGAGGGCCTTGTCGGCCACGTCGAGGTGGCCTTGGAACATGGCGGCTTGTTGATGGCGCGTCGCGCACATGACTTCGTCAGAAGCGGCAAAGGCACTCATGCCGGCAATCAGCATGGGGAAGCTCTCCGCATCTCGCCTGGTAAATGTCAGATAGCTGTCGTGTATTACACGTGGGGGTCCAAGGGTCAAGCGTACGGGAACGCAGAGATGACCTTCACTACGGTTTCAGGTGGGGTCATGGCCTTGCTAATTTCTTCCCGAATGTGGCTCTTCTGTTCCGCTGAAGGCAGGTGGCCCCAGATGATGAGATACATGACATCTTCGTACACGTAGTCGTGGAATAGGTTCTCGATCGTGTGGTCTCGGTATCGAATCAGTCCGCGCTGGCCGTCACTGTTCACCGGGATAGTTAGTCGACAGTTGTGTGAGAGGGCGGACATATGGTAAGAGGATAACCAACATGAAGGTGATGCTTGACTCCATGCACGCCGTGTGTTGGTAGCCATTGTCAAGAATCTTAAGGGGGCGGAGGATTTTCGGGGCGTTCACATCTCCGTTCTCATTGAAGCTCTCCGAGATGCCAATACGGCCGAGGTCAGCGGCACGGATGTAGCCTCCATCGATTGGAATCTTGTAAGAGTTCCCCGTGCGGCAATCCACGACTTGTAGTTGTTCCGCCATGGTTGCGTGGTGTCTTTGTGAAAGTCTGTGTTCAAGATGAGGCTGGAGAAATAGGGGTGGAGTTCAGCAACGGGTTGAGATATCGTATGGGCATCAAAGGTGACATGACAACGGGTATTATTATGTCAAAAATATCGTGATAATCTTGCCTTAGATTCTGAGACCTTCGAAGCAGCTGAAAATGCTTATCCAGGCTGGGTTCTCCAGGTCCCCGAATCCTCAAATCCTGCATTCCCGGATGCCAAGACAGTAACTCTGAAGGTATAACTGACTGAATATACGGCCTGGGAGACCTGGAGAGATACCAGCGATGGGAGGAAGATACATAACCGGGCGGAGTATCGTCCTGAAGGGGTGGCAATGCCAAGGCTCCAGAACCTGATACCCTCACATGCTGTCAACGAGGCTGCGGCGCGACTGCCCTGCCTCCTCCAATCATCATCTAGAGGCATATCAGTTTGCCCCTGAAGATGTTTGTATCTATCGATTCTCGAAAGACCAGGGATGTCCTAGTTAGGCGTGGTGTTGTGGGCAACATTGGGTACGACATGGTGCCATGGTACGTTGTGCATGCACACCAGATATTCTAGACCTCCTCCAGCTGACGAGGCGTTACTCCCACGATCCCTCAATCTACTGGCTGCAGTCCAGAAAGGATTATTAACACGCCTTATCTCGCCACAGGTTGGCAACCAGCTCTTCCTCCTCAACCTCATTCCTGAACTCTGCTCATACACCCCCTCTCAAGAAACTCCACTCCTTCACCACCTCGTATATCACATCAACATGGCTGCTGCTGCTGTCGCGTCCGGGGCCACCACAGGCCTCATTGGCATGTGGAATGGGACCAAGGACGGAAGGTCTGATGGCTACGTCGACTGGTCGAACGGTGTGACCAACGTCAACGACCCGAAGCAGCTCGAGATCGAGGTCCAGGACATCCGAACGCTAAGCCCCACTCCATCTTATGAGAAGGATGGGTACGGACTCGTCCAACATCAATCATCGTTGACTACTGAGGAATTCCTCGCGGGCAGCACGCCTGAAGGTGAGATACCCCATATATATCCGGAAGCACACCACTAACACTTGAATCCATCAGGCAAGGCCATCATTGAGGACGTCTACTTTAAGGAGGTTGCCGAGCTCGTGAAGAAGATCACGGGCTCCTCCAACGTGCACCCGTACGTGTTCCGCGTGCGCCAGAACAACCAGAAGCCGGGGCAGTTCACGACCAAGAAGCTGTCGCACACGGCGCTGCCGGTGGCGCACGTCGACCGCGACGACGTGACGGGCGAGAATGGCGTGCGCGAGGTGCTGGGCGACGTCGCCGACGAGCTGATCGCCAAGCACAAGCGCTACGCCCAGGTCAACATCTGGCGCACCATTGGCGACCCGATCCAGAAGTGGCCGCTGTGCTTCGTCAACCACGCCGACGTGCCCGACTGGAGCTACAAGACCCACATGGCGCGCGTGTTCCCCGAGAACGACCCCCGCATAGCCATCCGCGGCGAGAAGACGCACGATAGTGTCCTGAAGCACGACCCCGGGTATGTTCTTGAGAAAGTCCCGTGCTGTGGAGGGAGAAAGTGGACTGACCCGGGTGCTCCCGATAGGTACAAATACCACTATGCCAGCAACCTCGACGTCGATGAGGCACTTGTCTTCTCCTCCTTCGACTCTGACATGAGCAAGGTCATCCCCCACGGGGCCTTCGTAAGTAACCACCCAGACAGACAGCGGAGCTTGACCACCGAGCACGCGAGTCGTACTTGCTGACTTTGAACCGTCCAGTGGGATAATTCGAGCTCGGAAGACGCACCAACAAGACGTTCCATCGAAGTCCGTTCCTGGGTCTTCTTCGATTGATTGGTTCGACAACGGCTGATGTGGTCATTGCAACACGGTAAGCGTGACGTGGGTCAGCTCAGAGGGCTTTCGTGCAGGAAGAGACGTACCAATGTGCTTGGGGTTGTTTTAATGGAGTGGGATTATGCAGTCTTCAGTAGAACGTTAATGCGAGTTCCGATATCTTTGCCCGAAGCGCAGTGAATACCGCACCCATGAGCCCTCCGCAGTGACGTCGGCAGCTTCCCGCACCTGGCGGTGTACACATGGAATATCATGATTTAGGTTACAGTAATCTCATCGTAATGATACCTAAGAAGCACAAGTAGTCATGCGGCACGAGGCGCGTCACATCCCACGCCGTACGGGGCGGTCCGCTTCTGTCATCGTAAGCTATAGACCAGCAGCATGCGGTCAAGTTGTGTAACTGCGTTGTTTCCTCCGCAAACCAACGCCTGTTCCGAGACAAAAAGACTGCTAAAGAGCTGCGGGCAAGCGCCGGGCCGTTAGACATGCAGGTGCTTGCTGCCGTGCTCGTCTGAGCTTCCGCCCTCGCGCCCGCTCCGGAAGCAAGACCGAAAGAGACTGTGGATCGCGCACCTCTTGGGAAGACTTTCCAGAGCCGGGTGAACATTGTGCCGGATGACATCTTTCCATCAGGTCGGTAGATCTTGGCGGCTGATCGATAGTAGCCCGTCCCCCCTGGACCCTGTGACTGTGACTGTACCCCACGCTACGCGCTTGGTGGACGAACACCGTGGGGACATGATTGAGGTCCAGGCCGGTGCAAGGACTGCCTGGTTTCAGGGGGTGACTTATCCAATCGGTTGCCGGCGCCAGCAGCTACCGACAAGAGCAACGCACCAAGCAAGGGTTACTTCTGTCATTTTTGACAGCCATTGGGCGCTTCTCTTCCGGAACCTTGAGCGATACCGACAAGTACCTAACATGACGAGATATGAACAGGGCTAGGGCTGCGTAGCTACGTCCGTAACGGCGTTATCGCTGGAATGTGACCCTGTAGCAAACGAGCAGGTAATAGTCTGAAATAAACGTTACCTAGCAGCCAACGAACAACCTGTGGGGCCGAGCAGCCAGGGAGCCGACAGGGGGGCCGGAGGCTGGATGAGGAAACCGTTTGCGTGCTCGTTCCGTCACTGGCCCTCGCTGTCTGGGACGTCGTATTCGGGGCTCGGGGCTGATCTGACCTACATAATCCGATACAATAGTGTCTTGAGTTTGCGAGATCACAGATCCTACAGGCTGTGCCCCAGTTGCGCCAACCAACGGCTGGCACACGCCATAACGCAGCGTTGGCGAACCAGCGCCCAGATGCAGCCTCGTCGACTGGAGCCTGGGCAGCTGGAAACGCTGTCACTGGCATGCACGGTATTTGTCAGACCAGCTCATGGTGTACCGCGGGTCATTCAGTTCACTACATGAATAGCCCCTACCAACCATCATCCTGAGACAGCAGCCCGGCGAAGAGCCTCGGTACAACATAGATATCGTACTGTAACGATGACGGCCTCTGTGGTAGTCCTCGCACCAGAGCCTGGCAAGAAGTTCATGTCAAACGACTTCTCGTGTGCACATGGCTGGCTACTAGAGTACTATCTAGGTGGCATATGCAGAAAAGGGGGTAGGATTACTAAGGTACCAGATGCGGCTGGCTGTGGAGAAATGTCCAACTTGACAGGGTCCCTGGGTTGTGGTCTGGACTCCAACCATGGGGTAAGTTGCTTACCTACCTATATCAGTGTGATATGCCACTGAGTACCGAGTGTCAGCGTCACATTGAACCAGTTCCGGGACCTCGGGTAAGATGGAGAGAATCTCCGACAGCCTGGGGCATGAGGTGTGCGGTCGGCTGGATACTTCCCCTGTTCTTGCATGATACTACGATGACAAGTCACTGGAACCAAGGGAGTCATTCGTTCGTCCGAAGTCTCGAGCTGAAGTGCTAGGCGCTAGGATAGGGGCTCAGAGCCATGGATAAGGGCAATGTGTACGATGAAGACCGCGTATCTAAGTGGTTTCTCTGTCCCGCTGTGGGGGACAGTTGCCGGATATATTGACTGTCACATCCTGGCTTACGCCCTCGGTGTTGTATCGATCCGTGCATCTGCTAGGAGTCTGGGCATCTGCTAGAAGTCTCGGCACTGATCGTTTCCTAGATCGTGTCAATGATCAATGAGCTCGCTTCGCTAGACGTGGATGTGTGCTACCCACAACAGGGGTGGCGGTCCCGACAGCTCCGCAACGGCACGGAGCAGAATCACTGCTTGAATAGCAAAAACTTGAAATTAACGACAAGGGTATTCCTCTCTATGTTGCCACATCACCTGAACCCCGAACTCCCAGCCGCGCAGCACGACGTCAGAGCTCTAATAATAAACCCGACCACGGGTCCCGTCTGTCTCCTCCCTCTGTCCAGCGTCTCATGCATATCCCATCGCGTTCGTGGCTCCGAAGCGGCTCGAATCGCCCACGGCACTGGTGCCCCAGTCGACGGCCTGCCAATGCATATCTTGGGTGGCCGCCACAGCTGCAGCTGCTAAGCGAGGATTTCCCAGTACGGCGAGGCGGCTGGGGCGCGGCCGGCCATTGGAGTAGCGGCGGATGCGGTTGCAGCTCTGCTTGGCCAGATGCGTGTCTCTGGCCGAGTTGCGCGTGAATATGGCGCCGCAGAGGGGACACGTGCACTTCGTGCTCGCCCCTGATCTTTCCTTGACGTGTCTCATGAAGTTGCTCTTCGATGAGAACTCCTTTCCATTGCATCCGTGGTCCCAGCACCGCGGCTTCTCGTCACGGGTCGATCGCCCGTCCTCTGTCGTGCTGCCTGAAAAGTCCAGGTCCGTCACGGGGCCCCCTAACGAGCACGAGTAGGCTTCTTTTGAACCTAGATCACTTCCTATATGCAGTGATGGCAGCATTGACGTGCTGGGGACATCGATGTGATCATTGCTTGGGCTCTGTTGGCCTGTCCAGAAATATGTCCTGTGGATGTTAGTCGAGTGTGTCATTGTAGATGGATATATCACAACCTCACCTCTCTTGAGACAACTCACTGTAGAAGACCGGGTCATCGAAGAAGTTGTCTACCAGACCACCAAGACCAATCGATGTCGTGACCGGAAGATGATAGTGCTCGAGATATTCTGTGTCGTTGGGGTCCCCGTTCATCGTGAAGTCGATATCTCTCGGGCTCATAATATGTCGGTAGTTATGTCGGTCGCCGGCAAGTGATGAAGAGAATCGGTCGGCAAAAAACGCGGCTTTGTAAAACGTAATGCAATCGGTGGCACGAAATACTGTCGTCACCTGCAGAGCAGGTTTCAAGCGGAACTTATTTGAGGGTCTTGCAGTAATTAAGCGTGGCACCCGTCTCTCCGAGACATATTGTATCTATAGCTTCCTGGGATGGATCGACCAATAGCCTAAGTTCACGTTTCCTTGGTCTTATCATGGTGTACCTTGACGTCCACGTTTCCTAGGCTCTCAGCTTTGCGCCAATGAGCAGATCGCACACAGCCGCCTGCAGGTAACTGGGACCTGCCAACGTCTGCGTTTCCTGATCTGACCAAAGCGTCGCGATGTGCTACCCAGAAAGGCGTATCGGAGTGCCACACGAGGCGCCGTGGCAACCGATATCGAACAGGGTAGCGTTCTAGAACATCAGTATGCGCCTCTGAGCTCGGGTCAAGCTGCCTCTGGGGTCGTCAGCACTCGGTCTGCAAGGAGACACCGTCAGAAAGCAGTGAGCCAGGCAGGCTGCAGGATACTGCTACACGACCGGTTCTGAAATAGTACTTTCTCCCACTCGAGATCGGGATCTAGGCCTACATGAGTGCCCAGGAGTACGCCACAGATTCGGCTCGCTGTTCGATCGGCCGTGGACCGTCCAGGAACGGTCATGGAACGGGCCTTCTTGTCGATAGCTCCACGTGTACATAAGCTGAACGCTAGACTAGGCCCAAGCTGTCGACGTATTTACCAAAGTGAGGCGAAGGTGTGACTACTTAGGTAGGTAGTCGGTTAAATTACATACCGACCGCTTAGACGGTCCCGGCAGCAAGCTGTGAGGGTCCTGCAGCTTTACCTACGTCGTGTCGAGCCGGCATACAAATATGCAACCCGAGGATTCTTGTTTTCTGTTCTTGTAGATCATGCCTCCCTTCAGCAAGCTGATGAAGAATCTGGGTACGAGCTGTTATTTTACTCTGTGCGACCAACGACCATGTCTGAGTCAGGACACTCGCCCCGTCACAGAGCAACGCATGCATGCACGCCGTGCATACGTTGGAGTCCCCGCCGTTTTCCGTGTTACCCCTCGGCGCCAACATCCATGCACAAACGTGTTGACTCGGGTAATACCGGCCCTGATGGCTCCATTGAACCACGAACATCTGTCACTGCTCATACACACGCAACACGCAGAGGGTATTTCTGATATAGCCAACACATTACTTCATATAGGGAACACATACTTAAGACCAGTCTACGACTTGTCGTGCTTGATCGAACTGGCCATGATCGGAAGGTCCTTCCTTGTAGAGATGACAGAAACATCCCTGAATCGAGATTTCGCAGCTCGACATGGTTGCGCTTTGGTAATTTTCTTGGTCTGGGAGCGGTCCGGACGTCATGTGGGAAGATAGGTTGGCAATCACCTCGGTCTCGTTTCAACACAACTAACCTACCGTATACCAGTTGCATCACTTGGAGTAATGTATGCTACATGCGCATAGAGCAATGATGTCGCTACCTTCTTGATCGTACACCGTCCAGCTCACTCAACTCCACTAGTATTGAAACCAAATGGCGGCCACTTTACTCCAATTTCAGGTGATAATCAGCAGTATGTTAACGTGCCAGGTGGCAAAGAAGAACACCAGGTAGGGCGGCACGGTGTCGTAAAAAAACATATGATGAGAAAAGATGTAGAGTAACCAACTTGAAAAGGGGCCAAAGAACAGGCTTCACGGTGGACGAACTTGTTCTATGAAATCACGACCTCACGAGGCAATCCAATTGTAGAGACGGTTGTACTTATGCCTCCTTATGTTACGCCAAGCCCAATTCCTTCGTATAGAGAACATGCATATCTGCTGTGCAGCTCTCAAAATAGGGACTCCAAGAACTTCGCAAGACTTCATGTTCGCAACACAGTAGATTGAGAGATGGTACCAAGCTCGAAATGAATCCTCGTTCTGCAAGTGAAAGGTGTGTGTATCGCAACTAGAAAAAGCACGCCGAATTAAACGTGGCTATTTGGGTTGGACCTGCGTAGTCTGGGGTGATTGTTCCATCAATATAAATGTAGCATTGATATGCAGAGGTTGACAAGGGCATGTCGGAAGGAGACTTGTAGAAATTGATTGTAGTTTTCGTTTCAACATAATGAACATGTGTCTCTTTCACATAGTTCAAGTTGCCGCTTTGCTGTGGGATGTTGGAACCAATTGCGCCAGGTACTGCCGTCTTCCAGTTCGGCTATCAACGCGTCAATGATGTCCATGTGCCTTTGAAATCTGGCAAAGTGGACGGATGTGGCCTCGATGGCTTTAGCAGTCGACGTTATGTGATCAATAGGCAGCTCCGCCTTCCCATTCGAAAGCCCGCCATAAGGCCCGTACCCAGTCGTGTGCTCAAAGTCGATGATACGCTTCCACTCTCCGTACCGCGATTCTTCGACCCAAGAGGCCAGGTCCACCAGAGCGACGAAGAGCAGCATGTATGGATTGAAAATGTGAGCGCTTTGCTGCTTCACCGAGCTGACCAGTTTTTCCAGTGCTCGGCCGAAGTACTTTGCACCGAAATAGCGATCATCAGGACGTCGGACGATCAGAATACCCCTGGTTCTCATGGTTGTCGGATCGAACGACCAGAATAGCTCGTAGCGCATATCCGCGACGAAGTACGTGCATCCATCGTGTCCATTACTGAACATATGGAGACCGTAAGAGTTGAGTTGGACAAGTTGCAGAATACATCTGTCGATTTGGAAAGCGTCGATCAGCTGAAGGAAGCCTGCCTTGGACATGCCCACTCCTTCAGTGGCCGTACCACGGCTGCTGGTTCTCATCGTGACAAGCTGGCACGAAGCATCCACAGCGCGAGAACTGCTTGCTTCAGATGACACAAGCCGACTTAGCAAGTCGCCTTCCGTCAGGTTCTCATTGATGTAGCTTGTGGTGCCAGACGAGTCGGCATGGATTTCGATAAGCCGCAACTGAGGACCTACGTGTTCTTCAAACTTATCATAATGAATGAACTCGGTTTCAGCGAGTCTTCGTAGTGTCTCCATTGCGCCGGATGTGTGAGTGTCAGGTTCGTCGACGTCGTCGTCGGTAGCAGCGGTCAAGAGGTAGGCCGGTAGATGTTGCGAAGCAAAAGTCGGTGAGGCGACTCGTGCGGCTGAACTTGGCAAGCCAGACGATGTAACACGCGACGTGGCGGAAGCAGCTCTGCTTCGCGACTTCGCACGCATCGAGATCAAAGCGAAACTTCAACGCCATAATAGAAGCCGAAGACATTGCGATAGATGGGGCCCCCTCTGAAACTATTCATCTGGAAGTTGACGAGATCCAGACCGTCTCGGCAGCTGGCTCACCACAACGAGCTTTCTATTCCGCCTGGCGGCTGATCATTTCGAGATGAATTCTTAAGTAAAAGAACGAAAGCTTGGGAATTTGCCTCATGTGTGCTTGTCCTTAGATGTACCTGTCAACAGATGAGACTACTTTGATACACTAAGTGAATACTGTTCTCCGCGTATGCGCACTTACCCTGCCCATACCACATAGTGAGGGAAGTCAGATCGTCCAGTACCTCTCAGATTGACACTAGAATGCTGGAACTTCATTAACACGTCTCTTAAACTGGTCAAGACTATTTGGCTGGAATTGTACCACTTCTCACGCCCTTGAGGTGTGTGCCCCTTCGAAAGACGGCGCGCCTCTAGTAGGAAATCAATCTCTCGACTTAGTGGTTTGCGGTGGAATGGGCGGCGACTTAGCAATATGCCAGTGAATCGAGCTTGGAATGCCGCCTGGGTCTAGGTGGTTATACGAAGCTCGAAGGGGTTTAAGCCTCCAGTTGGATACGATCGAGAAGATCATGTGCAAGTGCAGATTTCCAAGTGTATTCTCCACTGCTTCATATGCTGAAGACCATCTCTTGTGCTGGTACAAGTGGGCAGCAATAATCACACGCTGTAGTAGAATGAGGTATGGGATGGTACAGAAGGCGAAAACAAGAGCATGAATTAAGGGGTCGAGATACTTCCTTGAACTGTGGCAGCTTCCCAGGCACGCCAGTAATGATGCTCTCGCTCGAGGAGCGAATACTATCAGAGTCGTGATAAACTTCTGCGACCTCCGCCCTCAACGGCGTGTAGGAGGCCCTCTTGAACCAGCGAGTGACTGAAGTTGAGCGCATACTCATCATGGTAATGTCGCGAGAGAGAGAGAGGAATGTAGGAAGGTGGGAAGGTGGGACACTGGATGAGATCGAAGGTTGACGAGCGACTGAAGCGTGTGGACTGAACACCCACAGCCTGTGACTGACTTCCAGATATCTGCAACTCTGCCCCGGGACTCTATAACTACACCGAACCTCCTAAAGTCTCCGTACACCCCTCGTTTACCAAGTGAAGGGTGTATTTATGATAGCTGGAATAAGCAGTCCGGAATAAGCAGTCCGGAATAAGCAGTCCGGAATAAGCATCAAATATGGCTAATTGGACTAAACCTGCTTATTACAATGTACTTATTCCATTAATACGGATGTATGTATCAACCATGGAGGAGAGGCAATAACCCAATCTCTCTCATGCCGCACTCGTATGATCCTGAAGTCGTAGAACTATCCATAACAGGCATATTCTAGAAAATCTCGGTCCCTGCTTTTCTGCTGATTGGCAGCTACGGTCTCGGTATTAGGGACACCGATGCAGACCTAATTTCCGCTCTCTTGAGAAGGTTGGTTCAGGGGCCATGACGCGGACACACCAGGACGTCCTTGAGACTACAGTCCGTGGCTCTATTTCGATAGTCCGCTTGCACGGGGATGAAGACGAGATCAATGCAGTGTACCCTCGTTAGGGTGGGCACCAGTGCAAACTCATTCGTGGACGGTAGTCAGCCTGGTTTGTATAACTGCGACACTCGCGGGGCAGGGTCCATCGGACCTTGAGGATATCCTGGATATTGGTCCTCCATATGCATTGCGAGGTCTTAACTCACGTCGTTCCACAGACGATACCAATCAGACAGCTCCGTCTTCTTATAGATCACTGGGAGATACCCTTTTTTTACTCTGCGTGATCACATGCTAGGCAACCATATATGCTCCTCTACCAGGTGTGATACCATACGTAACCAGAGCCAATGACACTTCAAGAGCCTTGTGGCAAGAAGGACCCCCCTTTCACTTTAGTCTCGATAGGCATCGTATCATGTCACCATTGATGGACCACAACCTTCGGTATCATAGCACGACCGGACCGTATGGAGGACCTCTTTACCGCTGACATGATGACGACTGTCATAACGACGACTGGCATAAGCCACCTGATGGTTCAATATCGTATGGAAAGGTCTGGATCGACTACCATGCCCCACCCCCTAACGGGACACACCCCCCACCGGGACAGCCAAACCCCACCATCACCACCAAAATACCCCCTTACTCACTTACACGCAATTGAGGCTCTAGATGCCCAAAGAAATCAAAAAAATTATCATTCTGTGGTGTTGAGGCTCCTCAATCCACGTATCTAGCTGGCGCCCTAATTGACCGACCGCTTCTTGTCACCTGGGGCTCTGCAACAGGGGCTTCTTCACCCTCCTCAGCCTCCTCAACCTCTTCCTCCTCCTCACCCTTATCTTTAATAACCTCTGGCTCTGCTTCTGACTCTGAAGACTCTATAACCACGGCCCTTAACGGGTCACCCCCCTGGGCCAATATCTCGGTCATATTCATGAACTTCCGGTTCGGATTTGGGACCTTCTTCCTCTTCTTGGGCCGTAGCCGGTCTAATTCAGCCTCCAGGGCCTTGATATTATGATCTTTTAGGGCCAGCTCCGTCTCCTGGTTCTCGAAGGCGTGGGAGATCTTCCTGAATTTCAGCCGAGTGGCTGGGGAGTGGTTCTTTGCGAAATCTATGATCTGTCGGCTTGTGGTAGGGGTCAGCTGGTCTTCTGGCTCCGAGTCTTTAACTTCCTTTGGCTCCGGGGTCTTTCTTTTATCCTCCTGGATTTCCGGGTGTTTTAAACACTTCCTGCGGCTAACTGGATAGCACCCTGTCACTCGGAAGCCCGAGAGGATGTTCGGCTTAGAAAAAGCCTTGTCCCTAGCCTGAGAATAACAGCGGATGAAGTTGATCTTATCCACGGGCGAGGCATCTGTGAGAGAATTTAACTGCGAAAGAAATCTCTGGTAGTAGGCTTTGAGCGCGTTATATGGTCCGTTATCTAGTGGTTGCATGCCGTGGTTGGTATGGGCTGGGAAAAAACAAAGCAAGATATTGGCAAAATAACACCGCAACATGAACTCGTCCTGTTAGTTATACAGTTAGTTAACTGATTAAACAACCCCTGAAAAATAAATAACGTACGGAAGTATGGCTACCATGGCCATCTAGTATCAAAAGGATCGGCTCTGCCTGGTCTTCCCCTCGTACAGCATCCACCTGGGGTAGGAAAACGTGGTCTAACCATAGGCACGCAATCTCGTTACTGGTCCAGCCGTTATCTGACGTTATGTAGTACCAACCCGCGATTTTGTGGAATTCTTCGATGAACCATTGGGCCTGGAGATCTTTTCCTTTGAAAATTATGCCTGATTTGAGAACTTTTCCCGTGGCTGAGATGGCTTCGATAAAGGAGGTCCAGCCACGCCCCTGGGGACTCTTTAGGAAGGCTTTCGTAGTCTCAGAACTTTCTAAGACTAGGGAATCGATGCCTATAGGGGTTAGCTAGTTAACTGACAGGATAGGGGTGAATAGGGGGTTAAAAGACTAACCAAAACCCGACATGATGCCGCCCTTATTGACATTGTACGTATTTTCTGGCTTCACCCATTGATAATCCCCCAATATGTCAAAGAACCAGTTGACAGACTTAGGGGTGAACCCCTTAAACCGGGCAGATCCCATCCGCTTACCGATTTTAGTCTGGATAGTAAGGTTACGGCGTTTATAGCCCTCTATATAATTCAGGCCCAGTGGTGCGAAATCCCCCCCCCTTTTTCAGCAGTTGTATAATAATCTCCCGCACGGCTGTGTGAGAAGGGGCAAGCCCTAGGGACTCTTGGCGCAATATCCATTAAGCCACCTTACTCTCTTGTTGAGGGGAGAGTCTCTGCTTGCTAACCTGGGCCTCGGCTTGGGTGACTCTGCCGTTGATGCGTGCTGACAGCGTTTGTTTAGGGATGCCGTGTTTTTGGGCGGCTTTTCTCACAGACATGCCGTTATCTGTCACATCTAGCCAGGCATCCGCCACATTATCTTCAGTGTACGTGGGCGGAGGCATCGTGGCTGGCTTCACGATGCTGTGGTGGCATAAGGGTCAGGGGCTCAGAGAGAGAATTCTACAGCAAATTTGCATTTAGGGGCGGGGCACAGAGGCTCCTAATCACTGATGCCGATGGCTGAAACTTCACTAATCTATATCCGGCTAAACACCAAGAAAAGGGCTATCTAACCATCTAAAGAGCGTATAGATAGCCTCAAAGGGGGCTATAATCCGTGTAAGTGAGGTAGGGGACTTTTGGTGGTGGTTGTGGGGTTTGGCTGTCCCGGTGGGGGGGGTGTCCCGTTAGGGGGTGGGGGATGGTAGTATAAAGAAGCTGACTGTCAGGGAATCAAGGTTCCGAACAACTTAATCCACGTTAACGGGTGTGACAATCAGGCCTGCAGCTGCGCTGGTCAGGGCTGATGGGATGAAATATCTAGATTCAACGATATCTAAGGAAGAAGAGGCAAGGTCGGAAGAGAGAGGGGAAGCTAGAGGTATATATGTACATAAATATGTGGAGGTATTATGTAATACCGTAACAATGGGACCTTTTCGTTAAGTTAAGTTAATATTATCTACGACTTCGTCGTTGTGACGGCCTGCACGGACCTTCCCATATGACAAGCCGATACTTCCCAATAAGGGAAAGATCTGACCAGAGGATCCCCTTAAAGGGGCAACCTCCCGCTGTACCTATCTCTCTCTCTCTTCCTTTCCTCTCTAGTCTTGATATTCTCGTTAATAGAGTAATAGCTGCTTGCTGCCGGCCATGTCCCAGCTCCTCAGTACGCTCGCCGTGACAGTCGTCGCTTTGTTAAGTTAAATGTATTAACGAAAGGTTTGGTTTCCGGAAATTGATATTTTCGTAGGTTAATATAGCCTCGGAAATTACCGTATTTCCAGCCGGACCCTTATTAATTTCGGTAAGAAAACCCCAGCCTTATAAGATACATCGTTAAAACTTACTGTA